TGAGGACCCCATGGGTGAGCGAAAGGCCCCGATCTCGGGGGTCTGGGGTGTGGTGTCATGAAGCTTGTATTGACAATCTGCACAAGGGAGATCCTATCGCTATCCATACCCACAGATCGCCTGGGGGCTGGCTATCCTGGGCGTATGTGTGTCCTGGGTACAGCTTCGAATAGGCTACACGAGACATACACCGCAAGTTGACGACCAATGAGTGAAGCTATACCTCGGAGAAGGGTCTATATATAACCCTTGACACAAACATCACCTAGCCTGCCCCCATCCATCATTTCAAACGCCATTCAAACAGCAGTCAAACACCGAACCAAACAGCTCCAACGTCGATATCGGCGTCGTCACACAAAGAGGTCCGTTCTCTCTCATGTACCAATCGACAGGTATTGCAGCCCTAGCGGGGGACCGGGGTGAGGTGATGCAGGTTCGCCAAGGTTGCGCGGAGTATCTATATTTATGCGCAATGTACGCGTTGACGTACTTCTGTGCTACTTTAATGGGACTGCATTGACTCCTAGTTGGGAGTTGACAGCTGGGGTCCAAAGTTAGGCTGGGATGCCAGTTTGTCAAAGCGTCAGCACCTCAATTGTCCGTCCCTTGTTGTGTATCCAATATTGACACGAGAATCGCCAACCCTACAGAATACACCTGCGGCACTGGCTGGGAGAGAGATCCAAACTCATGACTCCATGGGATGACGCTAGCTCCTCCATGATGATCACATTGGATGAGAAATGCCGTGTGTTATTCCGGGGGCCGCGGACGGAGTATTACTGTCCTCCCGCCTGGTATCTGAGATCATCTTGGTCCAACTCTGGTGACCTCAGGATGACCTGATCCGATCTGACTCGTCTACCAACCCATCCAACCAAGCGGGTGATAGGAGGAAAGCAAGTCACCCGAGCAGTGAGCGATACCAGTAGCACTGCTACCTCGTTATCAAGCCCCTTCAATTCGCCATCGGCGAGCTGTGATGACCGTAGGCGTAGGTCCCCAATCCCTGCGGCGGCTAATTAATGGTGGGGGCAGAATCCGGGGAAGAAGGTGAGATAGCGAGGTGTTTCGACTTTGCTTTGCACGAACCAATAGTTCGATGCACAGGCCGACCTATCGCTTTCCGAAACCTCCTGCTGGCCGGGATACAGGAACTGTGTCCGGGCGCCTTATCTGACACTATGGTGCAATAATGGATGAACAAATGTCCACCCAGTCAGGGCACTGAAACGCCATCCTCGATAGAAGGAGGGGAACGGCGTCTGCCGTTATCTTAGAAGATAAGGTAATCAGTATTGTTTCAATACTTGTTCCAATGGCGTATTTTACCCTTGGCACACCAACATCCACGGCCCTCGCCTAATGCCACGCACCTCCGAAAAAAGAGAATCGAGAAAAGCCCTTGGTGAAATTCTCTCCCCACAAGGCACCAAGACCAACACCAAGACCAGCGATCGGGGGATCCACAATCTTCTGGAACAGGACGGTCCGACGGTGGAAGCTTCGGTCCAATTAAATGGCAGCTCTGTATCATGCCGATGATATCATTGTCGCATAGGGAAACCCGTTCCCCAGCTGTCTTATCAGCCTGGAGTTATGCGGGGCCGTGGACAGTTCCGGATTGAGCATCTGTTGACTCTATCCAGATTCCGGAGACAGCGTACGGCGTCTTATGGTACCGGTTAATTTTTCCCTGTGTTCTTTTGCGTGGTATCGGTCCTTTTTTGTCTTGCTGACACTGTGGGGTAAAGGTGATTGGCGGAATTAGATATTTCCCATTGTCGACTGCCCCCGGGGATGTAACTCGCCGGCGAAACATTAGAGCTAGCATCAGCCTCTGACGGCCTTTCCAGAACCCCGGTGTCAAGGAATAATCTAGAAGGAGGAGAACGTGTTCTGGACCTGAATCAGCAGGGTTGTTGCAAAATTTCCAACTAATCCCGGTTAATAATGGCTGTCTGAATAGGCTGATCCTCGGCAGCGAAGGTCCATCATGTTATGACGTTCCGAGGGTTGTCCTCCGGCCGTGGAGGCTTTGGAGACGACCTTATGATGTGCGCAGACTTGCGCAATCCGGGGTCTTGGATTCCAGACTGGGGAAGGGAATTGCCCCGGATATTTGCCCCCGGACAAAGTCCGCATCAGAGATAGGAGGAGCGGGTCAATAATAGAGAGTACTCTGTACACACAGACTTGGCGCCTCAGCACTACTGAACCCGCGCTTGCGTCTTGTGTATGCCATTCGGTGACACGCTGTCTACTTCATCGCGGGTAGTTGGCCCGAGTAAGCGAACCATATCACCATGACCCCGGGTCTGTGGCCGGCGTTGGTTCTCCCCGGAGATACCCCGGAGAGCATCCGAGAGAAGATAATAATAGGTCTGATTGTCAGGCGGGAAAACATTCTCCAGAATTCTACCCCTATCTTCATCCTTTGGAGAAATTATCCCCGCACTTATGAGGATTGACAAGCTGATCTACTTCCCCAGGGAGACTATCGTTTTGAAGATGCCTGTGGCCTTGAGCAGCCCCTGTTGAAGCTCCTAACTAGCTACTGTTAGTGAGGTACTAGTCTGCATTACCATGCGCTACACGACCGGGGTGATGAAGAGCTTGGAGAGATACCCCGAGATTCCGGCGATGCACTGATACGGATTGTCGACCAATCTCGATGTCCCTTTGATCAGCTCGAACGAGCAATTATCTGGACAATTGAATCTGCGTGCCATATTCTAAAAATTGGGCTTTGATCGAGTCAGGCCGAGAATCGAGCTTGTGATGGTCGTGGACTCGTGATGTAAGAGCGTCTTCCCCCTTCACATGCCCTGTCTCATATCGATGGCATGATCCCGGTACGGGGTAGCATCCCTTCCCAGGTACTCCGCACATGGTTGCCAGGTCACAACCGTCCCGTCAGTCCGCAGCTTTAGCTTCCGTTTGTGTAAATGAAACGTTGTCTGCAGGTATATCCCTGACGACCAGAGTATTGAATGATGCACTGCTTGATACAACGACTTTCAGCGTTTTGGGAAACATGGAATGCAGTTGTGGGGCAACGATGATTGACCGGATGAGTGTAGCCTCAAGAGGGCAACGGCTGAAAAGGGAAAGGTTTGATGATGGCGTCATGCTAGGATGTGCAGCTAACGTTACTACGTTAGCGAACCAAGAAGTCAAGACATGGTCCTGCCTTAGCGGCATACGCGGCCGTGTTTGAGACGCCCATCTCCCGCAGCTGCGGCCTGGATCACAGCACTCCGGGAGAACCGCTGGAGACTTGAATATCGATTTCATGAGATATTTTGCAAGGCGACAAGCATGGCACGCAGAACGGGGTCGAAACTCCAGGAGTTCCGTCATTTGCCCGTTGTCCGAGGCACAGCACAAGAGTCAAATGCAAAGTCAACAAGGAGGGCTTGGATCGATGGGCATCTCGACCGCTGCGGTGCCGAATCGACAGGCAATCGGATCGGAAGGAACCGGGACAATGTCGGGGCTGGCAGGGGTGCGACTCAGTGGTGTGATTGCGGAGAGAACGCTTTGCTTACCTAACTTCTCCCCAAAAAGTGTCTCGGTGAAGTTTTCCCGGACATTGTCCGCCCTGGCCCTGGAGGTCCCTCTCCACTGCTCCTCCAGTCTGCAAGACTTTCCTGGAGGGGTGGAAGTCCCGCGGGCCCGGCCAGAATTTCCCTCGGTATCGCCATCCCGAAACCTCGCCCTTTTGCCAGTGTGCCGACCCTGTCCCGAATCCCGTGGTGGCCTGAGCTCGCCGCAGAAGGAAACTCAGCCGGCGTTATCTTCACCCTTTCGACCAGGGAACGAGGCTAGCCGCTAGAGTTGACAACCCCGGTTGTTTGCCCGTGATAAATTGTCATCCTGGGGTCCTTCCAAGGCTCACAACGGGTTTACTCTTTCGGGAAGTCGTGTAACTATCCGCTCTGCGATATCTTACGACCCGGCTATACCTCGGCTGCTGCTTTTTTACCATATCACCTCTTCTACGGGGTGCTCGAAATATGGCGCATGTGGGCGGGATCCATCATAAAAAGCCGTTTCAGCTTTTCGAAAGTTCCTTGGAAGTCCTGGGGTTGAGCGCGGCGGCTGGTCTCTTCTTCTGGTGAAGAATTTTCTCCCCGGGTCAGGCTGAGACCTGCATTCCAAGGTTGATATGGGTCTGTGACTTTGTGTGGATATCGCATCTGAGATAGCGGTGAGCAGAAAAATCAGTTGGCTCCAGCCTCCAGCCAGATCTCAAAGTCAAAATCATGGCGTGCAGCTCTTGGCTTCGCTCGCAAAGGACTCCGGTTCTTGGGGCATCTAGGGCGCAGACAAGAGGTCGTCTCTGAAGTCAAAAGGAAAACAGCCACCATCACGTGTCCTAGCAGAACCTGAAGGCACATTCTTCCTTTCGCTTCGAACACAGTATTTCAAGCGCGAGGTATTGGGCTTAAAGCAGGCTAGCAGCTGTCAGCCTGTCAAGTCAAAGTGTCAACAACTGTTACTCCACACTTTTTAGGATAAGCCATCTCGCGGTTCCTGAACCACACCTTCGATCTTATCTATCAATCCCCTGTTGTCAGTCGGACGGTCCTCTCTCGAATCGCATCCTAGATATTAGGTACAAACATGATCTCAGGATCACTTCAGCAAGGTAAGGTTCCGCAAAGCAGAAGAGATATGGTGGGTGAAAGAAAGATGGATGGCTGTTCTTTCAGGTCGGTACAAAGGTCTTTCGTCATATTACCGGATTGGGCGACGCTGATGATGTCGCGCCACGGAATTCTGCCGCGTCTTGCCGCCTAGAAATGCCCGAGACAGAAGCCAAAAAAGTTCCTCTTCATGCTTTCAGCGCCCTAGAGACTCACCCTCGCCTGCCCTTGGCTTCAATTGTAATTGCTGCTTTTGGTTGAACAATCGTTTCTCTATAGTACCTGCAACGGGCTTGGTTTCCACCTTCATCTTCCCGCTGAGCCTCCGAAAATTCCTCATTCGTTATGGCGCCCCCGCGCCAGCGGACCACAGCCGTTCAGGACGACTCGCGATCTGAAGCGTCCAGTACAACAACAAAGGAACTGAAGGCCGCGGCAACCAAAGGCAGAAAAGGTACAAACGGTGTCACAACGACCACTATCTCTCGAGAGGTCAAGGTCACTACAAATGTTACCAGCGCCCCCGCTACACAAGGCGAGCAACCGGACAACCTCCCAAGAGTACGTTGTTAGTCGGGCTGAAAAGCCTTGTTTTTACATGCTCATCATGTTTTTCTCTTCATATCTAATATTAATGCACTTTTGCTCTTTGTTTGTCAATACTAACTGGCTCTCCGCATTTAGATCCCTTGGTCCGAGATGCCTCTCGACTTCCTCCACTCCTACCGACACGCCTACAAGTTGAACTGTCCTAGCGCACACTCCAGCGAATACTCGCATAATCTTCTTTCACGAGGGATCGGTCTCCTATCACCAACGGCCATTGCTGCACAGCGAGCTCAACGTCACGGTTCCCAACAGACGAACGGTTCGTCACGACAACACCATAGCCGAAGCCGCCTCAATGGCATTAGCGGAGGTTCCCACAATTTCTCTTCGAAAAAGGCCAACACTCACAGCGGAAAGGGTTCATTGAACCATATCGTCGGTCAGGATCGTGTGTCTAAAACTCAGCTCGCCACGGCCGTCCGCAAACATTTCAATAGCGCCGGTCTGGTGGAACAGGAGGCCATCGCACGATTCCTTTACAAAGTTCGCGAAGAAGGTCGAGGACGACACTTTCGACTGAAATTCCAACCTTGACGAAGTCTGCTCACATACTTTCTGGATTTTGCGAGATTCTTCAGCTTGCTCTGGTGTTTGTGATGTCCACCTGTACAAAACATAAGAAGGCCCTACAATAGTTGTGGGGGCTCGCTTGGGTGATTCTCTGGTTCTGGCCGCATACCCCTATTGCTATTTCTTATTGAGTTATTAAGATACCCATTCATGGTTCCGGTGCTCGTCGACTTCTTTTGTCTCTTTCGTTTCACTCATTTTCTTCCCAGTTGGTGCATCCTGGCTTGGTCTGCATCTCGGCGTCTCAAGGAAAGTCGCAGTCACAGTTGACAATCTCAAATCATACTTGATTTGTTAATCAGTCACATTTTCCTGGCTACCTACTCCTGATACTTCTCTTTGGTTGTCATAGACTATATCCTGTCCGACACGTGTTTCAATACATACAACTGGGAACCTCTTTTCCCCTCACATGTATGAACGTCTTGCGCTTGTGGGATAGTCTCCCGCCAGGCTGCCGCTACGAAATAGGCACTCAATGACCTGTTCCACATTAATAGGAACTGGAAGTTCCTTAGTACCTGCTATGTACCTATTAGTATGTATGTGCCCGTCACATTACGTTTGTGGAATCCGATACCAAGAGTTCAGCCAGTACCTGTCCACGATTTCATGTCCCAGATTTGACAGTAACTCCTTGGTAACTACTACTGTTATGCTCGCCTCTATCTAGGGAGGCTGGCTTTAGGGCTGACTGGCTTTACGGAGGGGGTGCCTACCCATGTACTACTCAAATCGTGCAGTGCAGATGTAAGTATATTAGGGTTAGTTTAGTTGGTAGGTTTTGAACCCAGTCTGGTGAAAAGGCAGAGCCCAGTGATATTTGTCGGTTTCAATAACTACTATTACTGCTAGCAGGAACCTGCAGGCAGGAGAATGGGATGAAGAAGAAATATTTTTATGTACAGTGTATAATGTAGTTAATTCGATGCCAACCAACCGAGCCAACGACCAACCAACCTTATAAGTAAGTAGTATCCATCCGATCCCATGCGATCTGTTCCATCGGTAAATGCTGAAAGAAATTGAACTGGAAGACAAAACGGGAGGAAGAAAGCGAAAGACAGAACGGTCTTCTTCAAGAAGGGGAATAAAAACAGCGTACAGCTGGAAGAGGGTTGAATGTTGGAAATGTAGACAGAGAAGTAAGGTAAATACGTAAGCTTGCTTGCAATTCAACTCAAAAAGGGTGAAAAGCAAAGGGGGATATAGAAAAAGGATAGTTTGCTGGGAAGGATGGAGGTCCGTTCAAGACGGACAGACGAAGATAGGAAGAGAAATACACCTCCGAGCCCGAACCTAGACACCGTGCCGAATCGTGACTGTGATTATGACCGCGACTTAACTGAACACCCGTACGGAGTTATCCGCGCACCCTGTTGCAATGACACACCGGAATGAAGGCTTAGAGGCGTCCTTCTTACCCGCGCTCTCTTCAGGGTTGTCGCTGTTAGGGCTGGGCGCCCATCTGATGCAGCTGACAAAGTGCTCGTGGGCGCCGGTGATCGTCTTAACCAGCCTCCCTTCCTGGGACAGATCCCAGCATCGTATTGTTTTATCATCGGCAACACTGAAGAGATATTTCCCACCGGGATGAAATAGCAAACCCCGGACCCAGTTGTCGTGCCCGTGTAGGGTCTTTATCAGTTTCCCTCGCGCCTCCCAAAGCTTGATCGTTTTATCTCTGGCCCCTGTGGCAACAAACTCACAGGAGCTTGTTGCAGGAGGTGGTTTTTTGAGTCCAGCTAAGGTAGCTAGATGCCCGTAACTTGCTGGAGGCGCAAATACACAGCACTCGATAAAGTTTTCGTGGCCTAGTAATGCGGCCTTTGGTTCTGCTGACGAAACCTCCCACACCGTGACTGATTGATCTCTACCACCGGATACAAGCCATTTGCCGTCAAATGAAGGCGACACATCTCGGATCCATGACTCTGTCGCTGATTTGATCACCTTCACACAGAATCCTGTTGAGACATCCCACATCCGCAACGTTCCGTCTCGACTGGCGGAGATAAGGTGGTTCTCGTTGGAGGTCAAAAAGCGCACAGTTGAGACCGAGTGGTCATGACCGGATAGCGTTCGAATGTTCGCGTAATCCTTGCTTGGATCCCATAGCTTGATTGTGAGGTCGCTAGAACAAGATGCTAGCATAGTGTTTCCTTTTTGCCCGCCGTAATCAAGACCAGAGACACCTCTTGTATGCCCCTTTAGGGTCCGCTCTATTTCCCCTAGTTCCCAATCCCATATCTTTATCGTGCAATCTTCGGAGCCGGAAGCGAGCGATGTGAACACCGGGTGGAAAGCAACACATGTGACCGCGTCTCGATGCGAGTTCAATGTATGCGTTGATGAGGGTTTAGGAAGCCAATTAGTTGGGTCTTGATTCTTCGCACGGGCCACTGACGGTGAGGCTTCAAGTTCGGCTTGGAGGTTGCGGACTTCGGCCTCTAAATCATTTATCTGCACTGCCGGTCAACAGTCTCGTCTCAGCAACGTGGTCCCGTGCATCCGGTCCGTACTCTTCTTTGCAGTCGGGCAATTCCCGTCCATTTCTTCTCTAGTACTCCTTCGAATTTCTTGCATGTGGCCTCATTGTAACCATCGTCGAATTGAAGCTCTTTGCGTAGCGTTTCGGCAGTCTGGGGCGCATTTATCACGGAAAGGTAGGCGAGCATGGCCTTATGCCTGGTTGCGCATCATCAGCAAGATTCCTGGTACAACGTAGGATGTGAGATGCTTACAGCGCCTCCGCTTGCGGAGCTGTCAATATTTGGCTCATTGTTGTTGTGTTCGCGAAAGTTGGGGGGTCGGATATAAAGTAGGTCGATGTTTAAGGCAGCGGAGGCCGCGCGTACTCACGGTAGAACAACTAGGCCAGCAGTGTTCATAATCAACAGCACAAAGGGTCATCAAGACGTAGAAAGGACATGAGATGCAGCTGGGGGTTGGGACCAAAGCACCAGCAAACGCCGCGGAGAGCCCCTCAGACCGAGCGGTGGCAGATCACGTGACGTACATCCGGCAGCAAGCCACCGCCTTCATGGCGTTGGGTATCACCATCGCTATAGTATGGCTATCAGCAGTCGCAGTATAGCGGAGGCTATTATGGTCTAATTTATACTATAGCTGCAATTAAGCAATCGGGACGCTGGGGGCTATAGCAGCTGGGTTCGATATTAATTGTCGTTAATTTGATAATCAGCCCTAAGTCATGCCTTCCCCTCATTTGCTCATCTCATCGCATTTCGCAGTCGGACTTCATCCAGTCTGATTGACTCCGAGCCTCCCATCCTTGATCCGCTCGCTTCTTAACCACCTTCTCCCCCGCCCAAAGGCTGTTTGCTCTGGATGCTGTTTGAAATCCAACCATGGCCACTGACTCGCCCGTTCTCATCTCGGCCCTTGTAGTTGATGCAGCCGCCCGCTTCGATTAGGCATGTCTGCTAGCGAGCCTCGTCTATTTTGGTCTCGGACGAAGAAAAAGCAAAAACGGTCCAGAAAGGCCGCGTGTATCTGCTTGTTTTGCGTCAACAACATCAGTGTCAAGAGGTAATGAGTTGGCCCTTCCTTCGCACTGCTCTCCGTCAAAGTGCTTCCATATCCAAAGATGTTGCCCCGCATGGTTAGGCATTGGATAATGGCATCGCAACCATGTCGGAGCAGCCTCTATGCTCGCCGTCCACAGACTAAGAATGTGAAAGCAGGATCGCTTGACCACTTTCCCAAATCCATATCGCGTCTCAGTGCCCACTCTTGAGTGCTTCTAGGATCAATCCAGAATCCCGCGATTAAATAATAGTTGTTTGGCATCAGATAGAATGGCGCAAGACGAAAGCGCGAGAATACTTTGCGCCAATGCGCCAGGTGTTGCCCCGAGGGTCAATTCAAGACCGAATTCCACAGCAGCGGTCCCGTCCTTGTCGAATGATAGCGCTTCCTCGCGCTCAACACCATCGTGCTTGTCGTTGCGTACTATGTGGGCATCGGGAATCATCGGTAGTGGTATTTTGGAAGAAGACGATACGGGGGCCCTTGTCTTACCCCCTGACCATGCCATCCAACGGCATGTCCGTTCTCCTTCTCCACCGTCTTCACCTCTTTCCCACCAACAGCAGATATATATCTGCCTTTTCCACATCCTCGACTGTCATGATACATTCGACGATTGTGAGCAATGGAAGACACATGTTTTAAGCCACTTTCGTACGCATGAACCACCGGACACGGCCCGTTGCCCTTTGTGTCCCGCAGAGCGGTTCACTAGCACTCCTCATCAAAGAGCCTGGGATCTTATGCTCAAGCATGTGGATGTAGCCCACTATCAACAGGGCCAGAGTCTCGCAGGAAGTCGGCCCGATTTCGAACTCATGCGGTATCTTTATAACCAAAGAGTGATCAGTGTTGATCAGTTCAAGGCGATGCAGCTTGCACCCCAGCCATCTAGCCCAGCATATCATCGGCGGCAGGACACGGTCCGTGCGAGTGTCGGTTCATCGGATGAGCCATACTGCGTCCCATACAGCCGACGACGAGAGGACCGGCTGCGAGGACAGCGACGAGGTTTCAATGTCTCGTAGCCGATGTGGGCCCATTGTCGACGCTACTGCTTTGCGTCCATGGTCGTTATTCTCAACATATTGTATCCATTATTTGCCCGTTCTGTAAGCGACGCAGACGGAGAGATCAACTCTCGACGTTTCGGGAGGATCGACAGCCCTATTTGATGTGGTTTAGCTTTTATGTATGATTTAGCGAATTCTCTTCTTCCATGATCACGACTTGTGCCTGTACTATGACGAAACATTGGATTCGGATAGCAAGGGAAGGGGAAGGGATCATGCGTTTATCAAGTCCGAATCATCCCTTGAGAGTTGAAACGTCAGCCAAAACTCAGTAGAGCGCAATACGGAGTATGGATGTATCCCATTACCCCGCAGTACTCGTATTCGTCCACTGTTGACCAGTTTCTGGATCAGATCATCAATCCACTCGATGTGGTGAACATACATATCTCTTGTGGCTGGGCTGCACTCGACCTTGCATTGCTCTGCGTCTGAGCGTCGAGGACAGATGTGAGACATCAAATCTGATGCTATTGTCAGGCATCTTAGGGTAATTCAATTAAAGTCACCTGAATGGCTTCTAGGAGTAGCTCAGTGAGTGGTTTCGTTTTTGGCTATTCTCTGTTGCTGTAGTTTGACGTCTCTAGCTGGGAAGAAAGTGAAGCAAAATATATAGTTCTGCTAGCATCTAGTGTATGCGGCGCTCACTGCCACACAGCGCCTCGGTAGAGTAAATATAAAACGAAGACCTAAGCGCTTGATATCCCGTAGATCAAATGCTCCACAAGACAAGGGATCCAAAAGAGCATATCAGCTTGGATGCCTCTGTGCTTCATTCAAGGGGCATGACAGCGAAACAAACAGGACAAACATGCTCGCTCCACATCCGATGCATGTTGCAAAAGGCGCCCAGTCCAGCAGCTTGAAAGCCAGCGTTATTGTTACCATCCGACGTACAAACATTCGACGGTGAAATACTCATTGCAGTCTGCGGTTTCCTAGTAGTCGCTGGTTCTACTGCACTTCAGGGACTACCATCCGAGCATACTTACCTGCTCTAACAAACGGCCTATTCCCCTCGTTTCTCCCCGCGCCTCGAATCTGAACGACAGCTCCGTCGAAACAATGGAGCGATTATCGATCAATGACCCTCCGAATGCTACGCCGCCTGCGAACCCGCCCCAGAGGTTCCCTCCACAGGGCAACCTCGGACAAATGACACATGGACCGCCTCAACTACCACCACAGATGTTCACAACCGCGGCGCAATTGTTAGACTTGACAGATAGTGCGTGTGACCTTTTCGACGCTGCGCTTCCAAGACTGACATTATCCAGAGAAGCTAGTTCTGGTCTTGCGAGATGGGAGAAAGTTGATCGGAGTATTGAGGACATGGGACCAGTTCGGTATGGGAACCTCGACGGAAGCGCCGTCCCTCAGCGTCGGCATACGTTAACAATTGACCTTGTCGTTCACAGCGAACCTTGTTCTCCAAGACACGATAGAGCGGATGTATGCGGGGAACCTGTACACGGATATTGACCGGGGAGTGTTCCTCGTTCGAGGAGAGAACGTGCTGCTGCTGGGAGAAATTGTATGGCCACCAGTGCCCCCATATGCTGGCAGTACGGCTTAGCATGCTAACCAATCTGCTTCCCTATCGACAGGACCTCGACAAGGAAGACGATATCCCGCCGAACCTCGTAAAAGCGCCTTTCAAGGAAGTCTTTGACCTGAAGAAGAAGGAAGACAACGAACGGAAAACCAACGATAAGAAGCGGAACAACAAGCTACAAGGGCTCGGCTTTGAGGCCGAACATAGCGGGGAGATACTCTTCTAGATCGAAGATCGACACCGACGTCCGAATTGTTGCCTTTTACCTCCGCCGAACGGTTGATGTTTATTCATGCGGCTCGCCTCGAATGGTGCCTATGAACGGATATGGTTCTCAAGCATCTGTTAGAACCCGTTGGGCCGAGCCACAGACTGCTGGGCTTTTGCGATGGCCGGACTAGGCGGTTCATTCTTGATGTGGTGCCATCGCCGGAAACTTCAACCAGGGCATTCCGAATCGCATCACGAGACTGCGAACTCAAGGACGAAATGTATTATGACGAGATGGGTTATGGTCCCTTGAGAAATATGGTAAGAGTGCAGTCTACGGGTATAACCCGTGAATAGAGATTAGATGAATGCGCGATGATACGATGCCAATACACGACTCGGTTTTGGTGTTTGGCTCAATGTATGAACTGGCGGTGATGCGATGAAGCCTTGATGCCTGGACGACTCCAAGTGAGACAACGATGACTGGCGACCAATTGTGCCCAACATCTTATAATGTACTAAATGCTACAAGCAGCAAACCAGTATTTTTGATGAGGAAAACTGCTTGTTCTGTCACTGTTGTATCTCGCATTCCTCCGTAGTGACTTATCGCCCGCTATCGATACCGCCGCCAAGAGTCTGTACCTTTTTTTTTCGACCACGAAAAAGTCTCCGCAATCCTTGCAAACTTCTTCCTCGCTCGCCGCTTCTTTGCCCTGTCAACCCCAGGTATTTTTGAAACCGGCTTCTCAAATTGCCTGCCGGTCGATCCGCTCATCATGGCGACCCTGGCCGAGAAGCTCGAGAGGATCAAGTCCCCCAAACTGCAGAACCAGCACCATGTCAGTGCCTGCCCGCCGAAGCCTATCTGACACTGCTAACAATACTTTTTAGACCGCTGTGGTGCTGAACGCTGTAGAAGACACGCTACGGGACCAGAAAGCGGATTTCTCACCCACTGCCTATTTCGCCGCGCTTTTGGCCCTACTCTCACAGTCGCTGTCTGCCGCGCAAGGCATCGTTAATAAAGATCTAGCGACCTCTGTTGTCTACCTTCTCGATATCACTACAAACTATGTTCCCGCCCCGATCCTCCAAGCCAAGTTCTCCCAGATCCTTACCAGCCTTGCGCCCGCGCTCTCCCTCCCAGAAGTCGACGCTCCTCTTCTCCGACCATCTATTGGCTGTCTCGAGTCGCTGCTCATTGCACAGGATGCAGCGGCGTGGAATCTTCCCCATACCCAGGTTGGACCCCGGCGAGCCATTGCGGGACTACTCAGCTTGTCCGTGGACCACCGTCCGAAGGTGCGCAAGGGGGCACAGGATGCCTTGATCAAGGTTCTGAAGAACCCCCCGCCTAGCCCCTCTCTCGACCACCCTGCTGCAGACATGTGCGCGGAATCAGCGTTGAAAACCCTTAGCGACAGCATCGCCGCCGCATCGAAACAGAAGCGCGGGCGCAACGATCCTCACAACCGAGAGAACCATGACCCCCTTGTGATTCATTCTCTGCAGTTGGTAAAAACGGTTGCGGTTGCCTCGGGCGGTTGGCCGAGCAAGAAGATCGAGCCGCTGTGTGAGCTGCTGATGAACGCGTCCCGGTCGACCAACGAGTACATTACCATGGGCGCTTTCGAGGTTTTTGAGGTTATCTTCTCCAGCATGGCAAACGAGTTCACATCATCGAAACTTCCCCGTCTCCTTGAGGCGATTTCCGAGTTGAAGCCTGCCCAGAACGATTCACAACTTCTCCCTCCGTGGATCGCTGTGCTGTCCCGCGGTTACGACGTCTCTGCACAGATCGCCCCTGAAGATACGTTTGAGAAATTACCCGATCTATTCAACATGATCTCCAGCTATCTTGCATCCCCGTCGAGCAATATCCGAGTTTCCGCATCTGAGTGCTTGGTTTCGTTTGTCGCCAACTGCATTCCGGCTAACGTCATTATTGAGCCTTCCGTCTACGACGAGAAGACTTTGGAGAAGCTCGCGAAGGCAGCGAAAGATCTGCTTTCCGTGAAGTATCAGGCTGCGTGGATGGAAGTTTTTAATGTTTGTGCTGCCATGTTTGAGAGTTTCAAGTGGCAATCGAGCCCGTTCCTCGATGATGTCGTCCGCACCGTTGGAGAATTGCGCAGCAACGAAGCCTTCCAAGGAAAGAAAGAGGCAGACAACGTTCTTGGTGCCGCGATTGAAGCCATGGGCCCCGAAGCTGTTTTGGAGATACTGCCCCTCAACCTGATTGAGCAGAAAGCCGGCCAACCAGGCCGAGTTTGGTTCCTCCCGATCCTCCGCGACAGTGTCACTAACACAAATTTGCGCCATTTCCGTTCCGAATTCGTCCCTCTTAGCGAGGCTCTCTACCAGAGGGTCATGGAGTACGCCTCCGCGGAGAAGACTGTGGAAGTGAAGATATTCGAAACCCTTGTCCAGCAAACCTGGGCAATCCTCCCTGGGTACTGCGAGCTTCCGCTTGACCTGGCTGAATCGTTTGACCAGAGCTTTGCGGAGCTGCTGTCTAACATTCTGTACAAGCAGACCGAATTGCGAGTAGATATTTGCAGGGCGCTCCAGAACCTCGTCGAGTCCAACCAGGCCATCCTGTCTATCGAGACCGAAGGCGATGATTTGATCCTGCAACGCAGGATTACGAAGGAGGCGGCCAAGAACAACATTGCTCACTTGGCCGGCTTTGCTAGCAACCTCCTGGCGGTTCTTTTCAACGTGTACAGCCAGACTCTGCCGCATTACCGTGGTTACATCCTGCAGTGTATCAATGCTTATTTGAGCATTGCGCCCGAAAATGTTAGTATCCTGCTAATACCCCATCATTGTTCCAGACTAACTCTGTCCAGGAACTAAACGAAACATTCGAACGTGTAACCCAAATGCTCGAGGCCTCGGTGACCTCGGAGCAGGAAGCAGCTAAGCAGGACAACCAGGCTGGAAAGTCCAAAGACAAGATGCCGCCAACTTCTCACACACTCATTGACCTTGTCATCGCAATGTCAATCTACCTGCCTCGCTCGAGTTTTGCTACCCTCTTCTCTCTTGCGGCTGCGGTTTTGAACGGCGGCACTACTGATCAACAGCTCATCAAAAAGGCCTACAAGTTGATCCCCCGCCTAGCGTCAACGGAAACAGGAGCTGCCGCATTAAGGGAACGGAACGCAGAGCTCCAGAGTCTCATGCTTGCCACGGCTGATAAGACACCCGCTTCTGCGCGCCGTGATCGCATGCTCGCTATTCACGAACTCGTCTCACATCTCCCAACATCCGACCTCCACTTTATTCCTTCAATTCTATCCGAGGTTGTACTAGGCTGCAAAGAGAGTAACGAGAAGGCCCGTACCGCCTCGTTCGACATGCTCATTCACCTTGCAAAACGCACCATCGATTCTGAGCTGAACCCACCAGGCACCACGATCCGCAACTCTCTTGTCCCCCATATGCCTGACAACGCCCCCGATGCACCTGCTACGCTCGAGGAATTCTTCACAATGGTATCTGCTGGTCTCGCCGGTAGCTCACCTCACATGGTTGCCGCTTCGGTGACCGCGCTGTCGCGACTCTTTTTCGACTACCACAAGGAACTCCAGTCCTCCATGCGGATGGACCTTGTTCAGACCGTGGAGCTTTTCCTCACCAGCAACAACCGAGAGATTGTCCGATCCGTGCTTGGTTTCGTCAAAGTGGCCGTTGTTGTACTCTCTGACGAGGAGCTGCGCCCACGCCTGAACACCCTGGTGCCTAACCTAATGGTATGGAGCAAAGAGCACAAGGGCCGTCTTAAGAGCAAGGTAAAGGGTATCCTCGACCGACTAATCCGCCGCTTTGGAGCCGCCCCGCTTGAGGAGTTAGTCGGAGAAGCAGACCGCAAGCTTGTAGTCAACATCCGCAAGCTCCGCGAGCGCCGCAAGAAGAAGAAGAAGGAAGGCGAAGCTGGTGAAGACGAGGATGAGGACGAAGGGCAAGGCGGCGTGGCGGCTGAAAAGTCCACCAAATCCTTCGGCAACGCCTTTGACAAGGCCGTCTACGACTCAGACTTCTCCGACTCTGATGACGACGCCAGCGAAATCAGCGTCGACGACGAAGGTACAACACACGTCCAGAAGGGCGGTCGCAAGGCCCAAGGTCGCAAGGGTAAACAGAGCGAGCAGTACATCCGCGAACTCTCACCTGAAGATAACCCTCTCGATCTGCTCGCCCCGGATGCCCTCGCCAACATCTCCACCACAAAGCCTAGCGTGCGCTTCCTCAACACAGGCCCTGGATCGCGTCGCAAGCGCTCCGCCAAGGTCGGTCCTGATGGCCGTCTGCTCCTAGGTGGTGACGACAATGCTGAAGATGTTGATATGGCCGGTGCGGAGGGTGACAACGGCGAGAGTGGCATCAACGCGTATGTCCAAGCCGTTGCTGGACCAGACGCCATCCGCCGCGGCCAGCGCGGAAAGATCAAGATGGCGCAGGCGCAAAAGAAGAAGTCCCAGCGTGGCGATGAGATGGACGTCGACGATGATGGTGACAAAGCTGCTTCCGGCAACCGCCACTCCTCTTCCCAGTCTGGACGGGGAGGACCAGGCCGTGGCAATGGTCGCGGAGGCAGCAACCCCCCTGGCCGTCGCGGTCTCGGTATGCCCAAGACACATGGTCCCAGCGGGATCCAGAAGCGACGGAACCCCCGTGGTGGACAGAGCGGGCGAGGCGGGATCCGAGTTGGTAGGGGACGAGGGCGGAGGTAATCCAATCCATTACGGCCATTTGATATGACCCGAACAAAAATCTTCAATCCAACGTTTAGAAAATTATGAACATGCGACTTTTTTCTGTTTCCTATCTTTCCTTGTTATGAATACTCTCTTCGTGTTTGTCGTTAGGCTAGGTTAGTCTAGGTTGGTATGTCTATACCCTCTATTCACTCCTCGATTTTCCCACTCATCCATATTTTGGGCCCTCGCATGTATGCAGTCACAGAGTATGTGAACTAAGTGAGTAAGTAGATACAGGTGCAAATGCCCTCCAATTACGAACCAGTGACCCTACAATGTCGTACAATCAAATTATACGTAGCGTAGCACCGCCGAGCCCTACCTCCCTTACGGCCTAACAGTTATCATGACAATAATATGAAGTCCAGACCCAACCCCCTGCCCTGCCTCGCATCTTCCAGACCAGACCAGCTCAGCAATAACCTTGAGCGATGCCTAATGCCAACCCCATGCCAAGCACCCATAAGACAGGCTGGCTGCTGCCCATCCAGTCAGCCCATCCGCATGATGAATCCGAATCATCACACTGATCGACTGCTGGGTTCAGCCTTGCTGCTTTTTTTTACGTAATGGGTACTTGGTATTGGGAGGTCAGGTGAGGGAGGAGGAGTGGAGGTGTTCTGGCTCTGCAGACTGCAGGGCTGTCTTTGCTCGTCGGTATGGGTTATTTCTTGGCGGAGTGGCGCTGGCGTTGTCGCTTGCTTGGAACCAGCACTCAGTGTGGGTAAGTTTCATTGCCCTCGTCAAGGTGGCTGGGTAGAATGGGTGAATGGGATGGTTATCTATCCCAACGACACTACAGGATACAGCTACAAAATGGGGTGGGGTTGAGTTATGAATGATTGGACAGACTGATAGGACAAACCGACGACGCAAGACCAACCCGGGTATCAATTCTTGAGAGGTGTAGGTTGGTAAAGTACAGGGATAGACATGAACAGAAGATCAAGGGCCTTCTAATGTCGTGGCCCAGTGCCCGTTCGAGGGACAACGATGACAATGATTTGAAATAGGAAATCAGAGAAGCCCACGCGCCGTTGCAACCAGAACTCCAACTCCAAGTCAAATGTGCCGCTTCAAGGTATTGAGAAGAAAGAAAAAAATATAGAAAGCACCCAGTAGTCGTTCCACGTATCCCAACATTGGTATCATGCTGCATTAAACGGTTTAAATCGGAAAGAAGGCTCGCGCTGGAATGAAAGGCAGATGTCGTGAAATGGGAGCAGTTGGTTAGGGTTACCCAGACGAACGGGCTTTGCCTAACCATAGCCGCCACCATCGGGAAACGCCTAAGACAGCTGCTCGGCCGTCGTCTTTTCGTTCCGTGCCGTCGGGGTTACCGAGGATCATGGCAAAGATCCAGAAGAATGCGGCAATCCATGCGAGAAGGAGCAGGCCGAAAGACGTGAGTGACGACAGAAGAAGCACCATGATCAAGCCACCAATAGAGTAGTCTTCGCCGTAATCATTGTCAGACGATTGTTCGCCCTCATTATTCACCGACTGCGGCCGCAGCCCGATTAACCGTTCATGGATATGCAATTGCGGGACCAGGAGATCGCACAACTGTGTGCGGATTGAGGTCTTTCGCAGATACGGCACACAGGAGCAGAGCCGAAGAGGAGATATGAAAAGAGTGAAGAGTAGCCCGAATACAGTGTAGATGGAGGCGACGAGTGAGAAAATGGGTATGGGCAGCGACATCCGAAACTGCGGTTCGGCGGTTAGTCCCGCACGCTAGAGCGCCCAATGACAAAGAACTGATTGATCTACTCACCAGCATGAGCACGGCATCCTCGCTGTTATCTGAATAGAAATCAACATCTGGGCTTTCTCTTTTCGGGACGCGAGCGACACCAGGGTTACGATCCTCCCCCGACATGTATGATGAATGGTCGGTCCAACTCCCTCGGACGCGGTCTTCTTTGCGCGCGGCTCCGCTGCCGTAGGAAGAGAGTATGGGATTGCCTTCGAGATAGGCCGAGGGTACGGACGTCACTGGAGCCGCCGTGGGTTCAAGATCGGTATGGGGTAGACGTTTCACAGACGGCTGGAGGGAATGACGATTGGATTGAGGGTAAGCGGAGTCCCACGAATCGGAGGGATACGGTCTCGACGTGGAAGTGTGGACGGAGGCTCTTTCCGACGAGGGAAAGTCAACGATCCCGTCGTGGTTGGCGCCGCTGTGTTGCTGTGATGAGGGCTGCGTCTCCGCAGGTAGATAAGCCGTGGGAGGAACGGCTGGACGGCCCTCAGCATCGGAGAGGTATGCGGTCACAATCTGGGGTTGGTCCTGGTAGTAGGCGTGCGATTGGGACATGTCCGGTTGCCTCATAGCGGGCAGTCGAGGTCAAGGAGGAAGAGATAACGACAGTCGAGAGTCCGTGGAGCAAACAAGGGCGCAACGGAGATCTGCCCTTTAAAAAATGCGACGGCACGCCTAGGTGGTACAAGCAGTGCACAGCGAGAGCACCCGGAAGCAGTTCACTGCATGGCTCTGGGCGCAAGGGAGATTAATTTTCCTTTGCCTGATAATCGATAACCAGACGGCTGGCGGGCGGGAGGCGAAGGAGGGGGGCGTTCGACCAGGGAGCTAGGGAGCTAGGGGAGGAGGAGGAACAGAGGGGGGATGAGGGAGCGGAGGAGGTAGGAGAGGAGAGGAGAAAGAGCAAGGTTTATAAGGCCATGAGGGTCAGCCAGGAAGGTTACAGAAAATCCAAGAGAAGGACGAGAAAACCAAGAGGAGACCCAGACGAGAGCGTCGTTTGTCGAGAGCAATATGGGACTCTGCCAAGATGCGCCGAGCCTTGGCTGAGCGTTCGACCGTCCTCGGTCGGGGGCCGCCAGCAGAGAAAGAAGTCACTGCGACCAAAGCGGAGCTGGCCAGTTCTTGCATGGTGATACTCCGTATAGATCGGAGCATGCAGACCCAGGCTGCAGGCATACTGGCCGAAGAAACTCGCGGCCAGCGTCTGTTTTGCTGCGGCAGTGCGAGTTGCAGCCAGTGCCAAGCCCCTGTGGACATGGCCCTCCATACAGATTGGCCGCTTGCGCGACTGGGCTCTTGGCGTCCCCGTGACCTGGGAAGCCTTTCTTTCCGATCAGATCTGGCTTATCCCGTCTGCTATTATAGCTCAGTAATGGACTGCATTGACCTGACTGCAGTCAAGAAGAGCCGATGTTCTTATCCTCATTTCCTGGGTTGTAGAGACAAGTGATCTTGCTACACGGTACGGCGTAGATCTCAACCTACCCAAATCAGGCCCCGGTGATTGGCCGCAGCGTGCAAATCCCCCGGGCCAGGCTCCACCATGTTTTCGTGGGTGTTGTACGCCTTCATCTCGATTCTCTCTGCAACCTCCCCAGACACCTGGCCGCGTACTCCCACCCATGCTCAGTGGCTTGCCTCTTCCCACCCGTTGTATCTGCGGACCTCAGTATGAAACCTTTTCTCACGGTATCGGCGAGTCAAGTCGGGTCCGCGGAAATAAACGACTCAGCGCCGAGCCTCGCCCAGTGCCCAGAAGTTGTTGCCAACACCGTCTTACGCGATCAGGAGGGCCTTCTTTGTGTTCTTCCAATTTTGGGGCGCATATACCCAGTTGACAAGTAACATCCTGGTTACGGCTTGCTGGATGCAGCCGACATTAAGATATCGCAATCTGCGCGACAGAAGACTCAATAAAGTCACTACTGAGCGTCGTCGCGGCTTGAGACACTGACCCTCTCCCAAGCCCTTAGCTGTCGCAAATTCGTGGAGATCTAGAAAGCCGTAACCCATGGCTTTGCGGGATTGCTATCGTGTGGCGCGATTTAGCCTACCCCATTTACCCGCCCCCAGGGTATCCCGATCATGGGTCCTCCTGCTCTTGTCCATTTGTCTCGCCCTTGGCCGCGTGCCGAGGAATCGGGTAAGAATTATATTGCCTTGGCCTGGTCCGGTCCATTGTCTTTGGTCTTGTGCTTTGAATGTGCGGCTGGAGGCATATGATCTCTCCATCGGAGTGTAATGGTTGGACACTGAGCTGCCACTGAGATAGGTTCTGAGTAGTCGAGCAACTTGAGACTCGAAGGACCTCGATATGACAGATCAGCCTCGGCCAATAACCACCTTGTGCTCGAAGTTACAAGTACAACAGGTTCCTAGGGCTGACTTTAAATCCTCCGAGACAGCTCACAATCCAGATCATGCATGAGACTCTCGAGATTTCACAACCACTCCATCACAAAGCTTCTTGCTGCGCAATAACGAGCACGGCATTCTCTCCGATGTGGATTCATTGAGCACCGGGCATACGGATGGCAGTCGGTCTCCTGGATAGATACATGGTCAGTGCCTTTGGAGATCAGGCTTCTCCCGCGAGCTCGGCATGGGCGGCGCTCTTGAACTTGTGCGGCGTGATCAACTGTCTTGTGCCACGTCTTCTCCATACACGGGATAATCACCGATTAGCCGTGAACTCGACCCATCTTTGCCATGACTTACGGCGTCGGCAGACCGCCCTTGTGCTCTGCCGGTCTTCCGAGTAGCTGATCTTGGCTTGATGAAGATCAGCGATGATCACGGAAGGCCCTTCTTTGGCTTCTTTGTGCATGCCCGACGTGGAAATCCATTGTTCCTTACTCATGGGCCAGCACAACCTCAAGTTCAGTTGCGTGACAGATTCAGGATACATTCAGGATAAATTATCCTGCTGGTTAGGTGTCCTCAATGAGGATAATATGTCCCTTGTGAGCCCGAGGCCATCGCCTACAAAATTTGGCGTTGGTCCAAGGGCTAGGCTTCACTAGTCTGGGCTCAAGACCGCTGCTGCTACCTATTTGTGAGCATATTAGTACAACGACCCTTTGAGAGCATCAATTCCAGGCGATGAAATTTGAGCATGCCAGCCTTCAACTGAACCTTCAATGACAGCAATGTTTCTCGCGGAGCATGTGCTCTGACCAGCTTATCGCTGTCTGAGCTACGCGTCTTTGAGGCTCGTCTGTTGTAGAAGATACAAGAGTCGTGATACTTCTCTTAGGCTTCGCTGCAAGGCCAGGTCCGTTTAACAGCGTAGGGCTACCAAGCGTACAAGTGTATCAGGGAAACCAAGTGCAGAGTTACACTACCATAGCATCTGCCTGCTCCTAAGCAACCATGATGAGGATATGAAGGCTCACCTTGACACGCTTCAGCTTTAGCGGGCCCATGTCTCCAATATCACAATCATGCCTGCGTTTTCCGGGTTGTTAACGATATATCATCGCCAGTCTTCCTACTGTTGGCAATGAACGAGTTGAAGGACGGATCTTCTGGATAGGACGGCAAGTCAAAGTTCCTCAAATAAAGACACACTAAACTACCAGGTTATTCGATCAGATGAAATCATTTCTGACCTAACGCTACTATTCCAATCGAGTCACACACTTAGGTACTCCGTAGTCATAAGCACTGCGCTACTGCGTAGGTAAGCGTAGCAGAGTGAGCTTGTAAGCAGTGATCTCACCCCACCGCCACTGGCAAGGCGCCTGGCCTAAGATCCATGAAACAAGCATCTATATAATTTATCAGAGCCTCTATCCGCGTCGACTGGATTTCAGTCCGTCACTACACCCGCCCACAACAACCTAGCATTCGGAGGACAGTACTGCCCTCTCATAACCACCACAATCTACCCAGCAAGCGCACTAACATTCCTTGAAACAACACAGTGCAATCGCCTTACAAGCCCTCATCAAAGTCCTGCACCAGGCCCATCTACATCAACAACCAAAACTGGTTCCCATTTCAACTCCCTCCCTCCCTCTCTTTCAGTTTCCAGCCCCCGGTGAAGAAAGGCAGCACCAGCAGAGTGCAGCAGCAGCACACCCAGCTAATCCTCTACGTAAGCAAGGCCAGATTACAATGACACGACATTGACACGACACAGCACGGCGCAGCGCAGCGCATCCCTCGTATGCTGTGCGACTACAACCTCACTTGCAACAAGAGTAAGACCACCTGGGTACATTCCTGGGTTTGGCGATCCCCTCTCGCACCGCGAGCAGCAAAGGTACACATTAGGTATTTTAGGCCCCCCGCATTTCTGGCTGACGCTGCAGAAGACAGGGAACGCTGGCCCGGGGCCGGAAGATGGGATGCTCCGGAGCTTACTTTCTGAGTCTGAAGAATCAAGGAGGTGGAAATGGATTTGATGCGCGACCGATCTGCAGCATGCTGTATGACATGGGGCATTGGCGTTGGCGTAAGGTTGGCGTTGGCGTTGGGATTGGGATTGGGACGTCCGTGGGACTCGGTGCAGTCTGCAGATTTGCAGTGCTTGCTTGCTGGGGTAGATCGGTGGGTGGGTCGTGTGCTTTGCTTTTGCTTGGTAGGTGCTTCTTTGCTTCCTTTGTGGATTGCTTTTCTGTCTTTTGCTTGTTTTCGACTTGGGAAGACTTGTTGGGTTTGGATATATGCGCCGATATATATTAGCGGAATGACCTGGTGTCTGGGTGTCATTGACAGAACGTCACGACGGAGAAGAAGGATTTCTAGGAACAGCGAGCATAAAAGCTATATTAAGGATTTTGATTCCAGATTCCAAGCATGCAGAAGCAGCGGGATGCAGAATGCGCCTGCATTTGACCTTATAGTCCCAAGCCCTGTAGCAGGGCACGGATCCATAAGTTCTGTATACGGGTTCTAGCAGCAGCAAAACCCCGAGTGACGCTGCAATGGCTAAGTAAGTACTTCGGGACCAGGTCGAGGTAGGTTCGATTCCAATTCTGACTGCCCAGGGTATATATCAGAATCCATGTCATTGTGCTTATCCATTGTGATTCCGACTGCATTTGACCTGGGCCTTCGGGGTTCTGCGCTGCGCTGTGCTGTGCTGCGGTATCACAGTCCGGCCTGACAGCACGTACATCTGTTTACAAATTGATCTGTCTCCTCTGTTTCATAGAGATTATATGAGGTGAAAATAGAGGTAGGTCACATGATGCAAGGCATGGTTGGGTTCATGACGGCCGTTCTCGGATCGGATCGAAGTGCTGCAGCGGAATATGCCGGATACCTTGGCCGAGGTCAATAGCTTGTCATGGGCGGGATCGCGTGCTGCATCCATCTATGGTCATATCATAACTATGATATGTTTCATCGATCCTTGGTTCAGAGGTGGGCTAGCCAGACTCATGCTAACCCTGGATACGCTCCCCGGGAGGACAAATAGGTTCAACTGTTTTCTGCTCCGTCAGGCAGCTTGAAGACGTGGATGATCTGTCGATGAGATTTGACTTTGCAAGATATACTTCATAACCGATTATCGCAATCGCTGTAGCCAGCACTATAGACGGTCATGCGGAGAAACTCTGAAGCCAGGGAGGGAAACATGGCATGATGTCTTTGAGGCAGGGTTCAGTTCCCGCCCTCAACTACCGCGGAGCCTAGATACGACTGGGCAGTGAGAGGTCTCCAATTGATAGCCACTGACGCTGCTTACTGTTCGATTGAGATCATTGGCCCGGTACTCGGATAAGACGACGCGGGATAGGCCAAGAGATGGATACGGAGATACTTGGGCAATGGGAGTACTCTGTGTCAGAGCAAATGCGCATGATGTGATGTGGCTTGAATGGCTTCGCTTGCCGTGCGCCTCTTAGACAAGTGGTGGGCTTTCGTGGCCCAGATCTCCGATCCCCCAAGAAGACGGGACTTCTGCGTCTTACTTTGGATAGTCTTGATAAGTTGATCGAGTAGGGAAATATTTCGCTGAAATATCTCGTCGAAGTGTTGTTGGCGAAGCAGCAGATATATATCTTGACTGATGGGTCGCTTCATGCCCATGATCCGGAGTGTAATAACGAACGGGTGCCCATTGCCAGCTGTTGCACCTATCACTCAGAAAAAAGCATACGTGAAACACACACCTCACTGCAAAGTATATGCGGAGGATTCCTTCAGATGTCATTCAATCTTCAGGGTCTTCATTAACGTGGTGAGCAAGCCCAGCTGAATAATAATATTAATGAGATGACGAGTCTCACTCTCAAACCTTCCAGGCGGCCGTTCCTCGGACCCGAGACGAAGGGATTTCTTTGTGTGGTTGTGGATTGGGTTTGCTCCGTCATCGGGCGCCACATCCACATCAGCCCTGCATGCATCATTCAGGCTGACAAGGTCTTTGTCGAGACTCGAGTTCCTGAACATAAGCACTTATTACTCGGTAACGGGCAGTGTGTAAAAGTTGTCGCAGGCTCGGTCGGTCTTGCCAAAATTCTCCATCCATGTCGATAGGGGTCATGGGTTGTGTGCCGACCGGCAGCAAGGGCGTTGGACAGAAAAAGCAAGTCAGCGATCGGGCGCTCCACTTGAGGCGATGTATCAAGATCAGCCTGGAGCGCTCGGGAACGGCCCACCGGCCAGAGTCCGTTGGATTGTGGCTGCAGGCCTGAGGCAGCTAAGCCGGCCTGGAGCTCTGGAGCTGGATGGGAGCTGGTGGCTGGGCGCTGCATCGGGTCTAGCGTAGGGTTAGCTAAGCTGCCGCGCCGCGCCCGCACCGACCAGCGGCTTGAAAGATGAATCTGATTCATGATGCCGCCATGACGGAACAATCTCCCCCAACCAAACTTTGTCTGCCACAGTGCCACTCTGGCCCGTTCATCTTGTTTCTCCTGAGTTGACTCTAGCCACGGCCACGGCCACGGCCACAGTCCACACAGCCCGAATTGTTACTCCTGTAAACAGTTCGATCGAAGGCGTAAAGCTACGGAAAAATAAAAATCAATCATGGTGACAATGCATCTGCGAAACAACGCATAAGGTAGTCGGCTGGACACTCCAGCTGCCGGGAGTATGCAGCGTTGTTTGACGGACAGACACCGTTGTCCCTGCTTCGGCGCTTCCCTGCTGAAGGGGAAAACAGCCTGACGATCCCGGCCGTCAGTGCTCAGCTGGGATTTTGGTGCTGGGTGATAGATCCGACAAATTGCTTTTGGGGGGGCGCTTTAGCCTTTTTCGCACAAGGCGCCTGTGACTGCAGATTGCAGAAGGGCCGGCCCCATCCAAGCGTGGAGATTGGAGTGGTGGAGTCACGACTCACGCAAGCGTGCCAATCTCCTCGGGTCGAAAATCCTCGGGCTCCAGCTCCAGGACGATTCCGCGGCTTGCAGCATGTGTGGAAATATGCCAGCAGACTAGCCCTCTCGGCGGGGCAGCGGTTACGGCATGTATGGGCGGATAAGAGGTGAGAAAAACGCCTCATGCCAGCTTCCCTGCTCTTAGGCAGGCCACTTATTATAGGAGGATGCCGGGAGCTTACCGGCCCTGTCCCTTAGCAGGCTGAGCTTATGGCATACTCCGGAGTCGCACACCCAGTCAGGGATGTGCGGGCCCACCGTGACCGTCATGAATTATTTGCGCTAGTTAATTTTATTAAATTGCCTAAATCATAAAAATGGCACGGGGAAAGGTGGAGCCTAGTGGGTCTAGCCCACATGAAGCCACTCGGCGAGTCACAGCTCGTCTCTGGGGGTTCGTGCTGGGCAGATTCCCTCATCCCTGGATGGCGGATGGCTGACACTGTTGCTCCGGCGCTTCGAGTCGTCAGACATTGCCCTGTTTTCGACTCCATCCATGCGCTTTCTTTTTTCTTTCTGAACAGGTCTCCTTTGTCTTTGCCGAGTCTGCTCAATAGTCCATAATATTTCCCGAGGATTCTCTTCCTGGACGAGGGCTTTGCGACTGTATCACTGCTATCTTGGGGATCACTAGCGCCGCACTGCTGGTCCTTGATACTGGCCCTCGGAATGTTTTTATTTTTGCATTTTTTTCTTTGGCCCTTTGTCCCCTAAGCCCAAGGACTCAAGGAGTACTTGCTAGCTCGTCGGCGGCAAGCCTCGTATAATGTGGGCCACATGCTCCTACGGAGTACATAAGTACGTATATTAATTTGTGCCCCGCTTGCCAGCATGACACGCTTTGTCGGCTAGCTCCTTAACACAGTCACATCTCAGACTGAAAACTTGTCCTTCCGGAAAGGGAATGGAGAGGAATGGGGATGTCCACGCGAGCGGCGGCCGCCGCTCGAATCTTTGGCTCCAGCTGGGGTGCATACGGTGCTCCATACTCATAGTAGGTATACTTGGCTGTAGTCTATCCCAGTTGTCTGTATACCCAAAGTAATGACGAAGAGACTGGTTGCAGCCTTTAAGGAGTCTGTCCTCGGACCTGGGGCGTCAGCGCCGCACCGGAGAATTGCCAGCCAGGCTTCACTTAACCGCGGATATGACGGCCCCACCAGCTAGACTCTTCCTGGATGTCAAGCTGCCTTTTCTGCTCTTGATTAATTTTAGGTGCCTGAAAGATCAGACATCGACCGTAGTGGTTGCGGTTTGTCCTTTGGTGTGGTTTTGGAGTTTGGACGCCGCCAGCCCCTCGACCTTTCTTTCTCCCATCCCTTCCCGCTCTTCTTCTCTCTTCTTCCTCTCCTCCTTTTGGCGCCTCTTTTCTGCTCCTTTTGGACTGCTTTGTCTTGTGCCCTTCTCAGTCCTATATCCCCCCTCACCCACCTTGTCTTCTCCGTACTTCAATTCTTGTGTCTCCCTCCCCTTCTACATCAACCCCTTCATTGCAATTTGGCCTCTACTTCGCTTGCTCTCCCACTGCTGTATCTCCTCACTGTCTGGTCGCTTCATCTTTCGCCTCATCATTTATAAGTTTCGCTGTTCTTCATTCTCTTCTTCACTGTCTTGTGTTTTTATATTCATTTTACCCACCTTTTTGCCAAGAACGAGGTGATCGGACACGCCTTCTACCGCTCGACTGACCTGCCTCCTTACGTGCTGCCAGGCCGACGTTTGGGGGTTTTGGTTCCGGAACGAACGTTGCGACTCGCTCACAAGGTCATTGGGTTACCATCTTGCGCGACCATCTATACCGGGGCTGTGCGACACCCAGGTAACACGGGGATTGGTTGCATCATTGTGTCGCGAAGTTAATCGCTATCATCCGAAACCGGCTGGCTGCTTTGCGATTTTATTCTAACCCGCCTCTCACGCCATGGCTCACACCCAGCCGTCGCCCACTGGCGGCGTCACTCCTCACCATGGGCACCTAGCTGCTCACCCAGTGAATGGCCATCTGCCTTTGCAGTCGCCGGCGCAGAAGCCCCCGCCCAGCACTGCCCAGAAGATCGCGGCTTTGAATGAGCAGGTCTGGCTACAGATTGGTATGGATTGCCCTGCGATGACGCGCTCGGCGCAAACATCGAGATACTGACTGTTTTTCTATAGGCAACTTGACTGAACTGATGGGCGATCTGGATGGTGCTATGAATGCGTATGAACAAGCATTACGGCACAACCAGTGGTCTATTCCTGCTATGAACGCGATCTCCTGCATCCTTCGAACGAGAGAGCAGTTTCCTAAGGCCATCGAATACCTTCAGAATATTTTGAAACTCGATCCTGGCAGCGGAGAAACATGGGGAAGCTTGGGTATGTAGGCAAACAGCAATGGCGCGCCAAACGACTAACGTGCCATCTCAGGTCACTGCTATCTCATGATGGATAATTTGCAGGAAGCATACACGTCCTACCAACAAGCGCTTTACCACTTGCGCGACCCTAAGGTTAGTATTGTCACCGTTCGGCTCTTCATCAATTCCTAACGTAGGCATAGGAGCCCAAACTGTGGTATGGAATCGGTATTCTTTACGACCGCTATGGTTCTCTCGACCACGCGGAAGAAGCCTTCTCCCAAGTAATGCGGATGGCCCCCGACTTCGAGAAGGCCAATGAGATCTATTTCCGCCTGGGCATAATTTACAAGCAGCAGCAGAAGTTCAACCAGAGTTTGGATGTAAGTGCACAATTACTGCTTGACGAGCGGATCCTGACTAGTTTAGTGCTTCAAATACATTGTCAATGATCCCCCACGTCCTCTAACTGAGGAAGACATCTGGTTTCAGATCGGTCACGTGCACGAGCAGCAAAAAGACGTAAGTGGCATATCCTGAACAAAGGTTACTTGAGTTCTGACAGTATTATAGTTCGACGCTGCGCAGCAAGCTTATAGACGCGTTCTGGACCGTGATCCCAACCACGCGAAAGTGTTGCAGCAGCTGGGTTGGTTGTACCATCAACAAAGCGGTAGCTTCGAGAGCCAGCAGAAAGCCATCGAGTATCTCGAGAAATCAGTCAGCGCAGACAACTCGGATGCCCAGAGTTGGTACCTCCTGGGTCGCTGCTACATGTCGCAAGCCAAATATCCCAAGGCTTACGAGGCCTACCAGCAGGCAGTCTACCGTGATGGCCGTAACCCCACCTTCTGGTGCTCGATCGGTGTCCTGTACTACCAGATCAACCAGTACCGCGATGCGTTGGATGCATACTCGCGTGCTATCCGCCTGAATCCCTACATCTCGGAGGTGTGGTATGACCTGGGAACTCTTTACGAGTCCTGCAACAACCAGATCGCTGATGCGCTTGATGCATACGGCCGTGCCGCTGACTTGGATCCCACCAACGTCCACATCAAGGCTCGCCTGCAACTTCTGCAAAGCCAGCTCTCAGGCTCCGGCCAAACCAACGGTCCCGCCCCACAGCCCCAGGACGTCCACCCTCAGGCTTACCAGGCTCCCGGTGTTGGTGCCCCGCCTGCACCTCAGTGGGGAGCTCCTGCTCCGACAGGAGGACCGCCTGCTCAGGCCCCTGCTCCTCCTCAGCAAATTGATGCCTGGAACCGCAACATCAACGACCTTCGATCCCAGGCCCAAGCGCCCGTCGCAAACGGCTTCGATCCTCGCGACGGACCCCGCCCCGGTGCTATCCAGCAACCTAGTCCTCGTCAAGAACCAGGCCGAGGCTTGCCCGATGGCGCGCGTCCGCTCGGTGTGCGGTCGCCCAAACCTGGTCTTGCTGTCTATCCTCCTGGTCATGCTCTCCCCCAGCTCGCCAATGCTCCTCCACCGGCTGCTGATCGTGCCCCTAGCGGTGCTGGCTTCGCTTCCGCTCCCCGTGGTGCCTTGCCTCCCGGTGCTGCTCCAGCTGGTCCGGCTCCTAATGGTGCGCCTGGCTCTGCCGGCCCTATGCCTCCATACCACCGTCCTTTCACACCACCCACAGAAATCAGACCAATTCGTGACGAGCGGCCCTCTTCTCCTGGATCTACATACCCTCACCAGAACTACCACCACGGACCCAGTGTGGCAGTTCAGAGCTCTAATAGCGCGGGCATCGCGGGCATCGCGGGCGGCGCACCTGCGCCAGCCTCTGCTATCTCTGCTGCTGAGGCGGCTGCGCGTGACCGTGAAGACCGTCCTGGCTCGGCCATGAAGCGTGGACGGGAATGGGAAGCTGATTCCGGTCCTGTCAAGAAGATTGCAAGTGAGGAAAATCGGTCGAGACTCGAGGAGCAGATCGGGCGCCGCGTTCCATCCCCTACTCGCTTGCCCTCGCCTGGCGAGATGCAGCGCCGCAGCTCTTCTGAAATTCGTCGTGAGGACCAGCGCCGGGCAAATGAAGGCTACCATCCCTCCGAAGCAGCTCATCACCCGCAAACGCTGCCTTCAATTCAGCACATGCCGCAACATGCTTCCGGTGGCAGCCTTCCGCCAATGGCCGAGACCGCCCCCACACCGGCCAATGGATCCGCCACTGTTCCTCCTACTACGCAAGTCCAGGTCCAAGTTCCTGTCAAGGAAGAGCATGCTCGGGCCGAACAAGCTCCAATTCACGAGCCCGCGGCCCGCAAGATGGAGGTCGATGAGGATTACGATGACGATGGTGATGATGAGAAAAAGGCTGCTGTGAAGGGTAGCCCTCATGGTAGCGGGACAGGCAGCGCCAATGGTAACAGTAACGGCGTTGGCAAGTCGGAAGCCGCCGCCTAAGACTTTGGCCTTCACAACATTATGTCTGAGCACGCCAAAGCATTATCTCCATGTCACAATTTAAGATTTGAATGATGCCCTTGTTATGAGAAAACCCCCTACCTTCGTTTCCACCCACAATTTCTTTCTTTCAGCTGTCTTCAATCTCCCTGTGTTTTAGCATTTTTTACTTTGGTGGCATCTACACTTGCTGTTTTAGCCCTTAGGTTAGTTTACTCTTAGGTTAGCCAGAGGTTGTATTGTACAGTCGGAACTGATTGTGTCCAATACAAGCAACAATCATCTATTGTATTTTTGGATCCGTTTATTCTAGTAGTCCTTAAATCAAATACGGCAATAGAATTGTGGATACGGAGTATAAAAGTCCATGGACTCGAGGTGGAATTCCAGTATACTTGAAAATTGAGCGATCCAAGTGGGCACGTGCGTGATGCCTGAGGCTGCGTAGGTGTGCGCTAGCCCCAACGGGGCTAAGTGCCAAGACTTCTCGCTTAGACGGCGCCCACATTCGTTAAGCGTTGCAAAATCGGACTTGCGGCCAAACCTGGAGATAGACACTCTCACTCACCTCCTCGACAACTAACGACAACAGGGTCAAGATGTGAGTATATCGCTGCTCGATGAAGCGACGATCTTTTCAATGGACAATTGCTGATTTATTTTCGTCTAAATAGGAGTCACCGGAAGTACGAAGCGCCTCGGCACGGTTCGTCCACCTTTTTCGCCCTCGACCTTCGAGATACGGGTTTTCGTGTGTGGGATTTGTACTGACTGACAATTGTTCAGGCTCCCTTGCCTACCTGCCCCGCAAGCGCGCTGCCAGACACCGTGGAAGGGTCAAGAGGTTAGTTTTGGAGCGAACAATTTTGTTATCGGAAATTGAAGGGACGAATACTGAATTTTTTTGCGACAGCTTCCCCAAGGATGACCCCAAGAAGCCCGTCCACCTGACGGCCTCCATGGGCTACAAGGCCGGTATGACCACTGTTGTCCGTGACCTTGACCGTCCCGGTGCCAAGATGCACAAGAAGGAGGTTGTCGAGGCTGCCACCGTCATTGAGACTCCTCCTGTACGTTCGAAAATTTTCCGTGGAGTGGTTAAGCTTTTGTGTGTGCTGACCATTACTAGCTCATCGCTGTCGGTGTTGTCGGTTACATCGAGACTCCCCGTGGTCTCCGCTCTCTCGCCACCGTCTGGGCTGAGCACCTGAGCGACGAGGTCAAGCGTCGCTTCTACAAGAACTGGTACAAGAGCAAGAAGAAGGCTTTCACCAAGTACGCCAAGAAGCACTCCGAGGAGAACGGTGCCTCCATCACCCGCGACCTCGAGCGCATCAAGAAGTACTGCACTGTCGTCCGTGTCCTCGCCCACACCCAAATCCGCAAGACTCCCCTCAAGCAGAAGAAGGCCCACCTTATGGAGATCCAGGTCAACGGTGGCTCCGTTGCCGACAAGGTTGACTTCGCCCGCAACCTCTTCGAGAAGCCCATCGAGATCGACTCCATCTTCGAGCAGGACGAGATGATTGATGTCATTGCCGTCACCAAGGGTCACGGTTTCCAGGGTGTCACCAGCCGTTGGGGCACCAAGAAGCTTCCTCGCAAGACTCACAAGGGTCTCCGCAAGGTTGCCTGTATCGGTGCCTGGCACCCTAGCCACGTCCAGTGGACCGTTGCCCGTGCCGGTCAGATGGGTTACCACCACCGTACCTCTTGCAACCACAAGGTCTTCCGCATTGGCAAGGGCTCCGACGAGGCCAACGCCTCCACCGAGTTCGATGTCTCCAAGAAGCAGATCACTCCGTATGTCTCACAATCCAAGTTTTCCTACATTTATGGACAGTTACTAACAGTGATATCACAGTCTTGGTGGCTTCGTTCGCTACGGTGAGGTCAAGAACGACTTCGTCATGGTCAAGGGTTCCATCCCTGGTGTTAAGAAGCGTGTCATGACCCTCCGCAAGACCCTCTACCCCCAGACCAGCCGAAGGGCCACCGAGAAGATCGATCTCAAGTGGATCGACACTTCCTCCAAGTTCGGTCACGGTGCTTTCCAGACCCCCGAGGAGAAGCGCGCTTTCATGGGTACCCTCAAGAAGGACCTCGTTACTTCTGCTTAAGGTGTTTACGGAGATTATGGCTTGGTGTAGTACAATTTATTATGCGTCTCAATAAAAAAGCGAATACTTCAACCTTTTTTTCCTGTAAACCATTCTCTCCGTAGAATAGCTACTTTGCGAACGACCGCGAGTATGTTCTAGAATCGTACTCTCCGCTGTAACCTGAAATGTATATCGTAGATCTCGTAGTCACGGCGGAGCTGGTTGAAAATCCTGCAGTTCCCGCCTGGCGATCTCAAGCATCCTTGAACAATCAACAAGGCAGACCAGTAATTCTTCTTGATTTACTTACTAGTCCACTTTTTCTATAACATCTCGCCTACATATTACTCACGCTTTCCGTCGTTTGTCAACATGCGCAGGTGGCAGTGCTCCCGCAAGGCCCATTGCGTCATTGATCACCTCCGTCCCTCTTTCGCTTCATCACATTTAAAGCCAGCCACAATCCTGCGCCAGGTCTCCTCATCAACTCAACATTACTCAAACCTCACATCTACTCAGTTAGGAACACAATTCCGAATTACAAGTGCCCACGCTGTATCCAGAACAACAACTTACATTCATCAACCCACATCACCACTATCAACAACCCGCACCATGTCCTCCGACAACGACTACATGGCCTTCCTGAACAAGGCAAACGCAGACCTCGACAGCGGCCGCTCACAACCAGCAACTACCACCCAGCAAGCCCGCACAGAGACCGTCGACGTCGACGTCAAGGTCCCTACCCCGCTTACCTCCGTCGACGCATACTACATCTCGGACACCGACGAGCCGTTTGAGCCTGTTGCGCTGAGATGGGAGGGCGCGCAGAGGGGCGTGTGGCCTGATGCCTGTAAGTTGCCCACCATGCATCTTTCTACAATGTCCAATTACAATGATGACCCCCCGATGCTAACTTATTCCGCTCCGTTTTATCCAGCAACCTTCTCGAAACTCATCTCCATCAACACAGACCTCTCCGACTCCATTGAGACGTTATCGCCTTCCTCGTTCGACCCGAGGAACCAGTATGCTTCTGTGCTTAAGGCTGTGCGTGCTGCCGCCGTTGAGAGCACGCAGGGCGATGACTCGGCGGTTGAGGTGAAGATCTATCGCGCGGAGGTTGGAACATCCAGGATTGAGTACTATATAACGGCGTTGGATAGTGAGGCGGGGTTGCTTGTTGGGTTGAGGGCGAAGGCGATTGAGAGCTAGATTGTGATGTAGGTGGCTCTTTTTTTCTCTAATCTCTAATATTTGATTATTATCTCTTTTCCATGGCTGTGATGCATTTTTTCTTTTTGTTCTAGTTGTTTGGAAATGACATGCCAGACAGACGCCATGGATATAGGCCATCGCATTCTTGTCGGGTTTCTTGTAGCAACGAGATTTCGCGTCCATTCTTCATCTTGTATCACTGTATGTCTGTCTACTCTGTAGAAGACTGATCGCATCTGGATAATGGTACAGTGCACCACGGTAGGGATATCGCGAGGCTGGCTAATTGTTGCATGAAGTAGGAGCCTCAATCTGATCCGCACCTGCAGCGCCATCAGTTCCCCATGGTAATTTGGAAGGCTTTACCTCTATCCTGCAAGTAAATCACTAGATTCTTTGCAAATGCGCAATCAAGGACTCAAGGGTTCGTTTCGCCCCAAGCATTCCTCCAGTTGGCCCAGGCCTGCCTTGACCTGGAGGGTTGCGCATACAGGAGTATCCGTAGGCTACTCCTAGCAATGCCTGGACTGCCTGGATTCTACCAAAATAATACTACTTTCACAATGCGCACTGACTCCCAAAATAACAAAGCCAAAAATGTCAAGAGGCGTCCATTCCTGCCACTTTTGGAGGGGCTCCCAATCTTCCATCCCTTCCCTCACTGACCCCATCCAAAGCCAGCCAGGCTTCCTCGCTCGTTCATTCTCGCCCTCCGTCGCCGCTCCATTCTTGTCCCTCCATTCTGTTTGTTCTTGTTTTCCCTAGTATGGGACTCTCCTTTCGCTCTTGGACTAGCATTGTCCGGTTCTCGAGTGATTACGCCGTTCTTTCGCTGCAATTGCAACAACAAGCGCGCTGCTGCCAGTCATAGTACTACCTAGCATTGTACTGCTTTGGTTCTGCAGCATTGAATGAGTCACGCCATTATTTAGTTGTTCGTTGACAGTTACGTCGACAGAGTTCATTGGGATCATACCTCGAGTTTGACGAGAACGGCCGTCATTGTCGCTACCAGACACGGGTTAATACAGAATCGACACATGGAATAACTGCTGGATCGAAGAAGAGGTGGCATTGAAACGGAATACGCGCGGCACATCCAAAGACACAGCACAGACACCATGTCCGAACCCTCCCCAGAACTCCCCTCCCGGGAAACACCCCATATCCGCCTCAACTCGGAGCAACACGACGTCCTCGCTGATGAGGACGCCAGCTCCCTCCCTCCAGTTATTTTAAGGCACGGCGTAATCGGAGCCGGAGCCAATGCACGCCCTCTAACACCACGAACGGACTCGCTCCACTCAACAGGCACGCTCCTAACAGTATACTCATCATTCAATCACCAAGGCTCAACAGAATTCTTGATACCGCCGCGGCCGCAGATGCAGAGACAGCGATCAGCTGGTGAAGATGTGAGGTCGCCTCATTTGTCTCTTCTCTCATTGCGACGCGCAAGCTGGAGCTCGGTAGGCACCTTTTCTACAAAGGGGGGAATCAACACCTCGCGCTCACGTTCACGTTCGCGTGCAGAGAGTGAGGGCGATGATCTAAATACGCAAACAGTGACGGAGAAGTATAATGTCACGCCGACGGACGGGCTGCTGCTGTTTCCGGAGGATGTGGAGAAGGATGATTACCTGCATAATCCTGATCCGGGCGATGGGGAGCGAGAGTGCGACATCTGGAATAAGCGGGGTATGATCAATGTGGGAGGGTTGGTGCTGCTGACGATTGGATTCTTGGTGCTGTTTGTCGGGTATCCTGTTGTGTAGGTGTTCGGTCTCCATCGTCTTTCAAGTTTGTGGACTGACTGAAGGGTTAGTATGGCGTTGAAAGGGTTTGAAAAGACGAAGTCGGGTTGCACTCCGGGAGACACATTATGTCTTGATGTTGGGGATCGGCCTCTACTGTCTAATATACGCAGGGGCTTGATAGACCCTGATACCCCGGAGTCGGCGCATTCGAAAATGTCGGCGGACGGGAAGGAATGGAAGCTTGTGGTAAGTCAATTTAGGGCTATGGTTTATATAACCCGCCCTGACATGTCTAGTTCTCGGACGAGTTCAACACTCCAGGACGTACATTTTACGATGGCGACGACCCCTACTACCAAGCCGTAGACATCTGGTACGGCGTAACGGAAGATTTGGAGGTTGGTCAAACGTGCACCCTACCGTCAGGCCCTAACAGAGTAAACCAGTGGTACGACCCCGACTCCGTAACAACCCGCGATGGCGTCCTCGAAATCCGCTTCGACGCCTTCCCCAACCACGAAATGAAATACCGCTCCGGCATGGTCCAAAGCTGGAACAAGCTCTGCTTCTCCGGCGGTCGACTAGAAGCAAGTATCTCGCTCCCCGGCGACGGCGAGACGTCTGGTTTCTGGCCGGGGTTCTGGGCAATGGGGAACTTGGGACGACCGGGCTATGCCGCAACCACGGAGGGCATGTGGCCGTACAGCTATTATGATGAGTGCGATGCCGGGATCACGCCGAACCAGAGTTCCCCGGATGGGATCAATTGGCTTCCGGGCATGCGGTTGCCGGCGTGTACTTGTCCTGACTCGGACCATCCCAGCCCTGGACGGTCTCGCTCTGCGCCTGAAATAGATGTGATCGAGGCTAGTGTTTCGCCATTAAATGGTGATGGTGCCACGATGGTTGGCTCCGTGTCTCAGAGTTTGCAGATGGCTCCGTTTGATATCTGGTATATGCCTGATTATGGTGAGTATATCTTACCCTCTATACCACGCTCCCAAGCAATCAACCCAAACACAAAACTAGGCTAATCAACTGTACAGACTACACCGCCGTCTACGACCAAAACGTAACCCAAATAAACTCGTACCGCGGCGGCCCCTACCAACAAGCCATGTCGGGCCTCACAAACCTCAACAACGACTGGTACAACGGCAAAGCATACCAAACCTACGCCTTCGAATACACTCCGGGCATCCAAGGCAGTGTAACCTGGTTCGTCGGTCCCGAAAAAACATGGACGCTTGACGGGCGCGCCATTGGCCCCAACGGGAACGTGGGCCAGCGCGTTATTCCGCTGGAGCCGCTGGCCGTCGTCATGAATCTGGGCATGGCGTGGAACTTTGCGCCCATCGATGATGATATCAAGAAGCAGATTCCGGCGTATATGCGCTTTGATTATATTCGCATCTATCAGGATCCGGATGAGGTTAGTGTTACTTGTGATCCACCAGGTTGGGAGACGACGGGGTATATCGAGGAGCATCCGAGAGCGTATACGAATTATAATAAGACGACATGGTATGTTTATTCTCACTGTCCCATGCGGATAGTTACCCTTGATCACTAGCTAATTGGATTTATTTCCTCCAGGACCGACGCTGGATATGACTGGCCGACGAACACGTTGATGCACAAATGCTAGTCTGGTCTCGCCTCTCTGATTCTCTATTTACCTTCTATCTACAGCGGCATGTCCGTTACATTCACTTATACTTACAAGTCGTTTAGCGGCATCTAATCTGGCGTTGAGGCTGTCGTGTACTTAACTTCACTTGATTTTGTACGTTCTTCAGTATCCTTCGAGCTGGTGGTTCAAAGGGCCATACCTCGTTTCGATGTTGTTATTATTATGTTGATTTATTTATTATTGTTTAGTTCGGATTGCTTTGATTGAATGCCTTTCTTCCATCCATTTAGTTGCGGGCATCACGACGTATTCCTTACTTACTTACCTACAGTAGCCGCCTTTCTATTCAATTTGGTGTTCGGACTGGACAATGCAGTGCTTAATTGAGCCTGGTTGTTTTGGAGCTCGTGATTGCATAGCTACGTACTGCTGAAGCTCGAGCCGGCTTGACCATTGTTCGATTCACTCTGATGCCGAATTCATGCTGGATGGACGGACTCTTGATGCTTTGTGACAATCGAAGAGGTCATACCACAAAGGCACGGAGGGAGAGGTGTCCAAGAAGAAACCGAGTGGTGTCGTGATGGATGTGCCGAGGATCAGGAAGAAGGGGACTAGGGCTGGGATGGAAGGATGGATGTAGAGGGAGAATGCCAGGGCAATACAGAACGTTATCCGCCCGGGACCACGGTATGCTTACAGATGATGTCTGGAGAGGTTGCAGCTCTAACAAGAGCGGTACGGGCCGCACTGATGGCGCAGGTCCTATGGCACGAGCGAGCGAGCTTCAGCTGCCATTTAGAGTAAGACGGGGAGAAAGAGAAGGGGAGAGGAAGAAGAAGCGCCAGCAAACATACCCTGAGCCGACCATGAATAGGCAGCCAAGTTCGATCTTCCTCCTCATGGGTATCCGCATTCGCATAATTAGAGGAGCCCGAGCACCAAGATCCATGCCTCCAAAGCAAGGTTTTTAAAAGAATCGTACCAGGTGCGTGCAGGGTGGTCCTGGCATCCCGGTGTAGACGGGTCCCAGTACCACTGGATCGGCAGACAGGACAAGCCCCATGCCATGATAATAGTCACTCCCCATACGGCCACAAAGGCCAGTCCCGAATACCAATACCCGCAATATGTTCGCCTCTCAGCATAACAACTTCCAAGCCGCGCTGGGGTTCCGTGCCAGCCCAAATCATCAGAATGTCATCCACGGCCAATCCGTTCCGATGCAGGCGTAGTTCAGCCCATAGCTGTGGTCCTGTCGAGATAGGCACTAAGGGAATTGGAATGCTCATAAAAGGTTCGACGCCGCCACCCGCGACTCGGCCAGATACTCGGGGATCGGATTGACCTGCCCTGCGGATCGAATTGTTCTTTCACTCGAGGATAGATAAGTGACACAAAGCCCCTGCGCGGCAGGGGGGTTTCTTATTATTCTTAATAAGAAGCAGCAGGTGGAGGAAAGCCCGGCGACTAGTGCAACTTTCTCTTTCTTTGTCTCGGAAAGTGTTCCAAGATGCCGCTCCCATCCTGCTCCCATACTCACCTGTTCTTACCTTTGGTCGAAGACTCGGAGCTTTTAAACCTAACCAGGTACCGGCCCGCCTATCGCTTGGGAAATACAGCTCGAGGTAGAAAAATGGTCCTGGGCCGAGAAGGGAAGGAACGACCTGTGGAATGTCAGATGTCTTGCTGAGCACTGTAAAGGCCCTTGGGGTCGGTATGGCATTGACAGCGGTATTTGCAATCTGGACATCTTGTAGCTTCGAGACGATGGTGGCGATATGCGTTGGTCTGACGAGATTGAGGATATGCTAGTCCGTCTGTGTGGAAGAGAGGGAAGATCTCCCTTGGTGGAGGAGGAGGTAGATCATGTCGATTATTCTCGGGGTTGACGATCAGGCTCCAACCAAATAGAAATGACCAGCCAGTTACATAGACAAGTTGCAACCAAGCACTCTGACTTGGCTTCAGTCCGAATTCCAATGCCTGCACAGATCTCGGATCCCTCGCTTCCTCTTTCATTTGACTGGACAATTTATCTACATCGACCGGATGACCGGAATCCCAAAGCCGGTCTAAGGTCTGCATAACTTGAATCCCCAATCCCAATCCCATGCACGGTCCAGACTCCAAGTGGGACGGTGGCGCCCCAGTTTCCATCTGGAGAGTCAGCGAGTCTCCCTCAGGCCTCGACGTAACGGCGCAGCGTCCCACTCCCACTCCCACTCCCAACAACTGACGATCTACACCCAGCAGATCCCCAATTTATCAGGCGACAAGTGAAATCATGGACCGGAGATGCCAGGTAAGCTTTCCAGGCTTCAGCTCTGGCAACAAGAGCGTTATCTCCATAAATCCGGCTTACGGAGCATGGTCGATTGTGGCTGATCCTTTGCGGAGTCCCCAGATTCCTTTTCTTTAGCTTGTTTCCCCGCAATCCTGGTCTTTACTTGACTTGACTTTCCCACTCGCTTTTTCACTTCAACCCACATCAACATGTCGTCGCAACCCAGGAAAGACAATCCTCGCTCTAGGCGCGCTGCTCGTGCCTGTACTCGCTGTCACTCCCGCAAGGTCCGCTGCGACGGCTCCATCACTGGCTTTCCCTGTACAAATTGCCGTCTCGATGCTCGACCATGTACGTTGCACTCGGGAAAGCGGGATAAGGAGAAGCAGCTGTTCAGGGCTATTGCGAAGGAACGCGAACATGCCTACCCAACACCTGCCCCAGACCAAGATAACTTGACTTTTGTTAAAGCACAGACGGCGCTTAAAGTGCCCATTCAAGAGGTTCTAGACGTCTTCGTGAACCATTACTTTCTATATGTGCACCCTTTCCTTCCCGTCGTAGACGAGGCCGTATTCTGGAGGAAGTACCGGAGTCTGGATGCAAGTGCTGGCAAAATTTCGACTTTGCTATTCCAGACAATGCTCTTCGCGGCCAGCCCGGTAAGCCCTAAGTCCCCCGAAGTTTGAACGTTGCTCATGACGCAGTTCGTTCCCATCGAAGCCGCTAAAGAGTGCGGGTATGACTCTCTGATATCTGCACGGGACGACCTCTACCGACGGGCAAAGGTACATCCACAACCCCATTAAACAGATGTAAGCTGACTTGACAGCGCCTCTATGAAAGCGGCGTTGAAAAAGACCGTCTGGTCATTTCTCAAGCATGTCTCCTCCTGACCTGGTACTCTACCGATGCCGAACGTTCTACCAACTCCAAATGGCTACGCATAGCAATCCGCTACGCGAAGAGGGAACAAGCACATCTATACCACCAGATGCCACAACTGGGCTCAGGACGCAAGGTATCTGACCTTAAGCGCCTTTGGTGGTGCTGCATGATTCGAGACCGAATCATCTCGCTCGGCATGCGTCGTCCGATTCAAATCACTCCGGACGAGTTCGACCTTCAACTGCAAGAGGGGTTGTCATTTCAAGATCTAGAAGAGGAGTGCCTGAGCTCCGAGGTGTATAACCCTGACGCAAAGATCGCACTCTGCCGCGTTCTCGCCAGCCTATGTCATCTTGTCGTTGCGGTCACGGACCTGATCATGCTCGTTTATCCAACAACCCAGAACATGCCGCTTAGCCTAGCGGATCGGCGAGCGCAACTGAACAGACTCGAAGAAACCAAGTTTGGCTTGTTAGAGTGGGAGATCAGCTGGGTGGCGAATCCAGATGGGAAGGAGTACTATATCCATCCTTCGCTAACACTTTATACCAACCTTTGCGCCATATACTTCCAGTATGCCTGCCTACTTCTTACCAAATCAAGGTTACAAACTAAACCGTACAGATCCGCTCGCATCGCCCTCTGCAACCGTATATGCCTCCTTATCGGCCACAACGCCTACCTAACAGACGAAACGGACATGTCCCGCATTGAATCCTGCCGCGTCGACCTCGCAACAGCCATACGATCAACAGCTCACAATGTAAAGCAGCTCATTCTGAACGGAGTTGCTGATAAACTGCCCATAAGCGCGTATGTCCTCGAAGTCCAAGCACTTGATCTATACAAACTGATAACCCTAATTCCACAGCGTGGCATACACCCTCTTCCCCCAAATCCTGCTCAGTATCCAAACACAGCTCACCCCATCGCCCGAAGACAAAGAGCTCCACGAACTCATGCTCGTGTTCTTCACCGAGGCCTTCCGCTTCTTCCGCAGCCAATATTACACGAGACTGATTCTAGCCGTGTCCTGGAAAGCGCTGGAGTTATGTCGGCCTGCAATTAAGACACCACTTTTGCAGTCATCATCTTCATCAATTGCCAGTGCCGGTGATATTGCCACCACTAGCGATAAAAATGGCGGAGAAAGCAACGGCCTCATCCTGAACGCATCCCTTATCGAAAGCCCAAGCAACGCTTTAAGCTACTATCCCGATCTCTTCCAGCTCAAACTCACGGAATACATCCGCTTGTTGCGGTACGTGGATGAATTCATGTCGTTGCGAAGCTCCCCGGGGGAGAATGCGATTTATCCTACCCCGGCCATCCAGTCTCAGTCGCAACAAAGACATGCGCGAACATACTCGCAAACTTCGATCTGTTCTATGTCGTCGCTACCGCCACCACAAGCTGTGCCGGTCACGTATACCGATATCGCTGCCGCCAACACACCCCGAGACACGAACATGGTTTACACTGGCGACAATGCAACCGAGGACCCGACGAGCCCTAAATGGACAGAAGACTACTTCTGGGTTTACTTTGGAGAGACAGAGTTGGAGGGGGATTCTCCACAGACTACTACCACCGCTGATGCTGATACTGGCACGCCTAGTAGTAGCAGTAATTTCGGATGTGGGAGTAGTAGGCTTGGACTCGGAGTTGATCATAGAACTGGAAGCAAACTTGCAGGGAGTCCTCAGTCTCAAACTTCAGGAACAGCCAGAGTATCTGATTCTCCCGAGGCAACCTCGAAGGGGAAAGAGAACCACGAAGAAATTGGGCGTACGTGTCGTGAAGCTGCAGCCATGTCTGGACCAGCAGATTTAGCCTCGACCGCCGTGCAGAACATGCTTGCTTGTCTGCCCTTGCTAGGTGAATAGCTGGCACTGAATGAAATGTACATATCAACAACAAACATAGACATATCCACCCAATCATCCCAGCAAAGAAACAGGCACATCAACCAGCACATCCCGTATCCAATCCGCAACCCCCTTCCCAAACCCATCCAACCGACTCGAACTCGAAACCCCGCGTCCCAAAATCCCATAGACAACAAAATGCACCGCCCCAATAACCGGGAACTCAACCCGCTCAATGAAGTACTCATCGCGCCAGTCCTCACCAAGCAGGGCGCGCATTCGAGCGGTCGTAAGGTAGTGCCGGAGCCAGAGGGTAAGCTGTTCCTGCCTCTGTTTACCCCGTGTTAAACCCGGGAGAGAAGACGGGACGAAGAAGCCTATATTCAGGTTCCCGCCTTTATCGCCTGAGCGCGCGAGGGCGATATCGCCTAGCTTTACTTGCTTGCTTGGACCGTTGAGGTCCAGGAGAGTCTCATAGATAGAAGACGAAGATGAAGGCGGGTCGTAGTTCTCGCGCGGCTGGAGGGGTGCATAGGTTGGTGGGTGGCCGGTGTCAAGGGCTGTGATTGTGTTGTCGGCGTTGAGGATGTTGATTTTCTCGTCGAGATCTGATTGCGCGATTAGGGCGGGATAGTATGCTAGGAAGGGGCGGGGGATTGCGGTGCGCATGTCGAGGGTGCTGTGGAAGCCTGCGAATATGGTTAGTTGGTCTGTTGAAGGGAGTGGGATGATTGGAAGGGCTACCGGAGAAATGCTTCAGTGAGACGCTTCTCAGCGCTAGCCCTACTGCGTCCACGGCCTGGGGTGAGCGTGCGGCAATGAAGATGCGGAGGTATGTTGTGCTGGAGGCTTGAGATGTTGGGTTTGGGGAGGGGGTGCCGATTCTACATTTCGGACTTGTCAGTCTTCATTGCGTCCCACGCAGTTGGAATTGGATATATGAGATGATAAGGTTACCGTTGAAATTCCAGCGTCTCAAGCTCCTTCAACGCTGAGTCTGGAAGAAAACGACGGATCTGCTTCTCAAGTAGGTCCCATTTCTTAGACGTAGCGTAGCCCGTCGCATTGAGAAGGATCTCGGCCTCGTAGCCGCCATGGTAGAAGACGGCGAGTTTGGTTGTTGGCGGCGGTGCGGACCCGTTGATTCCTGAGACACGGATGCTGTTGAAAACAGCGTTAGATTGGGTGAAAAAGCTTGAAGATGGAGGAACATACCGGTCCTTTCCTACTTCCTCAACGGCCACGTTCCCGATGTAGGCATTGACATCGCTGTTCAAGTACACCGTCCCCTGCAACTCGTACAGGAACTGACACCGCACTGTGTCAACCGTGACCATGCCTTTGGTACCCTGGTGCTTGGTAATCACACAAGTCCCGTGCGCGTCAATCTCAGCAATGGGAAATCCTGGCGCAACAAAGTCGTCAAGGTCATATTTGTCAAAACCGGAGAAGTTGCCGCCGGTCACATACGCAGAGCATTCAATCAGATGGCCTGCAATCAGCGCACCGGCAAGCTCATCGTAGTCTGTCTGCGCCCAGTCATGCCAATACCAAGCTGCTGCAATGACAGGACTGGCGTCAGCAACGCGGCCACAGAGAATAATGTCCGCACCGCGCCGAAGACCGTGGACGATCCCACGCGCTCCAAGGTATGCATGCGCTGATACCATAGGTATGGCTTCGCCTTCTGCCGTGCCTCGGAGGAAAGCAAACGTCAAAGAGTTTGGAGACGCGGAGGAGTTGTCTGAGTCGAGATGCTGAAGTTCCTCTTTGGTTGTGGGCATGTTGGGGCCGACCCTGTCGTATAAGTCATCTCCGGATAGGTATGCGACACGAAGATTGAGGTTCTTTTCTCGGACCAGGCCCTGGACTTTCAGTGCGAGTGCTTTGGGGTCGAGTGCGCCGCCGTTGATGACTACTTTGATGCCTTTCTCTGCAATGACATCGATGGTCTGCTGGATGCCCTCCCATGCTGTTTCCTCGTAGCCGGGGTGCTTTCCGGCGCGCCAGGCATCGGCATTGTTGGCGAGATTGACCTCTACTCCATGAGATGCTATCAAATAAGAAGGTTATAGTCGCTTACCAGCTAGGTAATCACCTGTTATGAAGTCGACATCGCCCAGGGTTGCCTGGCGATACATCTCGTACGCCGGATCGCCTGCATGCCAAGATTAACATAGCCCTAAATTCAATGCAGAAATGAGTGAAAGCCATACCATGATAACCAGAGCAGTTTGCAACTCGCACTGGACGTTTCGCTTGCTCGCTTGACATGCTGGTGTGATTGTATCCTTGGGTGAGTGGTGATCTCTTTGTTGACCTCGGTCCATCTCCACTTGTACTTATGGCTGGAGAGCATTGAGGGGTTCGCCAGGTATAGCCGGCTGGCCGAGTACCCTAGGCTCTCCGCCTCTCTTCGTCCAATGATTGAGTATCGAACAATGGCCTTGTGTAGCCTTTGCCATGGTCATGCTCCCAGTCGTTGCAATCAAACGCCAAGCGGTGTCGGAGATAGAACCCAAAAGTCCGGTAGCGGGACGGTTCTATACCTCAATGTCACGTGAGGCGGGGAAGTGGGCCTTCCTGCCTTAGGCTCTTATCTTAATCAATCTTAATTTCATCATGGATGGCAGTTAATCTAGCTCGATAGCTCTGCCCCGATACATCAAACATCATGTTCAACCCCAATCTCTCCAACCTCCCCACTGCCAATCCCTGGCGCGACAACCAATCGCAGGCTCCGAGCCGGAATCCGATCATAATTGACTCCGAATCAGAGGAGGAAGAACCCCACCCTGGAGTGGCAGCCTACAACCGTATGTCTGCCCCTGATGCGTTCAGGTGGGAAGACGCATATTTGGAGACGCTTGATAATAACGTCAATGCCCTAACAGGAAGACCCCATGTCCCAGTCCCCGGCCCTGGCCCCGGTCCCGGGCCCGGCGTCAGCTCCAGCTCCACACCGCGACCGAACCCCTTCTCATCCGCATCCGCATACACAATCCCCAGCGAACAGGAGAAGAGAACGCGCAGCCGACTACGCGAGGAGCGACACGCCGCGCTCTGCGTCCTGACGGACCGCGAGCTCCTCACCACCCAAGCCTTGGCCGCACAGGAGGTTAGCCTTTTTACATCTCCCCTAGCTGGTTTCATGTTACTGACCTCAACAAGACCATCCCCCAAGCACGCCGCCGCTTCCTCTCAACGCTCATCTCCCCCTCAGACCCAATAACAGCAACCTCTATCCGCGCCGACCAATTTACTGTTCAGCGCCGGGCCTCGTCTACACTGTCACCGTTCAGCACAGAGCCGATGCTTGTCTCCCGCGGGATCGTGGATGTATGCGAGGGTGATGACTCGGGGTGGTATAAACCGGAGCTGGACCTAGCGTCGGGGTCCGCGATGGGAATGTCTTCGCCTTCTGCGTCATCGTCGCCTGTATCTAGTGCGAAACTGAAAGGGAGGGGCACGCCGGAAAGAAGTAGAGCGAATAGGAGGGTGTCCGGGCGGCAGCAGCAGCAAACAAGGGAGAGAAGACGGAGGTGGAGCGGGGCGGAGAGGCAGGATTATGGCCCCGGGGCTTCGTTCTGATGCTTCAAGCTTGCTGATGCTATGGGTCTGGTTTATATGATGTGTGACGACTGCAGTTTACGACTTTATGATGGAAGCATTCTAATTATGGTATTAATAAGTAACTGAGCATATAAGATCAGTGGTTTTGACATTCATATTGCTCTTTCTCATATGTAGGCTCTTATACTTCGTACACGGCCGTCTCGTCACATGATAAAGCAAACAGGAGGAAGTTATCGTACATGTACAGTTAGAATAAAGGACGAAGGATATCAAGATGGGAGGGTCATTAGAAAGGCAAAGACGACCTCGGGCCGATAAAGCCACTCTGCCATATATACAATGCGAGCGCAAAGAACCAATGTATCCAACGGTTCTAAGACGTTGCCGAATGACGTCAAGAGACCCGGCGCAGCCATCACGGCTAACGACACTCTCACGTATCGTCTATACCAATCCGAGAACTCAAGAGATGGCCTGCATCAGCCGGTCGCGGCGAGGGTTCTGCTGTCCTGTGCCGGAGGTCGCGGAACTTGGACCTTCAGGGCATTTTAGCGAGCGAGTGCGCCATGGTGGGCAATCTCAGCTGTTTGTATGGTTTGGCGGACAAAAATAGTCCTTTTTTATTTTTCCGCGTTAAGCAAGCTGGCTGCATCTCCAACCTGCTTACGCTCAGAGACTTCCCTGGTGCGCATCCGTGCGCGAATAGCTCCTATGTTCATTGGCGTCAATCCTTGGGATGGCGCTGGATCGGGTTCCGAGTAAAAGGGGTGAAGTCTGTGTGAAGTAGAAAACCGAACGCGACCATCCCTCATGACTGGTAATTGTCATTGAAGGGGTTCCGAACTCGATGATAGGCGGTTCAGGTGGAGGTACACGTCAGTGCCATACCTGGATCACATTAGTCGCAACGCCGATGTTTCATGATTCAGCTATACATACCCTTCCATGCTGATCAGCTTCAAGTCACCACCGAAGTACCGCGCATACAAGCGACTGATGGGCAGCCCATATCCAAATCCTGCCATGGGCGCTTTGAAGTCGCTCTTGTCAAAGTCCGGGTCGAGGTTGGGGGTTTGCTCCACGGTTGTATACATATAGGTCCAGACAAGAGGAATCGAGGAGCGCGGAATGCCACCACCTTCATCAGAGATTTTGATAGTGATGTCTTCTCTGCCTTCGGCGATAATAACTTTGGTGACCGGGAAAGCTTCCTTGTCCGCGCCATGCCTCTCGACTACAGCACGAAGAGAGTTCTTCAATGTCTCAAAGAGCATGTGAGACAGGTGTCCCGGCACATACATAAAATTCAGATCCTCCTTGCAGACAAGCTGCACCTTGGGAGCGTCAAAGAGTCCGTAGTAATCCTCGCATACAAACCGCGCGTTCTCGATTGCCTCGAGGGCCACCTCGCGCACATTTGTTTTTGTACATATAATACCAACGTAATGCGGATGGCGCACGTGCGTTTGTTCCGTGAGAGCAATGTGTTGACCAATAAGCATTCGTATACCTATCCGAGACATGTAGAAGCGATCGAGAAATGACTGGATTGTCGAGTCGATTTGTAGCCGCTGCCGCTTCCGTTTCCATTCAAGAATGCCTTGTGCCACCGTAGTCACAACACTATCGTGTCGCCGCTTGATTTGTTGTAGAGTCTTCGCAAACCGTTCGTTGTAGTCATTTAACTCGGGAGGCCAGTCTCCCTGGTCATCCGAAGGGACAAAATATCTCCGAGCAGCAGCGGCCTTGCCATTTCCGTTACCATTTGACATGGCGGAACGGTACTGCCCCTCGCGAATGCTGGGATTTTGGGTGGTTTCGGCGAGGATCTTCGACCCACCAGTGAGCGTTCTGTTCGGGCGCAGCAGACGGGCCTTGACTTCTTGAGTGAGGGTTGGTCGGGGTAGAGTGATGATTTCCTTTAGAGCATATGTCAGTATGGATATCGCGCGGGGACGGTTGGTTGAGTCATACCTCGAACGACTGCGCGTACCAATCCTGAACCTTTTTTATCGAGGGCATTTCACTGAGCCCATCTGGGAGTTCTCCAAGATCTTGGACACGGTGCGCGAGACGAATGGGGAGTTCTTCTGAAAGAAATTGAGAAGCGCGAAACAGGGTCCCTATTGATACAAGGAGGGCACAAGATCAGCCATTGCAAGGAATAGAAGGAGACGGGCATTATTTTTTGAAAGAGAAAGAAGCTGACTCACCAGTTGAAGGTCTGTCTCCGAATTGAACCATCTGTCGGAGCGAAACGCCAGTTGCTGGGAAGCTGGCGTAATGCCTGATGGTGTCCATCAGGCGCTCCGACGGCTTCCACATGATGTCGAAAGCGCCGTCACACTCAATATCCCAGCTGGCTTGGAATGGATAAATGTTGGTTAAAAATAACGATTTTGAAAGAATATGCGAAGAGAGAAGATATGGGGAGAGGACGGTGGGTGATGATGACTGTCGATGATCGTAAGGTCGGATCCCGGAGAGCTCTGGACCTTCCACTACCGAGGTTGTCGCCGAAGTAGACGAGTGGGAGCTCAGCGCGCCGATGATGGCAGAAAAGGATGCTGTCAACGCCGGGAGAATGAAAACAAAGTTGAGACAGGCTTTCAGAGGGAAGAGTCACTCCTGGGCACTGGCTGAGGATTGACGAGGCTAATGGAATTTGGTAAAGCTGGACAGCAATGACTCTTTTTGGTCTTGCGGAGAGCCAGGCCGGGGTGGTCACGTGTGGGGGGTGATCCTGTTGGTCCCGTTGCTTGGCGGATCAGACGATCGCTCGCTCAAGGACTTGCTGAAGACTCGCTGACTTTATTGCTGATTACTGTTGGTACAGTCTACAAACAGTCATAACATCACAAGCTCAACGATGCCTCATCTGGCAACTGCTCCTGTGCGCTCAGTATATACATAGTAGTCCCGAGGATCTTCAACCCGCGGCTTACCCCCCACCTTTCGGGCGGTCCAGGTTTGGGAACGTCGAATTGCCGGCGGAATGTGAACTTGCCTCCGGATCTCCCCTTCGCCCGAAAAATGGTTCAATTCTTCGCCGGTGAATATCCGACCCCATGTTTTATGTATGCCATTCTTGTTTTTGCAGCATGTCTGAGTCAGCCCTCATGTGACGCTCAAACCCTTGATCACGAGACTGGCCTTAGAAATAAGTTCACTAGACCAACTGATCAGTTCGTCCGCATCCTTCAGACAAGGCCGCATGGAGAACACCCTGGTTTTCCTATAGTAGTTAGTTGCCGAAACAACCCCAGCGGGCAGCCGAGTTTGATATATGTACTGATCACATTGCACAAGGACCGCGATTCCGTTTAGTTCGGGTATTGGCGTGTCAAATATAATATCCTAAAGCCCTCAGGACATCTTAGGCTCTCAGCATATTGCTTTGCGCAAGTCTTTCTAGAACAGCATCAATGATTTCACGGAGATGACGGAGCTCCGGGGGCAGATACCACCGTTGTGGAGTCTCATGCACGACATACTCGAAGTAGCCACGGTGATCGTAAGGTGATAGTACTAGATCGTAAGTTGATAAGCCGTTGCAAATAGAGAGATTAATAAATGGCGTATCCAATGGTCAGTTCAAGGCACAATGCGGGCCGCAAACCCCTGCGGTTGGTCCCGTTCTGAGGAAAGGCCATATATTTAGGCTCGATAATAACGCGCGGACAGTCTCACAACTGTGAAGTGCAGGCACGGCCCAAGGAACGAGGGTCTTACTTGTCGCTCCGGCTCGCTCGTCACCGGCACCAAAGGCTCATCCCTGCACTCCCGTATTTCGCATTCCTCGCACGTGTCGCCCCTTGTCTGTTATCTTGCCATCAACATGGCCAGCTTTCTCGAGGCTCTCCACCGTCCAGTTCTCTGAAAGACCGAGAGGAAGAGGTTAGGCGCAAAGGTGGAGGGCAAGAGAGGAAGCCGCTTGGGGAAGGTAGGCATCAATCGCAATTTAACTCGATTTCCTTTCTGGTTGAGGTGCTTCCCAAAAGCCAATTGAGCGGAGTTCTAAAGACGCCGTCGCAACCGTGTGTTAATTTCCCACCTCATCCGCCTCGTGCGAGGCTGCGAGGCTGCGAGTCGCGACGCGCCGCCAGACGGAGAAGCAGTGGAGTCTCTTCATTGTTTGACATCTGTCGACCCAGCCAACCAAAAAAGAGTTTGCGACTGCGAAACTCCGGTACACTATCTCACTGGCTATCAAATCACCGTGGCGGAGTGTCTAGACCATCAGGAATGCATGCTGCCATTTATTCATCTCCTTCTCGGTCGTCTTGTGTTTAAGTTTTCCCCAAGGCCGCGCCGTTTTTTGGATCTCGGGAGGAACGGGGAGCGCAATTCGACGACGGCGCAGAAGAGAGTCGCTCTGAAGAACAAGGTGAAGTCATTCATATGGTTGAAATCAGGGCCTTCGGTCGAACAAGGTGGATCGGGTCGTATTGTTGTCAAGTGCTCCATGCTCCTGCAGCATACTCCGTAAGCGAGTGGAATAGATTATGATGCAAGCATGCGGCGCCGCGATGTCAATCAGTTTCTTGTACTTTGGCGCTGCCATTTCATCACAATCAGTACTTTTGGCTTGAAGATCCAATCTATTCTTATTATGCCGCGCATTGTAGCGAGATTCTCCGGGGTCAACACTCACTTCTGCAGTGTCAATTAACGCTCACAGGAAGGATCCGCAGATTCCAGATTGCCCGTTTCGCCCTCGTGCCGTCACTCCAGAGGCTAAAGCAGGTAGGAGCGGCTCGAATTGACTCCATACTCCATTTCCATGAGTTCGCCCCCTGGAGGCCTCGGTGGCAGTTCTGGCGGTGGATTCTGGCGGGCGCGGCAGCGGACCGCCTAGACTGGTAGAGGATGAGCCTCTGGTCAAGAAAAGTTCAGGAAGAAGAACAAACACAAAAAATCGATAGTTGAGATGGTTAGGGCTGAAAGGAGATGTTGAGACGAGGTGAGGTGAAGAAGTACGAAAGGCTCCCAAAGAGGAAATACAACAGAACGCACGATAGAAGGCCGGGCCCCTCTTTGGCCTCTGCGCTCGCTCGTCAGCCAGCAGCTCTTAATGGCGACCCATCCGCTTCAACGCTTGAGATGATCCGTTTATTTTTCTGCAGTGTTGGTGGACCGATTTATTATTCTGCTCGGCCCTAATTCCATTTTTCTTGTTTATTTTTTCCCTAACGTTTTTCTTTTTCCTGGTGTCACCTCTCGTGCGCTAAAAAGGGCCAGGCTGCCTATGGACAAGGATTCCACGCCTTCGACTCGCAAATGAGCATTCGCCTGTACTTTCTGCTTAAACAGCCGATGTATAAAATATAAGATGTCACGTCGCCGTGCCTCCAACAGTGATTCTTTGGCTTCACCATCTGTCAACGAAGCCGTTGCCTATCCATTCTCCGGCATGCAACAGATTCATTCGTTTCCTCAACGGCGTGGGCCGATCGAAGGGCCTGGTGGGCGGAGGCTCGTTCGCAGGGTCACCTGGCGATCGTCCACCTACAAGCTCATGGCATCCCTCTGGGTGCTGGGGGTGCTCTATATCGTCTGGCTCATTCGGGATATCTTCTATCTCCCATTCTCCTATTCCTCAAACCCGGCTGTCATGGCGAATGCCGGGGATGAGTAAGTTTTTATACTCTGGCCTGGGTACATCGCACTGGATGATGGACGATGCTTATTGAATTCTGCTTACAGTCTGTTAGCTCAGTACGTGGGCCGTGAAGAGTGCGGCATCTCCTCTCACGCTTTATATCTACCCCCTTCCGGTGACTATTCTGCGTTGAACGAGTTGTATTGCCAGTCCCGTGGATCGTTGCTCAACTCGATGAGCAATGGCGGGCGTCATGGATTTGGGGCCCCGTATACATCCCAAGGTGAGTGGACTTCAAGTTTTATGAAACGGTGGCCTTGGTTACTGATTTGGTCCAAAGGCTGCTTCTATCACTGGTATACCGCCGCTGAGATTTGCGAAATTCTTGGTCGTTTTGATGGTGTGCTCTTTGTCGGTGATGACTCCTTAGCCGACGCCTACGCCGGGTTCAACATCCTTCTTCGCCAGGATCTCCAACAAGGATCTTTGAAAGGGTGGGAAATGAGTACCACCCTGCAAGCAATATGTGGATGCGACTCCCAATTCACGAACCCGGCCTGCTCTTCTGCGCGAATTACCTCAAGCGAGGAACTATACTCCAGAGAGAGCAGAACCCAGACCCCATACATCTGCCCAACCAGTAAGTTTGCCGGGAACCACATATCCGAGGATAACAGACTGACCAACTGATCAAGAAACACCACACATGTTCCTCCCAATCACCGGCTCACCCGCCTCAAGCCGTGACCACAACGCCTTTAAAACCCTCCTCACCCGCCCCTCCGACTCAGACTCGGACCAAAAGAAGCCCATCGCCGTAATCCAGAGCCTCTCCCTCTCAACCTCCTACTCCCTCCCCACCGCCAAAAGCAGCATAGACGAATGGCTCACGCTCGCCAAAACCAGCGCCCGCAGCACACCGTTCCTCTGGGTCGGCCCAACAGCACCAGGCCACCAAAAGCCTCCCGGCGACAACGTCCACGCAAGCAGTTGGCAATACACCCAAGATACGGCGCAGGTCGCGCAAGCCAAGGGCATCGACGTTCTGGCCATGTATAACGCGACATTACAGGCCGAGAGCTGGGACGGCTTGCACTACGGCGAGGAGGTGGCCCTTATCCAGGCGATGATGGTGAGTACGACCCAGATCCGTTATTCGACACGTTGCACCGCATATTACACCGCATCTCTTCTGACCGACGGACACTGACCCCTTACAGACCTTTAATTGGTTAGCGTCGCTTTAGTTTAGTTGGGCTATACTCCTTGCGTGTGGGAGGTGTGTTGATGGTGTATGACGGAAACAGAACAGTTTAACATGGGTATAATGATCGCTGGGTCACTGGGCTATATGATGGACGATGATGATGAAGGTATAGTATTTCGGACATTTTCATTGTTTTTTCCTTTTTATCTCTGCAATCTATTTTCTTTTCTTTTCATCTTAGACTTTACCATGTACCTACCGACAGTGCCTCACTGCCTTGTTTTCTTTTGCTTTTCCTTATTTTGCGGCCTGCCGATTCTTTGAATCCTTCGTCCTTGGCTTCATTTAAGTTCAGCCTCTACACGCAGACTTCGTTGCAGATCCTGTGTTTTATATTGTTGACCGACTTTTGGTGGTTGGAGGGATTAATATATAATCGGGTGGAACAGGAAGATAACTATGTACAGGCTTGGAAAGGTGCTCATACCCCCAGGATAGAAATCGTTTTGTACCGTGAATTCGTTATGTTACTATTATATATACATCAATATGTCCTTCTAGCTTTTAACGGAGTGACAGACAAGGAGTGGCCGCGCTGGAACAGACTCTTTGCTTCCCCTCTAACTTTTGACTTCTGATGTTCTGCGTCGCTAAAGCAAAATCGTCCAAAATCTATTCAAACGATCGTGGTGACGTGAGGCAGTCGGATGCATGCAAGATGGCGTAGGCAGCTTAGCCGATCGTCCCTTACACCACGTCAGACAAGACCTGCTCGACTGCCGAGTACTCGATATACGCTCCATCTAAACGTGGAGAGCAGAGGTCTCAGCAGTAGCGAGATGAGTCTCGTAAGGCTGTAGAGCCTTCTTGACCTCGGTCGAGGTGAACTTCTCAACCTGCTGGGGAGCGCGGCCAACAAAGGTGCTGGGGTCGAGAAGAGCGTCGAGCTCGCCGAGGATAGGGGCGAAGAACTCGGTGCGGCGAATGCGGTCAAGGAGGTCGTTGTTCTTGCCGTGCTTCTTCACGTTGTCGGAGGCTTGGTGGGAGAGAACGCCTGATTTCAAGTTAGGAAATGTCTGGAAAGTATGAAAAGTGGGGACGTACGGATCTCCTCGTGGGCGTCCTGGCGGGAAAGACCCTTCTTGACACAGGCCATGATGACCTAGATATGTATTATTAGTTTCGGGGTCGGATTAGAATAGAAGGATAGGATGCCTACGTTCTCACTAGATGCAGGGTTAGCTTGAAGGTGATACAGACTGGGGAAAGGTGGAAACGTACGTTGCCATAAATGGAAGCTCATCGTTAACACGACGCTTGATGACTTCAGGGTACACGACGAATCCAGAGGTGACGTTGTCTGAATGGCGGTAAGCCGACAGAATTATACGTAGATCTAGACCATTTGGACTTACTGAGAAGGATAAGGCACGCGTCAGCGCAGAGGTAAAGCTCAGGAATACTGATGCGGCGGATAGCGCTGTCATCCTGTCCAATTATTAGTTGCCGAAGCGGGCCAGACAAATGGGGACGGAATATCTTACCAATGAACGTTCGAACCACTGAGCGGAGTAGGTGTCCAGGGCGTCCTTGGGGAGATTCTGGAGGTGCCTGCCCAGAGAGCACAGACGCTCAGACCGCATAGGGTTGCGCTTGTAAGCCTGCATACCCTAGTCAGAGCAAATCATCATTACGTGACGCACGGATAACCCACCATAGCACTGCTGCCAATCTGGTCCTTTTCAAAGGGCTCCTCAACTTCCTTGAGCATAGCTAAGTGGCGGATGTCAATACCGATGCGCTCGCAGGTGGACCCGAAGGAGCCCAGTGCATTAGCTACGTCAACATCAATCTTGCGAGAGTATGTTTGACTGGAGATGATGAAAGCAGATTCAAATCCGGCCTTCTCGGTGACGAGCTCATCCAGCCGCTCGACCTTGGCGTGGTCTCCGTTGAAGATCTGGAGGAACGAAGCCTGGGTACCAGTTGTACCCTTGACACCTCGGAAACGCAGATCATCACGCGCCCGCTCGAGGTTCCTCAAATCCATCAGCAAGTCCTGAATCCACAAACAAGCCCTCTTTCCGACCGTGACGAGCTGCGCAGGCTGTCCGTGGGTGAAACCCAGGCAGGGCAGGTCCTTGTACTGCTTGGCAAAAGCAGACAGCTTGTCAATGACAACCGCCAACTTGGGAATTAGGATGTCGAGGCCGTCACGCAGGAAGATCAAGTCGGCATTGTCGGTGCAGTAGCAAGAGGTGGCACCCCAGTGGATGATTCCAGCAGCTGCAGGGGCAACCTGACCGTATGCGTGGACGTGGGCCATAACATCGTGTCTCCGGCGCTTCTCCTCCTCAGCAGCAACCTTGAATTCTTCGTCCTTGATAGTGGTGTGTTTCCGCATCTGCTCAATAGCCTCATCGGTAATGGGCAAGCCAAGCTCTGCACCTGTCAGTACATCGGTCCTCCGTGGGGCTGGCGGGTAAGGCAGGATGAGGCACCTTTCTCGGCCTCCGCAAGCCACAGCCACAACTGTCTCCATGTAGAGAACCGGTTCCTGGGAGAGAAAAGATACTTCATCTCATCACCTATATGCCGAGATAGCTGTTAGTCTCCGACCATAAAGCGAAAGCATGATTGAGTCATGAGGGACTTACTCGCATAGCGCGAGTTGAGAGGCGTCTGGTACACATCATTGCTGGAGGACATGGTGTCAGACAGCAATTGGAACGGTCTCGAGGAAACTGAGAGGCTGCGGTATGAGAAAGGGGCTGAGATGGCTGCTGGAATCTGAGCTGTGCGGTCGACGCCCCCGGACGAAATTTTGTAGCGGGGTCGAAGGCTTATCAATGCTAATCACGTTATCGGAGCCGCTTATCATCACATGACCCTTCTTTTCGACCCCACTCCCGCCAGGAACAGCCGAAATCGGCCCTCGAAGTACGGGGTCAGAACCGCCCGAAACTAAACCACCCCAGCTTACGGAGTATAGACTCTCGGAGTTAACGTAGTGTCTTAACTTGACATTGCTAAGTAGTCATTTTACCAAGCACTATTGCAGTTCGGCTCTAGAAAAGGAAAACTCGCAAATTTCCCTGGTAAACGGGATATGGGCTGTTATTTACATAGAAATGTTAAGAATAGATTAAATTAAGACACAGAATTCCCATGTCTACTGTATCAGCAATCAAATATTACTGCAGGGCTGCGAGCTGTGCAGCCAGGCTGCCCTTGTCATACTTGGTGTATTTACCGCGGCCTTTATCAATTTCATGATAACGGTCGTAGAATCGAGAGTATAGCGGCTCAAGCACCGCCTGCACTTCGCGAGCAAGCACATTTCGTACTTCTCGCTCCATATGGAAGGACTTATGACGTGCAACGAGATCATCAAAGCTCGCATTGAACGACTTGAACTTGTCCTTAATAGCATCTTTGTCGCGGGACGACAAGGACTTGACGATGGCGGTAGAATCGACGACGCCGCTCGACTGAGGCCGATTTCCGCCCCTGCCAGACGTGTATTGAACATCGAGCAGGTAATGCGACGTCTCCTTCCAGGCATCTAGGTAAGTTGATGTTGCACGCTTGCGGAATGTGTCGATCCTGGAAATACTGTCTGGAGAACCGAGAAGCTTCGCTAGCTCTGGGCTCGATCGAATAGCACGGTCCACGAGACAAAAAACGTTCGAGAGGAAAACACCCTGAACAGCTTTTGTTCGGTGCAAGTTCCGACTCCGAGATTCCAGAGCGATCAGGAGAGTCTCGATCACATCAAGGACGAAATGGGAGAACAGAGCATCGCTGTCTGGATTGACATCCAAAGGAGTGTTCATTGAAGCGGATGTTGAGCGCCAATTTCCGTCTCCCAAAGAAGTCAAAATAGAAGCCAGAGGCTTCTGGTAACCAGTCAGCTCAATGAGGGAATGCATAACCTTGTCCACAAGAGGCGTGGGAGCGCCATTTGGCGGGAGCATAGGAATAGCCAAAGCACTGCGCTTTGTCTCCTCCAAAATTTCTGCAAGAGAAGATTTGGCCGTTTCCCGGACAGGCCTCAGAGCCTCTAGGAATAGACTCTTAAGTTCACCCGTCTTTAGTTCTATATTGTAAGACTTGGCTGTGACGATGTCAATGATTTCAAACGCCAAGAAGCAGTCCGTGAGGAGGTTCGAGCGAATGTACTCATTCAGCTCCCGTAGAGTCTTCGAGTATTCGGCAAGCGCGGAGCGGCAGGTCATTTGCAGAGCCAGGCCCCGGTGGTCTCCCGTAAAGATTTGATTTATGGCGTCCCATTCGGCGTATATGAAATTCTCCAAAGCGTTGGAATAGATCCCAATACCATTAGTGCCTTGCTTATACGGCGACTCATCTGCTGCTCTTCGCTTCAACGTGTTGAGGGATGCAATGGCCAGGTTTTGTGTGCTCGTTGTAATATATGGTCCTCTAACATCGGCGTAGATCCTAAGGGCAGGGCTGCCACCCTCACCACGATGCGGGGTATGGATTGCTGCTGAGCTTATCGCAACACAGATAGGCGCGATTTCGGCTATCTTGTCCTTCGGGATCGAAGGGAACGGAAGGTCTATTCGGGGCAGAGAAGTAAGTTGCCATCCTAGTAAGCGAGATGCAGAGTATTACCCTTAGTCAGGTAGTGTAGTGGCTCAATAGGGCTGACATGCTCGCCTAGTTTGAGCCGCAGCAGGTCTTGCAACTTTGAATTACCAATGCCCAAGAGAGATGTGAATTCGCTGATGGCCTTCTGGTTCGATTTCAAATTTGTTGACGTGAGGTCTACTAACGCATTGTCCACGCGCCTCATTGCCGCCAGGTACTGTGAAAGATCGTCCATCTGTGGACTGTTCATTCCGACCAGGGGTTAGAAGCGTATACAGACTATGGGACGCATGGGAACTCACCCGGCCCGAATGATGCCCTCTTCTCGGTTCTTCGCATCTAGAGGCTGTCGCAGTCGCTCAATCGCTTCAACTACCCTGTCGATATTGCTGTTGGTAATCTGAAGCGATTGTGTGTTGCTATATATGGGGCCGATAGCATGCTTCACGACATTTCCGCCGGTTTCGAGGCGTACAAGTGATCCTTGAATCTTCTTTGTGAGCAGCTTGAGTTTCTCCAAGTTTGCATACAACACTTCCACCTCAGCGCTGTCCTCGGCAAACGCCGTATTCCTCGGCGCGACCATAGTCGATGCGTGTAGAGATAAAGACCATGCCCGAAACAGTAAATGCGGGGAATAGCAATGAAGCAAGGAACGAGGCCCCTGGGCCCTAGCCGGTAACTCAGTTCCTCATGAAATAAAGTGGGTAAGATTATCGATGGGCCATGCGAAACACCCCGTAAAAGTGATGGTAGCTGCTGGACCCTGGTCGGAGCAGCAGCCAAGAGCTCGACTGATGGCCACGGCCCGACGATGATCCAAGGGGCCATGTGGCCCATGTCCGAATCGTCAACGACCGTGGATGACGTCATCCTCATGCGACGCAGCGTCCCTGGAGATCGACATTATTGAACAGGGCCTGGCCGAGTCCGACTGGGATCCGTGCCAAGGAAAAGTGACATGAATCCGACATAAATTCCCCCCAATGCCCCAATGCATCCTCCATGTCTCCTCCCCATCCTCATGCCAGGCGTAGTGCCCTTCGCAACATGGGCGCTGCGAGGGCATTCTGTCTTCGTTTTGCTCCTCCGGCCGCCCTGATCTATGTGGGCGGCCGTGTTCTCTGGTCAATCGAGGCTGCGCGCAACAAGTCGCAGTTATTCCTACTACCCGAGCCCACATCACCGTACTCGACCACCTCGACGCAATCCATCCGCGGACAGTCCCGTCACCCAACTGGAAATGACAAGGCCGACCGGAACGACTCTAATCATGTCGAGGGGCACTTCCACAGTAGCAGTGAAGACTCCTCGTCGATATGGTCACATATGATGCAGAGATTTGAAGGCGTCAAGCAGTCTGTTGGTTCGCCTGAGTGGATAGAGCTCGAGCATATCAAGCATTACATAACCCCCGATTGGACCAGGCTTCTCCCAGACACAGTGCAGAAGCTGCAGCGCGAGCTTTCCATGGCCCCCGGCTCTCTAGCAGACCAGATATGGAGGGAGGCTCAAGATCCAGACTTGAACCCAGAGATACTCCGAAAGGCCACGGTGCGCGTTAGCGATAGCCTGTGCAACGATGAGCTGGAGTTCAGACAGAAGCGCCAGAAACATGCCGTAAAAGCGCTGTCTGCCTACTTGAATATTCCCGAGGAAGATATACATCCAGATGATGTCCCGATCATCTCCATGTGTGGCTCAGGAGGTGGTCTACGTGCGCTTGTCGCTGGTACTGGCTCGTACCTGGCTACGCAAGAGGCTGGTCTCTGGGACTGTGTGACTTACACTGCTGGTGTTAGCGGCAGTTGTTGGTTACAGGTTCTCTATCATTCTTCTATTACCGGATGCAACTTTACCAAACTCGTGGCCCATCTAAAGAACCGACTAGGAGTGCACATGGCATTTCCACCGGCGGCACTCAAACTGCTTACGCATGCGCCGACCAACAAGTACCTCCTTAGCGGTCTGGTCCAGAAGCTGAAGGGCGATCCTGGCGCGGACTTTGGTCTGGTCGATATCTACGGCATGCTGCTGGCGGCACGCTTGCTCGTACCCAAAGGCGAGCTTGGATCCTCGGACTTTGACCTCAAGCTATCAAATCAGAACCGCAACATTGCTGATGGAGCTCACCCGCTTCCAATTTATACCGCCGTTCGCCATGAAATTCCAGTCTTGGAGGAGAAGGCAGAAAAGAACGAGAAGCCAATGCCCGAAGACCTTATCAGAGAGTCGCAGAGTGAATCCTGGTTTCAGTGGTTTGAGTTCACCCCATATGAATTTTTTTGCGAGGAACTCAACGCGGGAATACCTACTTGGGCACTTGGAAGACATTTTAGGGACGGAAAGAATGATGTACCTGCTGGAACGACACCCATGCCTGAACTCCATGTTGGCAGCTTGATGGGCGTATGGGGCAGCGCATTCTGCGCGACACTCTCGCATTATTACAAAGAGATCCGTCCACTTGTCAAAGGCATCACCGGATTCGGAGGAATTGATTCTCTAATTCAAGGAAAGTCGAAAGATCTCATCCGAGTACATCCCATCGACCCGGCAACGATACCGAACTACGTGTTAGGAATGAAGGACCAGCTACCTCCATCCTGTCCGGAGTCCATCTTCCAAAGCCAGCACCTGCGACTTATGGATGCAGGAATGAGCAACAACCTTCCGATATACCCATTACTCCGACCTGGCCGCGATGTGGATATCATCATCGCCTTCGACAACTCAGCCGACATCAAGCAAGAGAACTGGCTATCTGTCGTGGACGGCTACGCCCGCCAACGAGGTATCAAAGGCTGGCCAGTTGGAGCCGGCTGGCCCCGAGCAGCCGACACTCTCAGAGAAACAGAACAGAGCCTACGGGAACCAGAGAACATGTCTGAAGAAGCGCTCAACAAGAAAATCACAGCGGCCCAGGACTCCTCCAACTCATCTCCCACCACCACCAACCAAGCCCCAGACTCTCAACCGCCCCCCACAGACACAGACCTAGACTACTGCAACGTCTGGGTCGGAACGAAGCAAGAACGCCTCTCGGAACAGGAACCCCCGCCCTCAAAACGCCTCTTCGACCCCCGCCAATCCCACACCGACCCAAACCACTCCGAATCAGACTTCCACCTCATGCGGCCCGACGCCGGCATCGCAGTCGTGTACTTCCCGCTCCTCCCCAACCCCTCAGCCCCCGACCTCCCCCCCTCAACCTCCCTCACACAACCCTCCCCATCCGACAAACCCAGCGGCTCACAAAACACCTCAAAGTCCCACGACACAGTTGACCCCGAACAACCATTCTCCCCGCACCCTGCTACAATCAACCCAGACGTCGACGACTTCCTGTCAACCTGGAACTTCGTCTACACGCCCGAGCAGATTGATGCCGTTGTGGGTCTGGCAAAGGCGAACTTTGCGCAGGGCGAGCAGCAGGTTAAGCGTGTTGTCAGGGCTGTCTATGAGCGTAAGAAGAAGGATCGGCTTGAGAGGGAGGAGAGGAAGCTTGAGCCGCATAAGGAGGGGCTGAGGCTGAGTTAGAGTTAGGTTAGGGCTACTACTTGTCATACCCTTGGTCAACGAACCGACGAACCAACGGGACTTTGGCCTTGTTTTCTTTTGTTTCTGCTGCATGATTAGCGGTTTTGAATATATTTGTACGGGATACACGATGTACAATGTATGATAGAATAGAAAGCATTTGTTGCCTATTTAATATGTCACATACTAGAATATATATTCAGAGAAACTGAGTGCATAACCATAATTGCTCTCATAAAGATGCTATAAATCATTGTTATGGCCAGACTGCTGAATAGGTATATAGTACATTGGTACTCAGGCTGGGTATTTATACAGAAGTAGCACTATACACTACTTCGACTCACCACTGTCATTTTTGCCTTTTTCTTTCGCATCATCATCCTTCTCTTCCTCGTCTCCCTCTCGCAAAGGGACATTCTCCCTCTTCTGCGCAGTTCCAACGCTCCCAACGCTTCCCTCATCTGCGCTACTATCGACCTTGTCCTCTTCCGTATCGTTCCCGTCCCCTTTGTTCTTATCCTTCAACCTCCAATCCTTGACTACCGTTTCCGGAATCGGCTCACCAGGCTTCGGTTCCGTCACCACACCCCTGGAAACGGGCCTCGTCTTTGCGTGCGCATCCTTAACTTCTGTTGTACTATCATCCGCATACCGCCAAACAACCTTCAGCCGATCAAGCGCCTTGATTCCCTTTCTGGACGTGCCCTTTATACCGTCCATAGCGTCCCACTCAATCTCGAAGACGCCAGAATCGTACTGATCGCCACCTTCGAAGTACGGGTTAAACCACACGTGGGCGATGGAGGTGACCATTGCCAGCCCTGTGTAGGAGGCAGCTTTGCTGCGGCGCTCGAAGTCGATGTTTATGTCAGGAGAAGGTAGAAGTAAGGGTGACGAGGGTCTGAGGAGGACGGCGTGAGTGTGTTTCTGAGGCGGTTGAGAGGTATTTGTTGTTGTGGGTGTTGTAGGGCTTGAGGTGGAGGCGGGCGTGGTAGATGGGAAGAGGGAGGAATCAGATTCGGTGGCGGATATGGGTTCTTGCCCTTGTCCTTGGATGCTTGAGTGAGAGGTCTTGGTTGCCTTGAGTTTCTGTATGGGACCGGGCTTCTTGAGGTTGTCGTTGCTGCTGCTGCTGTTGCCATTGTTTTCGTCGTCGCTGGTATTATTGGACAACTGCAACTGCGACTGCGACTGCGAAGTATCACTCGACATGAAAGTTCGCTCATCCTTGTGGAACATATGGAACTGCTTGATCTTTTGCCCATTCTCCACGTATCCCTCGACCGCAACCTTGACGCCATCCCGCAACCCCCGGACATGGATCTCGAGGATCTCAACCGGCCGCTCCACGTACCTCTTTCCCATCTCGTTCGTCCATCGATTCACATACCGCACCCACCGCAGCTGACTGGGTATACTGACGCCAGACCCAAAGCCGACCCTCATCCGGCGCTCCGTGAAACGCTGCAGCGCATCCTCCATCTTCCACCCCTCCTGACTAATTAGGTACGAGCAGGCCATTGTCCCGCTACGTCCCTTACCAGCCTTACAATGCACGACTGCAATTCGTTGCCTCTGCTTTTCATCTTTCTTCTTGTTCTCCTGCCCCTCCGCCTCAGACCCATCCAACCGCTGCAACCAGTTCCGCATACTAGCCACAACTTTCGGAATCAGCGCAAAAGGCGGCGGATGGTGGTCCGGGAATGGAAAGTGGTGGATTCGCCCATATACCTCCGAATCGGGGTAGCCTGTGCCCTCGGCGCGAAACTCCCAAATACACCAATCGGCACCATGTTTATTATCGAGGAAATTGACGAGCTGTTTCAGCGGTGTGCGGTATGCAATTTTGGGGTAGTTTGTTGACGGGCCGGAAGTTGCGATTACTATATGTCAAAGTAAAAATAAGGTTAGATAACAGTGATAAACTCGAGCCAAAAGTCGGATAGGGCAAGGGGATGGGACTGCCCAGGGTGGGTGGTCTCACTGTTATCGGCGACATAGCAAAGGTCGAGACCTGTTTCAGCGTGTTGTAAACGAGGCCCAGCGACGATTTGTCGCAGGATCGAGGCCTGCGTTGGGCGAAAGCCAAGTGTGCAGGTTAGTCTGGGCGCTGCTAGCAGAGGCTGGGGTGGGTTTGGGTTGAGGTGGAATGGGGCCGCATACCATGAGTTGTAAGTTGCAACTTGTGCCGGACAAACACCAGATTTACTGCAAGGGAAAGGGCTTGACTGGCAGTGAAGGATAAATATTCAGAGGCAATGTGTATGGATGGAGCAAGTTATTTTATGTGATACGTCGAAAGACGCGTTCGACGGTCAACGGGCGCCAAGACGCTGATGTCATCGAGGCGTCTTGTTTGCCCTTGTATAGCCTCATTGCCTGCCGAATCGGATCCATTGTAGACACTGCCTGCTTGAAGAATAAGATCTAGGGCAGAGTACAGCTGAGTTGATTTGGAATAAATGCCACATTCAATAATTGAAGACATTACATTAAACAATAACAATAGCATCGCAGATGCTTAGCGCAAAAACATACTAAGACAGCCCGCAGTAAAAACCGTCGATATCCCAATCATTCAATAATCAGATCCATCCAGGATCCGAGCCCGAATACGCATACGGGGTTCAGCGTATACACCCATCCAGCTTCAGCTCCAAAGGTTAAAACCACCTAAGCAACCCCGTAAACACTCCCCACGGGAATCGTAAACGTCCCCGTCGAGTTGCTAGCAACACTGACATTCTTCTCGCCGAACGCATAGAACTCCTCAAACATGCCCTCGCGCCACTGGTGCTCCACGGAGACAGTCCAGTTAGGGTAGGTGGCGGGTTCAATCTGCGCAAGGATGCCGGCGTCCTTGCAGGGGGCATAGTCGTCCTGCGTGCTGGTGCCGTTGCACGTCGTGTTAAAGCCCGGTGTGTTTTGCGAGGCGTGGCCGAGGATGTTGAAGCTGTAGACGCAGCCGCCGGGCGAGCAGCCCAGGGCAAAGTGCGAGACGTGCCATGTCAATGCTGGGTTTGTGGGGTCGGCGGTGCGCTCGCGCTGGGGCATGCGGTAGGCGGATTGCGGGATTTTGGCCGTGGTTGTTGATGCGAGGGAGAGGAGGGCGAGGGAGAGGGTTGTGAGGGTTGATGTGAGATGCATTTTGGTGGTTGTTTGTTTGTTTGTTCTGTTTATGGAATGGGTATAGAGAGATGAATGGTTTTTGGGGGGAATGTTGTACAAAGTTTTACTCTAGAAGTAGGAAGGAAGGGGATTATAAGAGGAAAGCAGTGAGCGATATAGAGTGGTATGGTAGCGAAAAGTTGAGACAATTGGGATGCAACGACTATAAATGGAAGATCGCTTGGCGGCGTCTGAACTGCAGATCCCCAGGGGTTCTAACTTCTAAGCTTACACAACAGGAGAACAGTCGAATGGCATGCCCTGCCGAACGGCTCCCAGCCCACCCGATAAGATGGTTGTGACGCGAAACTGGCCGCTGTCTGACGCTGCGACATGGATGTGGACTGCCAAACCGGTTTGCACTACTGTTGCCTCGGTGGTTCCTCAGTTCCTGGCCGGTTCACCAGTGGGACCTGCAGCGACCCTGGCCGAGATTAAATGCTTCAGCTGTGCACTTGTCTTGACTTGGTGCGTCCACGGTCTCAGAAACTGGAGTCGGGTAGTTACTCGAGTCAGGCAACTCAAAGTTTGATAAAACAATGTTGATGGACAAACAATGGGATATAATAGGATTGTGTCGAACAATGAAGATTCAAAACAGCACGGGGTATCATTGCGATCAGCATTAGTGCGGCCCGTTTTCCTTAGCTCGCCGGATTGGGGTCCGGGATTCAGGCTGGAGACATCTAATATCCTATATCCTGAATCTTTGTGTCTGAATAATGTACAATAGCGGTGCGAAACATCATGACTGCCTCTCAGTCTCACTGCCATCCTTGGCCTCCGCAGTGGCCGTATTGAGCTTCTCAGACTTGGCCTCCAGATCCTCTGGGGTAGTGAGACTGGGCTCGTAGTCTTCCCAGCCCTCCTCTTCTTTCGCCTCCGCAATGCTCTGTGCTCTTCTCTTCTCCCTTCTTCTTGCCTTGTATTTATCCCTGTCCCTCTTGTGCTTCTCCCTTTGTTTATCTGTTAGGCTATAGAACTGACGCTTGTTCTCCTCACACATCTTAGCAGCCCACTCATCGCGGTTCTTTGATTCCTCACATAGACGGATCATATCCTTGCGTGTTTGGTTTCTTACCTTGAACCCGCGTTTGGATAGATCATTGGCGTAGAGATAGGCGGATTGAAAGTTGCCGGTCTTCACACAGAGAAAGATCAGGTGCTCAAACGTCTCTCCGGTCGGGGCCACACCCAGTTTTGCCATCTCCTTCACAAAGAATGCGGCTGCCTGGGCATTGCGGCCGGTTCGGCTCATGCCAAGCAAGGAGTTGAAGACTCCCAATGAGGGATTTTTGCCGCAAAGTGCGTAAAGCTCCTTGTAAATCCTGACTCCGTCATCAACAATGAACGGGTCCCTGGCCGCGGCCTTCTCACACAGATCAACAACGAGCATAGCAGATTCAGATGGTATTGTGTGTCCTAACTCCTTCAAGTCTTTGAGACGATTCCAAATCTTCAATGGATGTACCTCATGCGTCAAGCAATAGGCACGGATGTAACGATAACACCTCATTCGCACATGTCGGTCAATCCCGATGCATACGTCAAGTGCGGCAAACAGATCACCGTCTTCAAGGTGCCCTCTCGTCAAGCCCAGATAATCTTTATATCGAGGCTTCGCGCCATTGTGCCTTAGTATTGCCTCTACAGCGGCCTGGAGCCGCGTATCCTTATTGCGCGCTGCAACCTCAAGAACCCTCTCACAAACGATGCGTTCCGGGTGAGAATTCTTCAGTTCCACAATCTTCCACCAGATAAAGGATGTTAAGCCATGATGGCGAGCTCTGCTTGCTGCGTGAAGGACGTTATTCCAAAACTCTGTCTTCATACCGTGCCCTTGGTTCAGACGAGCCTCCATCAGCTCACGAACCAGATCGAACTCGTTGAATTCAAGGAGATTGTATACCAAAAGACTGTGTAGCCAGTCTTTGACGACGATGTGTTTCCTCCCCATGTGCGCGAGATGGTCCAGGGCTAGCTCGAATTGGTGCTCCCTAATCAAGCCCGCCACAACGTGATGCCAATCATCCTCGCTAAGGGTAATCCATCGGCTCCGCAGCATCCGTAGCACGTCCTGCCGCAGGATGAAGTCGGGATGAACAGCGAGTGCCTTGAGGATGAAGCGTCAGCCTACACTCGGGACAAGGCCAAGAATTGACGTACCAGCAGCGCTGCGCGTAGTGGGCTAGCATCAAGCGGAACATTGTGCTCTTCCATCTCCGCAAGTAAGCTCCGCACCGTAATTGATGATCCATGCTCAGGGTCCGAATTTGAATGTATAATCGCCTTATAATGTCGAACATCTGGTTTGATTCCACGATCCCGTAACAAGACATATAATGGCTGCATCGCATTCTGCAGTTTCGCGGTAACCTCGGCTATTTTGGTAAGCTTGTCCTCTACCTCGTTCGTTGGAAGAACTTTCATGCTGTCTGGCGCATTTGGAGGCGGTCTTCTTCCAACTCGTACGCCCCGGTATGCATGTTTTCCACCATTTTTCGTCTTGTTTTCCCCATGATACTTTGCCGGTTCGTTAACAAGTCCCCCACTGGCGTCTTTATCTTGATCGATTCTCTCATCCGAGTGTCTGGCAGAAGTGGTGCTGTTGCGTTCCTGGAGACATCGCGCTATCGTATGTAGCGGAACCAGCGAAGGACATCGGGGCCGTCGCGATGGAAGGGTGTTGAAAAGGCGCTTCGACGTATTTGTCCGGAGTATTGGGCAGAGATAATGTTGTAATTGAGCCGTACTGAGTCTCTTGCGAGACATTATGACTGCATAGCAGCTACAAGAGAGAATGTTGGGACTCCAGGGCTCGAAAAACGATCGCGGTCTCACGTGACATTGAGGCTTACTTCCAGCGCATTTACTACTTAGAAGACTACGGAGTACCTACGAATGCGGAACTGCATAACTGATATCTGCTTCATTTCACGTGGATCATAAATTGATGATGATAGCAATAAAGTTACGCGGCAAGCTCCCATCAAAAAAACAACCCGATACGCCAGGCCATGCTCATGAACCCAACTGGTCAACGGTTCCATCATCCGCTGCTACCTGCATAATCTCCGGGGTATCTATCATTGCACTGTCTCACTCTCCGCTCATCGTCCATGTTCCATGTCAACTTGTGACCTTAGTTTCCACCCCGACCGCGCCCGCGTCCACGGCCCCGACCACCACGGCCTCCTCGGTCTCCCCGTCCACCCTCACGAGGCCCGCGGTTGCGATTTTGAGGTTGGTTCTGCTGCTGTTCCTTGACCATCTCGATGATCTCTTCCGGGATCCGTAGGTATTTGATCTAGAGAGAATCCTGGTTAGTCGGACGCTGCTACACGGGGGCGCATAACGTACGTTGTTTCCGCGGACGTAAACTTCGGGGAGTTTGAAAAAGCGATCGCCCTCGGGGCTTGTTTGAACGACCTCCCGCAGTATTAAGTTCATCCAGTTATCGCAGTTGGCAAGGTGTCCGTTCAGGGTCTCGCCGTTCTTGAGCTCGACGAGCATGGGGTGACCTTGGGCGGCCGTCAAGAGACCGAGAGGGAGCTACAGCCACGGACGTTAGCTAGAATCCGAATATTTTGAGTCTGCGCCTAGGATGGGTGGTTACCATTATGGCTGTAGGTGAGTGCGGAGTGTGCGATGCGAAGAGGAATTGGCGTGGTTTCTGAGGAATGGAGTTACCGTCGTTAGATCACCAGTTCAAGCGATAATACTAGTGGCGGTCAGGTGTAGATAGCTATTGAGCGAATCAAAGTGAGATACTTCCACGGAATAAGAGCGAGATTCAGCAACCTTGGAGCTGTGACATCGGCGGGTTGTCGGAAGATCAGAAACCCCGCACTCCGATCTATACCGGTATGTGAACAGTCTCTTCTTGTCTCATCAATGTGGTCTAAGAAAGTTAGTTATTACACTCGTTGCTTTGGTGATAATCAGCTTCTCAATCCACACTGTCAGCTGGCTTTTGCGTCTCATGAGGTTTATTCGAAAGTACTATTCAAGAGTTCAATTTACGTTCGACTTAGGGTTATCGCAAGTATTGATATTTTTACACAACAGGTCCGATCAGACTCAGGACTTTGAGTTGGTCAAATAAAAATCGTCGTGTCAGTCGAGAATGGACCCAAAGCGCTTCTATACCTTTGGTCGTTTTGCAGCCGCAGACTCGTCTTCCTCATCATCTTCATCCTCCACGGTGAATTTTCGCTTTGTTCGCTGCTCTCTGTTGTTTGACGCTTCGGCTTCTTCTTGTTGGGCTTTGAGGCGCTCCTCTCGTTCGTCGAAGAACCCGAAAAGCTGCTCGTATCCATCCTCCACATTTGTGACGGTATCTTCGAGGGCTGTATGACGCTCGCTCATCTTCAGCTGGATCAGCACATCCCGAGAGCGCTTGTAGAGGCGTTGTTTCGTAAGCATGCGCCACCAATAGTACCGCCGGTTATTCGGGTCGTCATCTCTATGTTTCTTGACGAGAAGTCGTGCCATATTCGCCCCGCCCTTTCGACGATTTTTGAGCGGAATCTGGCTGAGCAGAAACATTTCCTGAATATGCGCGAACTGGGTTGGTTCTATCTTGAAAGCTGTGCGGATGTCGCTGAGGGTTTTGAGAGGAAGGAGGGATAATGTAGGGACACGCTTTGTCTTTTTAGAGGCCTCGCCCCATGGGTCAGGGTTGATGTTGATGTTATTTTTGAGCAACTCAGGGCGCAGAATCTGGTAGTCGGCCGAATCCCGGAGCACGTCGAAGGATTCGTTCGGGTCCTCGACGGTCAGTTCCGCGATTGTTGAATCGTCGAGGCATGCCTTGTGAATGGTATTGTAAAGATTCACGCCGTGTCCGGTTCCTTGATGTGGGGGAAGGATCAGAAATTGAGCAATTCGGAGTCTTGACGGCAACTCCCGTGGTCGAACTGGCTCGGCTGCAGGAAACGGCCAGTCTTTAGTAGTAGGCTGCTCGGAACGATCTCTCTTGTAAAACCACCATCGATAGGTGGTGGCGTAACCGACTATGGAGTACGATGACCCTTTCGGAGTGGGAGGCTCGACCTTCTCATATCTGGTATTTGTTAGCTCGCACACTTTTTTAGTTTGTCAATTCGGGTACCCTACACAAAGTAAACTGTCCACCGATCCAGTGTCCATTCAGGGTCATCTGTTGTGAGAGGTGTTCCAGCCTCGATGAAAAATGATACCATAATCTGAAACCGGTTCAGCAACAGCTGCACTTGAGGATCCGCAAGGGACGCGGCCCAGATCTCGTAGTCTCGTCCGCGAACAGAATAGCTATGCGCGAGCTCGCCCGGTGGCACAAAATCCTTTTCGTCTTCCTCCTGGACGGCGCTTTCGAACTCGGATAGTGAAGATAAGGCCTCTATATTAAAGCGCGCGTTAGGAATCGCCTAATGTAGGAGTCGCATATATACATAAAGAGCGTTCTCACCTTCAGGGAGGAAATCCTTCAATGCCCCGGTAACATCAGTAGGCTCGGCATCTTCCACAGCCGTGAACTTCTCATCGTGCGAAACATGGAGATGAGGACGAAGATTATGCGCGGCAAATCGCAGCCGGATAATTAATCCCTTGTAGCCGAAGATGCGCTCATCTTCGCCGAAGATCGGATATGTGAATTGGGGATGAAAGGTCGAGAGTGTCTTGGGCTTTTGCTGATCGGGTTGAACAATGGTGATTTGAACGGCGTCGTTGGCGTCGCAAGACCCTGGGTAGTGTTCGAGTCAGCTTGGAGAGCAATCATTGACGGGTTGGAAATTTGGGAAAGTGTACATTCGTCTTCTGTCGACATTATGATATCTCTCGGTCCGGATGATGGTGTAGATGGCGGAGTGAGGTAAGATGGAGAGATGCGTTTCATCGAAGCTCTCTTTCTTTGCGCGTCTCATCGCGTTGCGCGGAGCTGGAGCTGGAGCCCGGGCGGGGCGGGACCGGTATAACTCCTTCGGGGTTAGCGCCATTTTCACTTGTCCTCGTCACAGAGTGCTTGGAGGTCAAGCACCTTCATCTTGCCGCCCAGCGGCCCAGGAGGACTATTCGCTCAATTAGCAATTCGAAAAGGTGTTTAGTGTTAAATTCACTTAGGTATCAGCGCGGAATGGTATCTTGAACATTTGTTTTTTTTGGTATTGCCTCGGCTTCCAACTAGTCTGGACAATGTCCGATTCTGCTGGGATCTTAGTATATCTCCCGTTGAACCTGCTCAGATAATCAGAACTCCTAACATATTACGGAGTGCCAGAAGAGCTATTTAAAGTGCTACTCAATTCTCTCGATATTGGATCCGACGTTCTATGAATGCTATACTATACAAAGATCATGTCGACTACCACCCACCGGATCACTCTGATCGGACTAGGCACCATTGGCATGTCCATGGCTGCTCTCCATCTCTCTCGTGACAATACCATAGTCGACGTATTTGACACACGCCCTGATTTTGAAGACTATCTTGTGAAGACGCTTCCGAGCTTCCTAGCTAGCCCTAACTCTGAGACCGGTTCACATCCAGGCGAAGTGGCTTCCCTGGTCTCGTCTGGCCGCCTTAACATCCACTCATCGCTAGCGACGGCATGTGCATCCGCCACCATAGTCCAGGAACAAGGTCCAGAGAATCTCGACTTCAAACGGTCGATCTGGAAAAGAGTCGAGTCTTTAGCACCAGCCTCAGCACATTTCTGGACAAGTACATCAGGCATAGCAGCGAGTGCGCAGCAGCAACAATTGCAAGACAAGACCCGTTTGCTTGTGGTGCATCCATTCAACCCCCCACATATCATGCCGTTGCTTGAGATTGTGCCAGCGCCCGAAACGTCCCCAGAGCGAGTGGAGTTTGCGCGCGAGTATTTCTCCATTCCCGGGTCTAGACATCGCCCCGTGGTCATTCGAAAGGAAATCCCAGGGTTCGTGGGGAATAGACTGGCCTTCGCGTTGCTTAGAGAAGCTTGTCATCTGGTGCAAGAAGACGTTGTGACGGCCAAAGACCTCGATACCATCCTCATGGCCAGCCTAGGGCCGAGATGGGCAGGAAATGGTGTTTTTGAGAGCTACCAGCAGGGTGGAGGTGAAGGTGGCATTGGAGCTTTTCTGGATAAGCTGGGTGGGACAATGCAAGAAGTATGGGATGGCTTGGGGCAAGTGAGCGTTGCAGAGGTGAAAGAGAAAGTGGTTCAGCAAACAGACGAAGCCTATGGGACTTCGATATCGGAAGAGACTCGTTGGAAGAAGGAAGAACGACTGCGTGAGTTTTTGAAGGTGCAGACACAAAGATATTGACTCGGATCAATCATCCTGCAACTTAGTGAATCATAGGACTTTGAAATGGCAGGAAATTCCACCACAATTGCTAAATACTCCATAAAAGAAGTTACACCGGTAATGCAAATTGATTATCCTTACCATGAGTTCAATCGACTTGCCGTTCGAATGAGTCTGCAGTTGGGATAAAGGACAATCATGTGACCCGACAAGCCATCTGCAGCGTCGAGTACTTAGCCCCTCTTCCTTCCTACCTACTTCCTACCAAAGCGCCCATCCCTTCACAGGTCTGTTTTAACTTCCTGAATTGCACCCAGCGCTCTATACAGACACTGCCGCTGGCACAATGTCTAAATGGGAACCAGTCTCTGTTCCCTACAAATCTGATACCCTCCCTCTTCCCCCATTACCAACGACGGAAGAGATCCTCAACTGCCCCAACGTTCTCTGGGATAGATCCTCAAAAGTCGTCGCCATAAACGATGAGATCGTGGTCAAATTCGGTGGGACTAAGACCTGGGAAGGCCAAGCACTGATCTACCTTGAGCGTCACGTTCCCGAAGTCTCAGCACCCCGACTCTATGCAATGTACAAAGAATGGGACGAGGAGTATCATTGCGATCAAGTCTTTATGATCATGCAGCGCGCTCCCGGAGTTCAGCTTGACACAATTTGGGACTCGTTGACGGAGTCCGAGAAAGACGACATCGTCTCCAAACTCAAGCAGAACTTCGATATTATGCGAGAGGTCCAGTGCCCATTCAGTTCTGAGGCTGGGGACTTCTTTGGTTCACTAGATGGGGGAGCTCCGCCTCACTACCTATTCTTCAGCCAAAAGGGAGACAAAATCCTCTTGGGACCATATCACGGTGAAGAGGCGTTTATTAAGGGGCTCGTGGATAACTTTCGAGCGTTCACTAAGCGCAATAGAAGGCCGGACTACAAGGTTCGCTATTACGAGAAGTACTTGGCTCAGGTACTGAAAGGTCACCGGCCAAGGTTGACACATGGAGATGTTCAGCGGAAGAACATCATGGTCAACGAGATTCCGAGCAGAAAGAACGACAAAGGAGAGCGGTCATTCGATGTTGTGCTTGTTGACTGGGTGAATTCTGGTTGGTTTCCGGAGTACTGGGACTTCTTTTGTGCTTCGGCGCCGTTGATCTTTGAGTACTGGGAAGAAGACTGGTGTTGGCGGGTTCAGGAATTTCTTCAAGTTTTTCCTGCTGAGCTTGGTATAATGCGTATGCTTGATAAAGATCTTGGTGGACTGTAAAATAGGATCACAATTATTGTCCCTGTTTGAAGCTCGTCACGTTGAGTTCCAAGTATGCCTAAGAAAAGCAAATAAATCCGCAATCAAATACTATATCTCGCGCGATTGACAGTCTGAGAACCCCCCTACCGAACGCCTTGTAGCTAATCAACTCCTCCGTAAAGCACCAAGACTCAGAACCTTATGTTAACCCGAGCGTAGAATGCCTGCATTTCGTAGCGCTGGGACTGCATACTGATGCGTCCACTCGTTGCATTTGAAAATGGGTCGTCGGGGCTCTCCAGGCTTGTAAGGATCCCCGTTCTGCTTCGTCCAGATCATCTCAGTCTCTTCAGTAGGGTCCTCCTTCTTCTGCCAGAAGTTCAACCCCTGTTGTTTGGTTGGTCTCGGCAGAGCTCTCAAGACAGAGTCAATTCTCCCTGAATGGTAATCGTCCTTACGGACCCATCCGACAAACGGCATGGCGTGAAAATGCCTTGAGCTCAAGGGATCATAGCCGTCTTTCGCTTCGTATCTCATACCGCCGGCTGCAATAACGTCGCCTGTGACGTGGAAAAGTGTTCCAGTGCGTTCACGGTCATTGGTTGTGACGAATATACCTTCGTGGTATCGCTTGGGCGGGTCAAGAGGGTCAAAGGCGACGGAGTCGATTTGTGGTATGAAGACCCGGTAATGAGTTTCTTGCTGACGATTGCCCGACTGCGAGCGTGACGAGCTCTGGCTAGAGGTTGGAGACTTTGAGGATTTCTGGTTGAACATTCTTGACTTCGAGAAGGCAGATGCAAAGGATTGTCAACGAAATGTGACTGCTTTATATTGAGGGTATGATGTTGTCTCTTTCTAATGAGAGTTTCAACGGGCTGAGGGGATGAACTACAGACACTGGCTATCTTCGTCGGCCTTCTTATAACACAGCGTCAGTATCTCTGCTATAGATAGATCATTGAGTTGCCGCTGAGATGGTATGCTTGCGGACTTCATTGGCGCAGCGTGCTACGTAGATATGTCGGCGGCTGGCGAAGAGAAACACAAGCCCCTGTGTCAACAGATATCTGCATTCTTGAAATGGGCGATTCGCTGTTATGACTGATTGGTGACAGTGTACGTTCCCCTTGCATACTAGGGGCAGCTTGATTGGCTTGCTCACTTTCACGACATTAAGGAGGCACATCAGCAGCATAAGATAGTATTGTTCTTGCTTTGTGTTAGGGCGATTCGCTTTCTCGAGTAATTGATCTGTGTTGGTTGCCCAGATGTCGTTGAGCGGTGCCGCCGAGAGAGATGTTTGGGATTTATTCCAACCGTATTGACAAGTTAACAGAGCAAGTATGAATCATGGCCATGTCCAGAACTGGGTTCTTGATTGTGCCTTACCTCAGGGCAAGATCACCATTGCCAGGTTCCCTGCGGCACGGCTCGAATAGTAGGCGCTGTGGCTGATATATAGCGCCCCTCGCCCAGCATGAACGACCTCTTAATGATAGGTAATAGGAGCGTGACCCAAAGTCCTGGAAATGACATTCTGGATAGTATGGGCCTTTGACAGAAGGCGCTAGGTAGCACGTAAGCGCCGAATGGTTGATATAGGACAACATACTGACAGGGATATATCGATTGATTCGCTGAGGGGGCGAGGTGAGAAAGTCATGCTAAGCTCGCAAGTCATGGTATAATTTGTGTGATATTCATGGTGTAGGATTCACTGGCCTCGAATTGATAGTCGTTGATTTCAGCCCAAGCATTCGTTTCTCGAATCGAAATGGAAGATATAGATGTGACTGACCATAGCTGTGTCATAGAGGTCATCGAGTCCCGCATACTCAACTCACTTATGTGTGCGTGCGCATAATGTCTCAAGGACAGGAGCAATGCGTTTTCTAGCTCTCTTACGGCAATGAGACGGCATGGCAAAAGAGCTACGGAACGGCATGTTATGGATGTGCACAAGCTGCACAAGCCAGCCAGCTGCAAATCAGGCCGCGAGATTAGTTATGCCTTGCCCTGCAAGAGAATTTAATGTAAACATTGAACTAAGGTGAGGTGACTCGAGAAAGTCGTTAGACAGCCTTGAGAGTCGGAAATGAAGGAGAACATTGTTAAAGCGGCGGCAACCCGGGGTAGGGCCGAGGTGACAGTGCTATTAATATCGAATCGGCCAAAAGCAAAAACGACGTGCATTGCGGAACCATCGACCGGGAAATCTCTGTCCTACGAAACAGTCCTTCTTAGTACCACTACCAGGGAAAAGACCGCGTTCTTCAATTGCGCTGGTAGACTGCTTGCGATCCACGGACCATCATTGCGCGTACCCTGCAGGCGGCCCTTTTCCCGCTGCGGATCCCGTTCGCCCACGCCACGTTTCCGGCTTTGTCAGTCCTAAGGCGAGTCCAGCTTGTTCCTGGCTCCGTCTACCTGGGATACCTAGACCACACTCATTGCGCTGCTTGACTCTTATACTGGTCAAGTAGACTAAACCCTCGGTACAGACATTCGCGATTAGCACCATGTCCGGGGTGTTCTAAAGAGAAAACAAGTTTCGGGACGAACGGCCGACCATGGAGGGACTTTTCACACTGCTCACGTTGAGCACTGTGATGGCGATTACGTGAGTTCGAACGTGTCACGGTCCTCCTGGCAGGCACCGGCTAACAGCTGTTTCTTCGGTCTCCGATAGGTCCTTCGTCGTGGGATCATTGCCGTTAGCATTCAAGCTGTCGCCTTCGCAATTGCGGCTGATATCCTCCCTTGGCATGGGAGTTTTGGTTGGAACATCTCTTATTGTCATTATACCTGAAGGAGTCGAGACTCTGTACGATGCCGTTCCCGTTGAGCACAAAAGCCTCAGTGGTCGCTCAGTGGCCCTTCCGCTCGCGCATGAACGATCAGCCATTCCTACCGTCGCAACGACATTTAATACCGTAAATGGAGAGCCAGAGCAATGGGATGAATCTCTAGGACATTCCGTTACCGATACTCCTGCCATCCACGTTGCGCGGGATTCGCATAGCGAGGAAGCGAAGGACACTTCAAATGCCGAGTCCGAGCACGACCATAGCGGGGAGAGCTCTCCTCATGCCTGGATTGGCATTGCGCTCATCAGCGGTTTTATTCTCATGTACCTCATCGACAAAATTCCCGAATTTGCATCTCCGGCCAAATCTCAAAGGCCTCCTTATCACATTTCATTGGACAACTTGGGCTCGGGGCTTCGCCGAAATTCGTCGCCTTCGCGGGATGGGGGATTATTGAATGCAGCGAATAGCCAGCGAAGCAGCCATAGCTTTGCGACGACTACTGGTCTAGTCATTCACGCAGCGGCTGATGGAATTGCTCTCGGGGCATCTACCTCCGATACCGGACTCAGTTTCATTATATTCCTGGCCATTATGGTTCACAAAGCGCCCGCATCATTCGGGCTTACATCTATCCTCCTAAGACAAGGCTTGTCGAGCCGTGCTGCCAGGACTCATTTGTTCGTCTTCAGTCTGGCTGCCCCTGTGGGCGCCCTGGCGACATTCTTGTTTGTGCATCTATTGGGGTCGGGAACGACGGACGAGGCAAGTGCACGTTGGCGTACAGGGGTTCTTCTATTGTTTTCCGCTGGTACATTCTTGTAAGTCACCAACTTTTTGCTGGGATTCTCGGTAGCTGACATAGCCCCTATAGATACGTCGCCATGCACACTATGCAGGAGAACAACTCGGTATCTTCTCGGGACTTGCCAACCAACGGTTATGAAGCCCGAGAAATTGCGGCAAAGCCCGAAAGGTCTACCAGGGATCTGGTTGCTTCTGTCGTTGGCATGATATTGCCGCTATTTCTGCAGATCGGACACGCTCACTGATCTTCCCAACAGTTATATCTTGGTCTGTCTTCGCATTGTCTCGACCTCATAGATTGGAGTAGCCTGGGGCATTTCATATGATTGTATTTGTCTGACAACTAGAATTTTCCTTTTGCGGGTTGTTAATCTCATTCTTCGGATGTGTAAGAATAAGAGAAGCGTCGAGGCGATGGCGCTGTTCTGTATCCACTACTGTGTAATTTGATGGCTCTAATAATTATGTGGATACGTTGCACAGAGTAAGCTTATCCCAACACTTAATACATATGATAATGATAAAGCGTTTGTCCCAAGACCAGGGTAGTGATGAAATCATGTGGTAACCATACCGCAGATGGAGTAGATCAAGGCAGCTCCAGGTCAGTTGGGGTGGAAGCGGATGCCAAGCCCTGGAATCTGGACAGTGACGAACAAGCTTCCAAGTCCCGTATAGAAGCAAGGCTTTGGTTGAAAGTGGGAGTATGAGAACGTATCTACATAGTGACCGGTCTCATGGCTAATGCAGTGTAGAAATAGCCTTGGAATCAGGACTGCTAAAGTAAGGCGTCTCGACCCAGTAGATCGGCAGCCTCGACTAATCACAGGGGCCATTTGCAAGGCCCACCATGCTGGAGCCGGCCAGCACCTGACTTAGGACTGGGACGTTGCTTGATCGAGACTCTTTGAAATCAAGCCTGCGTTTCCGCTGCGTCGACTCCCTCGTGGGCTTCACTGCACCTTCCAATATTCCTTCTTCCTTCCTGCTTGTCTGTCTTCCTTGTTCTAGTCAGCTTCCTACTGTTATTTCTGTGTCTATTCACCACCCTATCTTTCTCCCCTTCACCCAGCCTGCGGTCTTTCCTGCCCCCTATTATTCTCCGACTGCCGCTCCCGCCCAGCTGAACCTTCCGCCAGCAGTGTTTCTCACCACCACCAACCAACTGCCGCCGTCTCTCTACTCCCGATTTTCTCTCTCGCCAGCGCTACAAACTCTCGCTACTACTATATTTGATTATTACACGTTCGTTAACTCTAAAATCCATGAGCCATACCAAACTCCGAGGGAGCTGGATATTACGACATTCACCGTGAAGCTTGCGGGAACCAGTCTGGTGGATGCCTTTGGATTTGTCATTTCTCAGTCGCGCAATCTTCTATGGACTTCCGGCGGGCAGCAAATCCCCCTGTGATAAGCGGGATGGACTCACATTCGAAGACGATACCGCCATCCGATAAGCCTTGCACCTCTATCCCCCCTAACCTTCTCCCATCGGCGCCAGCGTCTCCTCCGACCCCGGCTCCTAGCCCTACTCCGCACCAACGAGTACCCTCCTGGCGATCGTCTGAACAAGATGAGGATCCGCTGCTGTTTAACACCAAGTACTTCGAGTCGCTGTCTGGTCCTCGGAAACAACAATATTTGGAGGCTATTCTTAGTCTATGCAGCAGCCAGCAGCTTAGCTTTGTCTCAAGCTACGTCGCTCCGCGTCTGCGGAAAGATCCGTTTCTAGTCTTTCCAACTGAGATTTCTTTAAGGGTGAGTTGGGCCCCTGTCGAGCATCTTCGGACCCGGCAAAAACTGATCTTGTATTCTTCTAACTAGGTGCTCTCTTTTGTCGACGACCCGAAAACCCTCGCGCGAGCGTCACAAGTGTCAAGCCGATGGCATGAGCTGTTGAATGACGACATCACATGGAAGAATCTCTGCGAGCGACATGCGTTTACTCATCGGCGACCGGCAGAAGATAATCAAGATCTCATTGAGCCCATTCACAACCATCGTACGAACTCCTTAAGCGGACTGCAAAGGAGACCAAATAGCGCTACCATCCAGTCTCGCGATGGCTTTGCGGACTTCCACCGGTCATTATCTGGAGATTGGAGCGCCTCCTCAGCCGTACAAGCAAGGAGGCTTCGGGTTCGGCCACTTTCTTATAAGTATCACTTCAAGCAAAAGTATATGATCGAATCGGCGTGGAGTAAGGGCGGCAGATGCACCCAGCGACACATCTCGCCTGACCAGGGCGTAGTAACGAGTCTACATCTTACCCCGAAGTACATCGTGGCTTCGCTGGATAATGCTAAGATTCATGTATACGACACCAATGGAGAGAACCAGAAAACACTCGAAGGGCATGTGATGGGCGTTTGGGCTATGGTTCCCTGGGATGACATTTTGGTCAGCGGCGGTTGTGACCGGGAGGTGAGGGTGTGGAACATGGCTACTGGCGAGTCGATATACCTGCTCCGCGGCCACACGTCGACCGTACGTTGCCTGAAAATGTCAGATAAGAACACGGCCATTTCCGGCTCGAGGGACACCACGCTACGTATATGGGATTTGAGGACAGGCACTTGCCGCTCGGTTCTGGTCGGCCACCAGGCTAGTGTCAGGTGTCTTGCGGTCCACGGGGATATCGTCGTTTCCGGTAGCTATGATACCACTGCACGCGTTTGGAGCATTTCGGAAGGGCGTTTTCTGCGAGCACTGTCGGGTCATTTCAGTCAGATCTATGCGATTGCCTTTGACGGCCGCCGCATCGCTACTGGCAGCCTCGACACTAGCGTTCGGGTCTGGGATCCAAATACTGGCCAGTGTCATGCTATCCTACAGGGCCATACATCATTGGTTGGACAGTTGCAAATGAGCGGTGATACTCTGGTTACTGGCGGCTCCGATGGGTCTGTCCGCGTGTGGTCTTTGACTAGAATGGCTCCTATTCATCGATTGGCGGCCCATGACAACAGCGTGACCAGTCTCCAGTTTGACAATAACCGGATTGTTAGTGGCGGTAGCGACGGTCGCGTCAAGGTTTGGTGTCTGCGGACTGGGCAGCTCCTTCGTGAGCTGTCGACTCCCTCAGACACGGTTTGGCGGGTCACGTTCGAGGAGGAAAAGGCGGTCATCATGTCAAGCAGATCGGGCCGCACTGTTATGGAGGTGAGTTAGATCCGCTGTGAGGCTTTGACGTCTCTAACAGGTGTATTAGGTCTGGAGCTTTTCTCCGCCCCTAGAAGACAAGGAGTTCGACGCGGCAACGATTGGCGTTTCGTCGAGCATATCCGAACCAACACCGGCACGCAGTAATCGCTCACTACGACCCCTCGTACTTTCAGATCCTCCACATAGAAGTGATGGTGACCAGGTAATGGTGGATGTACCGCCATGAACCGTGGACTGCCATAATATTACGACCATCTAGCTTCTTCTTAATTTGCACCTTCAGCGTTGTTGCCTCGATTTGTTGCTTCTACGAGATTCCCACCTCGCACCACCCGCGGGTCAGGATTGGTCTATATTCACTGGTTAGCATTTGCATTCTGGGTGTTTAGGTTCATGCTGTTTTATCTATGGACTACGTGGAGTTAGATAGGAACGGCTATCATACTGGGTCGATACCAGCTGGATTCTGATGCGAAACTTTGTATTTCTTACTTAGTCCATGTCCGCGCCTCAGGAGGTGCTCATACCCATAACAAGAAAGTCTATGCATTCCACCTTTCACGCGTAGCAGTAGATCCTATGCAATAACATCCGGTAATATCTAGACGTGGATCTAACATAGATTATCGTGAAAATTGGGGGCGATCCCATTCGTCAGCTGATTGCCCACAGCCTTTAGCGTTCTCCGCTCGATCTTCGCTTTGACCATGAACAAGACTCTCGAAGGTGCACAAGACACCAGATTCGAATTGGACAACTACAATCTGCGGAATACGGGCTTGATTGCGAAGTTGGCCACGCCCGTCTCCTCAAAAGCGTTCTTGGAGGCGGGTCTCTTTAGTACTGTACCGAGGCAGATTCACGATGTCCTGTTGCCGATTACTAGTGAGATCTTGTACTGAACACTTGGTCGCGGAAACCTCGGAGACGGTCAGGTTGTTTTAACAGAGACACATCGCCTTGGGTACGGAGTGCAACATAAAACTCCGATTCGCCACTACCTAGAAAGACAACATGGTCTATGCTGGCCGCAGCCGGGGTTGTCATTTGTGTCGCAAGAGGAAAATCAAGGTAGGACAAGATCTGGTCTTCTGTGCATGTTTATTTTCCGAATGGATGCACTGGAACTTGAACATCCTGAAATCTGATCGGAAACCAAGAAGCTAAAACATTATAAAAGTGCGACGAAGCCCTTCCAGAATGCGGCAACTGTCGCGTGTACGGCCGGCCCTGTCCGGGCTACAGGCTCGAGTCGATCTTTAGGAATGAGACATCCAAGGTCGAGCAGCTTGTCAAGAGGTCAGGGAGCTTGGTACCTTCAAGTTCTGGCAGTCAGAGAGGGCGTCGATTCGGACGAGATGCTAGTACCGGCCCCTCATTAACGGTCTATCAGGTAGCAGACTCGACGTGGGGAGAGCGAGCTCTCTGTTACTTCTTTGACCAGTATACATCCGGTGACGATCCGGATGAGGCTATGAGCTACTTGTCGTTTCTGCCGTCTTTCTATACAGCTTGCCGAGAGAATGGGATCGACAACGCCACGCCTGCTTCTACTTGTCTGCGTCTTGCTGTTGATGCGACGGCTCTCATGACGCTGAGCAACCATGTTAATGCTCCGCCGCTTGTGCTGCGTGCTAGAGAGTATTATGGAAGAGCGCTGAGGGGATTACAGCAGGCACTGACTACGAAGACGCAGGCTGTCAAGGATGAAACCTTTGCGACTATGGTTCTGCTTGCACTATTTGAGGATATCACGGGCGAGCGGAACGGGCTTGCTAGTTCTCATGCGGCGGGGTTTGAGCTTTTAATGAAGCTCCGAGGAGAGGATCAGTTAGGGCATGCGCGAGGGAGGGATCTGTTTCACTTTGCATATACGCATACGGTACCTTCTCCTTCCAGTCCGCCTCGGTCCATCGGCAAAGCTAATAAGTGAGATATGCAGCACGTCGAATTGCTCGCCCTCCGAGGAAGACCACATTACAACACAGACTGGATAGTTGAGCGCTTGAGCGGCGCCGATCCAATCGCGCGGCTGATCCTCATCGCCTCCAAGATAAGCCAGCTGTTCCTCGCCACATCATCCCTCCAGGCTTCAGCGGTAGCGGCAGCTTCAGCTTCAGTGCCGGACTCTACCACAAACACGGGCACCGGCGCAACCCCAGACAGCATCTCCCAACTCAGCCTTCTCCTCCTAACAGGCCGCCAGATCGACCTCGAACTCACCTCCTGGAGCCAAGATCTCCCCGAACGCTGGCTCCCACTCGTCATCTACCCCGACAAATCCTCCAAGTTCAACACCCTCACCGACGACTACGAACCTCTAATCACCTACCACCACCTCTCTATAGCCTCCGTCTGGACCTACTACCGCGCTGTCCGCATAGTCTCGCACCTCATCATGCTCGAGCTGCGTCGAGCCCTTGCCGCCGCAGCAGGTACCAGCGCCTCCATTGACGACAGTGCCATGCCAACAGCAGCCCAAGCCACACCCGCAATTATTCAGAAGCAAATCCTTGACATCTGCCGCAGCATCCCCTTCTGTCTGGGCGACGTCGATATCAAGGGGAACCGAACCACGTCACCCTCCGCGGGGTCCGAAAGAGACAGCAAGCCGCAGCCCCGCGCTCGCGCGTTCTCGGTGTACAGCATGATCTGGCCGCTCTGGTACATTCTGTCCTGTGGCCTTGCGACGCCGGCTCAGGAGGACCATATTCGGAATTGCCTTGCGAGGATTGGGTCCGTGCTGGGGATTAAGCTTGCGCTTGTGCTGGCGCAGGATGCGGAAAGCCAGCGGCGGCCGCCGATTAGTCTAGAGGGTTTGATGCTTGGAGGGCCGGTCCCTGGCTACTGACACCGGGACTGGAAGGTACAGCTTTGAGAAACTGGCGGTTTGAGCGGTCATTGTTGATGTTGGCGTTTCAAGGTTGTATGTATGGATATATTTATCCCATTCGCTGTGGGTCGGCGTGTACACGAATTTCGAGTTGTCAAATGTACAGTCATAGTATATTTTTCACATTCCCATCACTCATATTCTTTAATCAATCCAGTCTAGCTATACTGGCATTCGCACAGCACACTCTCTACGTCTCCGATATCTCTATGCAAAGCCGGAGGATCCGCGGACGGATCCTCCGTTGACTATGTATAGGCACCTATGACGTCACTCCCGTCCTTGAACAACACAGCCGAGTAAAAACAACAAAAAGCAGTGGACAGATCCACCATTGGCAACATCTTAGCTTCAGATCGGAAATCGGCACCGTCTCTTGACGGGGTGGTTGCTCAGCAGGGAAAATAAGCCACACGATAAGAAGTTATGAACGCATCCATGCATGCAGCCCCGGATGGCTCGGCCAGACCAGACCCAGCGCCAACCAGGCACGTAGGACATACTGCATCGGGCGCGGACGCTGGCACTGACGACATACCTTATCCACTGGATTCTCCGGCTTATATAGCCTGGGTTTCTTGGGTTGTTGCGGTTGCATTGATACCTATACCTAAGTTTCGGCAGGCGTTGGTGTGTTAACCTACCTTCATTACTATCTCATTCTTTAAGCTTTGTTGCTATTGTACTCTGTAAACCCTTGTGCAAGTTCAATTCGATAAATATCTACAAATGGCAGCGCAGGAGAGACAGTACCCGATGGGGAAGATTGAGCCCAATACGCTCAAGTACTTCGGTGCTTGTACGATGGGAGGAATCATTGGTATGGATGCAACACCTGACTCCATACTTATGATGAACTGACCATGGATGTTTTGGTGACATGAAGCGTGCGGCCCAACACACACCTCAGTAACGCCTCTCGACCTCGTGAAATGTCGTCGACAAGTCGACCCAAAAATCTATACATCCAACATCTCCGCATGGCGCTCGATTATCTCCAAGGAAGGTGTCCGTGGGATATTTTTCGGTTGGTCGCCCACTTTCGTCGGATACTCGTTCCAAGGGGCCGGGAAATACGGATTCTACGAATACTTCAAGTACCTGTACGGCGAGCGCATGTTCCCCAACACAAACCGCACAGTTATGCATTTGGCCGCAAGTGCTTCGGCCGAATTCTTTGCCGATATTGCACTCTGTCCATTCGAAGCGATCAAGGTGCGCATGCAGACAACACTGCCACCGTATGCGCATAGCCTGCGCGAGGGCTGGAGTAAGATTGTTGCGCAAGAGGGCATGGCCGGTTTCTATAAGGGATTATACCCTCTGTGGGCGAGACAGATCCCGTATACGATGACGAAGTTTGCGACGTTCGAGGAGACAGTCAGCATGATCTATAAGACGTTGGGAGGCCCCAAAGAGAGCTACAACAGCCTCCAGCAGACAGGAATCAGCTTTGCGGGAGGATATATTGCGGGAATCTTCTGTGCCATTGTCAGCCACCCTGCTGATGTCTTGGTGTCTAAGCTGAATGCCGATCGAAAGGGTATGTTTCATTTCCAGTTGGCAATGCGGTGGATCTGTACTGATTTTGAAATAGCGGGTGAATCGGCGATGAAGGCTGTCTCTCGAATTTATGGCAACATTGGGTTTCCAGGGCTGTGGAATGGTCTCCCCGTGCGAATTCTGATGCTCGGAACATTGACTGGCTTCCAGTGGTTGATGTAAGTTGTCATGATTCCGTACTTGCGATCGTGATGCTAATGAAGACAGTTATGACTCGTTCAAGGTGTTCCTCGGCCTTCCAACGACAGGCCACTAATATCATTGATGCATAGATAGACCATAGTAATGAACTTTGATGATCAAAATTTTGATTTGAATTCCGAGTCTGCGTAGTTCACTCTGTAAATTGGAAGATCCGGGGAGATTGTCTGGGGAGATTTCGCTTTCCGGCTTCGTAAAGGATGGAGAAGATGGAGTTGACCGCCTTCACTCTTGGCGATCCGGACCTACCAAGCTCAGCTGCTCAGGAACTTCCTTGCTTCTAGACCCTCAGCCTCGATTTCTGACCAATTCCATTTGATTGATGAAAGAATAAACATACAAAATACTTTACAGAACCCCAATCCTAGCTACTCAGTTCGATTCCGCCGACTGCGACCCAGACAACATGGAATCAAGAACACCGTCCCAGCCAACCACGAACCCGCCTAGCATCGAGATTGCCTACAAACGCAAATGCATCGCGCTCAAGAAACGCCTCGCTGAGATCGAAGCTGAGAATGATATGCTGCGCAACCGAAACAATCGCGGCTGGAAATACATTCAAAAGATGCGCCTGGAGTCATGTATCCTCCTCGAGCGCTTAGCCAGCGTAACGGGAATGGTCGAGGAAGCTGAAGCTGGTGTGAATCCCGAACTGCGCGCGCGCGCCGCCGCTTTTGTGACCAATGCCGCTGCCTTGAACGGCGCGGCTGCGAGGAATGGATCAGGGCCTGGATACTACGACGATGAGACGGAGGGAAGCTCAGACGAACAACCACCTACAGTGAGTTTCGCGCAAGAAGATTGATAGCTATTCCTTTGGCTGATTGCCTACTTTTCTAATGCAGCCGCAAGAACGTCCGCTCCGAGTAAAACGATCCCGCAAGTCGAACTTCAACCTCGACGATGAAGATTTGGCTGCCGGTATCACTCCTGAGGCCTCCGGCCCGGGGTCGTCGTCGGCCTGGCCACGCCTCGCTCCGGCGCCATCACAAGAGGAGATGACATCTTCATTCCGGATTCAACAGGGTAATGGGTCCGGACAGGAAAAAGATACTCCCCTACCGAGCGATCGAGAGGGTGAAAACAGATATGTTTCGGGAGAGCGAGCAATAGATCCTTCGGCGGAGAATTCCGCGACACCGATGGATTTGGATGCAAAGGTGCTAAAGGAGGAAAGCTAATGGATATTCTCTGATATGTCCTTTTCGACGATTGCGTTTCTTCTTCGCGGGTTTGGACGGGGTTCTTCACGGGTGCATTTCTCTCTCTCAAATCTAGGGTTATTTCAAAAGACGTATTTAATGCATGGGTGCTTATGGGGGAGTATGATTTTTATAGATTAACACGGTTTACCAGCGTCTTTTGCAGAGATCGATAAATCGAATAAGCCAAGGTTTCACGCGGGGCGCGAGAGGGCACATTGACCATGAGCTTCACTTCATCAAATTTCGACAATGACAACCTCATCTTAGTGCTGCATTACGCCACCGAACACGGGGCTGGTACTTTTCTTCAATGCTGCCCATTTGCAGACATCCTTCATGTTCTCCACACCTATATTATGCTAATCTGTCGGATGGAATAGGCTCAGATGGCGAGCCGCGACCAGCTATTAGCTAGATCGCGTCCCTGGCCCTCGTGGGAGCTGCTTTAATATCGGACATCCGATGCCCTCACACCATCACATGTCCAAGACAAATCATTGCCACTGAGATTGGGCGTCCGGGTTGTGGTTGGTTTCACTCAGGGACTGGGATGGTGATACTCTAGGTATAGTGCCTTTTGTACGCCATCCCATGCTGCTGTTGTGCAATTTCCCCTCCCCACGAACCCTCGAGTATAAACGAACCGCTGCCACCCAAGAAAAACCAGCAGAGACAAGAAACTTGGCGAATGTAACATTGCTTTCACAGCGGGAGACATGTTATCTCCTGCGTCTCGCGTTTGCTGGTGGCACCGCCAGCTGCGACGGACTCGATTACGCCATAACGTACGACGATGAGAACCCAGGCGATGTGGGTTGGGGAATGGATATAAGGAGAAGCCCCCGGCGAATTTCCTGCGTGCTACACAACGCCCGCAGAACAAATATTGATCGTCGGCTCTTCCAAGATGGGCTTCTTCGACTTCAGATCCAAGGCGGCTGACACACAAGTCACCCAACATGATGCGCCTTCTGAAGATACCATTGTTGCAGGCGATCTGCACTACACTGGAGATGCAGGCGGCAATACCTCCCTTCCGACATACCAGGAGGCTTCGGGCGCGCCGGTTGAGGTTGTCTCGCCGCTTGGCTACGAGGCAGGGTTCATCACGTTGATCTTCATGAACGTTAGCAAGATGGTTGGGACCGGAATCTTCTCTACCCGTGAGTGACTCCTCTATAACCAGAAAGAAGATTGCAAATAACATTGAATTGTACTCTAGCTTCGTCTGTTTTCGAAGGAACCGGTTCTATCGGCCTGGGTCTATTCTATTGGGTGATAGGGTTTGCTGTCGCTGCAAGCATGCTCTCCGTCTACCTCGAATTCGCATCGTATTTCCCTAGTCGATCTGGATCAGAGGCAGTCTATCTGGAGCAGGCGTATCCTCGCCCTAGGTACTTTTTTCCTACCGTCTTCGCGGTGCAGACAGTGGTATTTTCATTTAGCAGTAGCAATGCTATTGGTACGTCAACTTCAATATGCAAGCAAGCCTGCATGCGCTAATGTGAATGACGTTAGTCCTGGCCAATTATCTCTTCAGACTGGCGCAGTCAGAACCTACAGCATGGCAATCCAAGGGTGTCGCTCTTGCGTCGTATACAGTGGCAACTTTAGGTTGGTTTGTAGGGCTACCGTGATAAGCTGATATGCTGACTACTATAGCTGTCTCCTTCAACACGAAGTGGTCTCTTCAACTCTCCAACGCCATCGGCTGGGTCAAACTTGTTACTTTGCTATTGTGAGTAATGTGCTCAACATACGAATTTGTCTTCTAACGTGTCCAGCATCGCAATTACCGGGCTAGTCGTCCTCGGCGGCAACGTTTCGTCTATACCAGACCCCAAGGCTCATTTCCGAAACGCTTTCGAGGGAACTTCAGATGCTACGGTGTATGGAGCTACTAACTCACTCATCAACGTGATGTTTTCCTACCAGGGATACGAGAATGCCTTTAACTTAGTCAACGAGGTTAAGAACCCTGTCAAGACGCTCAAATGGAGCGCCCCTGCTTCGCTCATCACCATCGGTATCCTTTACATGCTTGCGAACATCGCTTACGTTTCTGCTGCGAGTAAGGAGGAAATTGCTGCTTCGGAAATCAACGTCGCTAGTCTCTTTTTCGAGAAGGTATTCGGAGGCGGCGGTGCGTCTCGCGCCTTGAATTTCTTGATCTGCGTCAGCGCGTTTGGTAACCTGCTCGTTGTGCTCATTGGCCAATCCAGAATGCTGCGTGAGTGTGGCAGGTATGTTTACTCCATCCTACTCATGGGTAAGCCGACTAAGTGAACGTACAGACAAGGTGTCCTCCCGTTTACCAAATTCTGGACTTCCACGCGTCCCTTTGGAACTCCGCTGGGGCCGTACTGGCTAAAGTGGAGTCTGACTGCTATTATGATTCTGGCTCCTCCAGCGGGTGATGCGTTTAATTTCGGTATGTGTGGTAGACCCCAGCGAGCTCGCTTGCCTTAACTAAGACTCCGGCAGTGGTCGACTTGGGAGTATACCCCCAAAGCATGTTCAACTTCTTCCTTGCAATTGGTCTCTTGTTCACCCGACGACACCGAAAGCGTCTCAACATCCCCAGAACCGAATGGCACGCTTGGGACGTTGTCGTCTATTTTGCCATTCTAGCCAACCTCTACTTGCTCGTTGCTCCCTGGTACCCACCAGCAACAGGCGCAACCGGAGGCGACGTGAGTTTCTGGTATGGAACATACGTGGTCGTTGGGATCTCTCTGTACGTGCTTCTATTTTCTAAACGTTAATTACCAGGGTTAGGGCTAACTTAACTGGATAGCATTGGCCTTTGCGGCGTCTACTACTATGTCTACATGAAGGTCCTACCCCGTTTTGGAGGCTATCAGTTCCGCCAAACAATTCTTACGGGGCCATCAGGCGAGACATCACATAAGATGGTCAAGGTACCTAACGCCGAGCTTGCCAAGTGGGACGAGGATCATGATGCTGCGGGTAGGCTCCGCCGGCGGGCAAACGCCCATCAGAAGTCTGAACAGCCTGTAGAGGCTTAGCCCTTCTGCTGCTGTATTGGAATGTAGAATTAGCTTGGTCCCTTGGAAGGTGAGATAGATATATTCGGGGTGTTAGCACATAAGATCACTTGTTCATGACCCTTGGATTGGCTGGAAGGTATACTTCCGATAGCTCCGTTAACCCCGGACTACAACTAGGCTGCACCTTCCCAACTACACTTCAACACTCTACATGCAGCCAACTCACAGAACCATCAATCATGTCTTTCTTATTCATAGATAACAGTGCGTTCATTGACCGCGCAACAAGAAAGCGAATTCGCACCCACGCCGCGACAGGGAAGAATGCCAACAGGACTCTAACGCGGTCATCCAAGAGCAAAGGCAACAACGTGACTCCATTTCGCGTTCCTGAAGCTATTAGGAGAGAACAGAGAAATGAGACAGCTAATGGGGAGGTCGCCCGGCCAGTTACTGATGGACTGGTGTTTCCGATACCCGTGCCGGAGACATCCAAGGGCTTAGTTCGAGAAGGTGTGCACTTAGGCCACCACTCTGGACAAAACTATAGGAGCTGACATGTTTCTCTTGAAGCACTGTTTTTCTTCAGCGGTATACGATACAATCCTGAGCTTGATGGCGCCTTGGAGAACCCCGACCACATGGGGTCCGTCTGGGTGCGGTATTTCTTTATCGACGAGGCTTGTGCGTGCCCGACCATATCATTACCCCCCATACATGATTGAGCATGCTGATCATGTGCTAGACTTCCACTGCTCTGTAGCCACATCGATCCTGTGCTCTCAGAACCTTGTCCGTGAGACGACCCAAGGAATGCGCCATATTGCACGCACCTACCGCATCGTCCAAAAAAGACTCATGAGCCAGGAGGAGGCGACGTCGGATATGACTATGGCGATACTTGTGGCCATGTCCCAGTATGAGCGGTTGCAGGGTCAGTATGCGCGGGGTTATGTCCATCTCCAGGGCCTCCGGCGGATGGTTGAGTTACGTGGGGGCATCAAGCAGTTTGATAGTGATAATTGTGGGGTTATTCAGAAAGTCCTAAGGTGTGTCTTTGAATACTTTGCACTGTCTAGGGATTCGCTAATGATACAGGGGCGATTTGGAATTCGCTTTACAACTTGGTTCAAGGACTTTGTTTGGCGTTGAGGGCATCGAGTTTCTCCGCCTATGCACAGGCGTGTATATTCATGATGGAAATATAGAAGACAGATTTACGGACCCGAAGGTAAATTTACTCTTGCAAATGAGCCTGCGGGCCAATTTATGGACGATCTTCTCGGAGATGAGAAGACTTGCCATGCTGCTCAACAATGCCGGTGCCGGGCACAGGCAGAAGCTGGGTGCCGTTGAGTTTCACAACACCATCATGCTCCTGGGCTTTCGTCTCCTACATATCAGCCCGTTATATGTTGGTACGGATTCTGACACATGTCCGAATTTGAGTATGAGCATTCTCGAGGAAGCAGTCCACTTGGGCCTGATTGCGTTCTTGGTAACATTTCTACGAGGATTGGACCATCGTATCGCTGACAAGCCGCTTGTCTCAAGTCGCCTTCGATTTGCTATCCAAAAGCTTTCGTCAGCTATAGAAAGAGGGACGAAAAACGAGTCTATGCAAAGGGTTCTTCTCTGGATGCTCTTCATTGGGGCGGTGGTAGTGTTCAAACGTTCGGACGATGAGTGGCTGATACCAACAACCGACACTACAATGAAAGCCCTCGGACTCTCTGCCTGGGACGAGGTTGAGAGGGCACTGGTCGGGTTTCCATGGGTGCACGCAATACACGATAGAGCTGGCATGGTACTCTGTTCCACGCAGAAGTTTCTCGAATTCTCGGCCCAACCGGATCGTTTCCCCTAAGCTAACAGATACAACAACTAAAGAACTAGTTCTGCAACGCTTTTTGCACACATCCCGGTTCGACAGCTTCGAGTTCTTCCACAATGAGGGCCCATAGATGCTCCTGCCACTTCTTGGCCTCCTCATCCTTCGCCCAGACAGGCACTTTGTCCCTGTAAAGCTCATTAGCATGGATCGATAATGCTTAGCATGTATGGCGACTCACTCTCTAATCTCGCAGTTGGAAGTGAAGGTGCCATGGCTATCCTTTCCCAGTACAGCGCCGGCCAGTAGCGTCCGGCTCCCGTCCTCCGCGGTCCGTCCATATAGCACATGCTGATCGACGATCGACTGCTTTACGGCAGGGGGGCAGTTCCGGACCAGCTCAGTCTTGCAAAGTCCCGGGCAGACGGCATTAATGACCACCTTCCCTTGCTCAACAGGCAGTCGAGCCGCCAGCTCGCGAACAGTGAGGCTATCCATAAGCTTGGATATGGGGTATCTTTCCGCACAGCCAAGGTTAGCTAGGCACAGGCTATGAGGAATTGGACGTGTAAAGGAGAACATACGTAGCCATCAACTCCTCAACAGGCAGCGCATCCATCCTTACAAACGGATCCTCTTTGATCTCCTCCCACTTGTCACGCGCATCCCACCCAATACCAGACGTCACAATTGACAAACGCGGCAAAATTCCATACTCCTCCGCACTCCCCTTCAACTTCGGCAGCAACAACATAGCCAGGAGGAACGTACTCAGCACATTCACCGTGAGAGTCAGATTATGTCCCTCAGCCCTGGTCTGCTCCGGCGTCGCCACAGCCGCATTCTCAATCACCGCATCAATCCGGTCAAGTTCCGCAATTGCGCGCTTCGCAAAAGCCTTGACGGAGGTGTAGCTGCTCAGGTCAAGAGGCCAGACCTCCGCGATATCAGTGGTGCCAGTGGCCTCGTCGATTTTCCGCTTTGCGGCTTCGCCTGTATCGATCCTGCGCACGGCTAAGATCACTTTCTTTGCGCCGAGGCGGACGAAGTGCTTTGCCGCTTCGAACCCCAGACCCGTGTTTGCGCCGGTCACGATGTAGGTCTTTCCCGCGGTGGACTCCTCCGTTGCGAGGATGGGGAGGTTGCGTGGTTGGGTTGGGACTTCGGCGGACATCTTGCTAGGATTTGAAGCTGGTTGAAGTGAAAAAAAAAAATTGTAGTAAACTGATTTGGTTGTTTTCTGGCTTTGAATTGTTAACTGATGATGTGGGTGAGATTGAGCAAAGACAGCATAGCACCACACCCCTCTTTATACCCGGATTCTGTCCTACCAACCTCAATCCCAAGCCGGCGTTTACGGACAAGACAGCAATCAATCTCCAATATCACCATTATCTCCGAGGTTAATGTCAGTTCAAACTCTTCGCTATGCCCATTGTTGTCCCACTGTGATGCCATGGATGGGCAATGCCAATACCAGGGCCGATGTACATAGTATGTCCCAGCCAATCAGAGAGGGTTTTCCTAATTAGGATAGTACAAAATGTGGGGTTCGAGTATGGACCCACACTCATAGATTGGCCTCACTGCCACTCAGATGACGGATTACGGATGAGACGATTAATTCGGTCAAGTCATCTTCGGCTCTGGAGGTAAGGCAAGGAAGTAAGATTCTTACCGCCGAGTTGAATGTTTGCCAAACGATAGGTGTGCACTGTGTACGTTCTTTTCGTAAGACTACTGTTACAATTGGTCCGGTTGGGGATGAGCTCGTGACGTTGTTGTCTGCGCTAGGTTACATAAGGTTCTATATCAATTGGGGGGAGATACAAGAAGCTATCCGTACTATCGTGCGGTAGTAATCATCTAAAAGTAGTTTTTGATGGCATCCAATATGAATTCTAGCCAACCGCAGACGGTTGATTAGGCTGTATTCGACCATGCCGAGGACCGCTGAGTAAATCTATATATACAGTAGCAAGGAACGGAGTGCAAACGACCCCCCAAACTCCGACGCCTGTACAGAGTTGCAGAATGGTACATGCTGCGTCTATTCGACACCAGCGTACAGATCAACAACGATGTTGATGGCGGCCACGAGGATCTCAGCGGCGATGAGGACGATAACTACATTGAATTAGTAAGTTGAGAGAGTGTTGATACTAGGGCCTCAAACGTACCTATCCACTCGAGATACTCACCATGACGGTGAGTTAATTGATCTTTCAGCACAGCAAGAAGATCCGCTATCACATCCAACCGCTCAGTCAAAAGGCTCACGCGCTGGTCCATTTCCAAGTAACTCCGAACAGCCTGGTATACAGGTTCTAACTGTGGTTCAGCCCACATCAACTCGGGGCTATCCAACACCGAACCTTGAAGGTGGATATTGATACGAAGGATAAATAGTTCTCCGACTTGCATGTTGATTTGCCGTCTTGAGAGGTTGACGCTTCCAGTCTGAGCAATCTGAGCCGGTAATGGTGCGGTATTTGAGATGGTTTCAGAGACAAGGTCTTCGAAGAGAGACGTTTTCACTGACTGGGCCAGAGCATGTGAGATGGCGAGCTTGATCATATAGTTTCGGGGGTCGCGCAGCGAAATGAAATCGTTGTATATTCGGGCTTGGTATTCGCGAGCATAGTAAAAGTTAAAGTTTTCCACCTGGGTATCTTCTGGGCTCAGAATTGAGGTTGCAAATTTTGAGATATCCGACAAAAATCGCGATTCTTGCGCCGGCGACATGCCCCATATGACTACGGTGCCATAATCGAAAAGGAACACTTCCGGTGCGTGAATGGTGGTGTCGATATCCGGGGCATTATCAAGCACCGAGGATTCGGTTGCATTTTGCGAGTGAGATTTATCATGCAGATCGATAAGCTCCTCTCTCCGGTTGACAAAGTTATCATTCACTTCCACCGCACTATCCGAAAACCTTCTTTCCCTAGGCATCCGATCGACCGTGTGAGCATTCTCCGTATCTACATCATTCGAAAGGTTCCCAGCTTTCTGTTTCTCTTCGTGCTGGTAATCGAACCGCGAGTAGACGCACTCGTCAAACAACTTGGGATTGGCACCGCGGGTTTTGGACCGTGACTTCAGGAACTTGAATACCCCATCTAGACGATAAGAATTGGCCGTGCAGTACGCCGTTACCCGAGGTAGCCTATCCCTGTCTGCCTTCCCTAGCTTCGCCGCAAGGCTTCGAGCTGCAGGTTCCTTGATCCGCGCAATCTGTCGGTATACGTCTGAAGGAGAGGTTTCCTCATCATCGACAAGTTCTTCCTCGGTTATAGGGTCTGGTAAAAGCTTCAACTTCTGCGCAGTCTTTGTTGTTCTCTGCGGGCCAATTTTCGAGGCCGGATACGACGAGGCAATTGTGCCCGGAGCTCCATGGCTGTTGCGACGGCGAAGCTTGCTATTCAGGGCTGAGAGCCCAGTCGGTCGTGAGCTGGCGAGTGAAGAAGGCCCAGATGTCAAGGGCTTAAATTTAGGGTCCGCAGAAGCTGAATCGTGATATGTACTGACTGTCGTGAGGGGATTGAACGTCACTGTTCGGGGAGGCCGGCTCCCTCGCGGTGACGTATTTGAGGATGCAGGATGGTGGTGTTGAGGGAGGAGAGGGGAAGATTCGGTAGCGGACGCCATTTTATACCAAGCGCATCTGGTTTAGGACTCGGACATGCCAGACGAATGGACTGAGGACTGGGTTGAGAGGGTTGGGAGGCAGAATTTGGCGATTGTTGAAAGCTGGGCGGATGAAAGAAGGAGCTCCAGCTTTTTGCACGTGCGGCCACCCGCAAATCGGACGCAATCTACAGCACCGTTAGTTCTTACGCTGCCAAATAATTAGAACACCGTTAGTAGTACGAGTCTGTATTAAGCTTATATTTCTTCCAGGTTAGACTAATAATATAGACTTGATAAAAAGAAAAACTGTAGATAAAAAGGAAGCATGCTTGATGCTCGCAATCTATACATGCATATTGCCGTTATGATCATCGCATCTATCAAAACTCTAAACGCCCAACAACTGCAATATTAAATCCCAATCATATACAGCCCGAGAGGTGGAAATACCCAATGCAATTCAACAGTAAACCGTATCCCTGTAAATTCAGTGCTTTACTTGCGCACGAAGCCCTTCTTTCCACTACTGACCATTCTCATGCCATTGACGTGCCCAGTGCTGCGAGCTTGCTTCAGCCATGCTTCCCTCGCACCCTTTCCTGTCTTTGACGCCTTCGGGGCGAGCGCTGTGCTTGGCTGCTTTCGCGAGCTCTCACTATCCAGCACACGGATAGCGACATCGCCCATTCGCATATCCTTCGGGGCCTTCTCCTTCTTCTCAAGGAATCTGAGCTTGGTTGGCTTCTTCTGGGAGAAAACTTCGGTCTCCGGTGGAGGTGTCGGTGGCCGGACGTCAGGTACTGCATTTAGAATATCGTCGGGAAGGAGAGCGGGGAGTGCCGGGCGTCGAGCGTCTTGTGTAAGTGATCCTTGCAGTGTTGCTGAGCTCTCGGATAACATGTCATCTGCAGGAGTTCCAGCTCCTGGCGCAGTTTGGGATGTAGGTGCTTCCTTTCTTTTAGCCGAAGCTTTGGCCTGCTGCTTGCGGGTTTCGTCCAATTGCCGCCTCTTTTCTCGCTTTGCTTGCTCCTCTCTGTTACGCGGTTAGTGACAAGAATGAGATGAGGCAAAGGGCCCAATAATACACACATTCTTCTCGCCTCCTCCCGTTTCCTAGCTTCTAGCTTCATTTTAGACAACTGTGCAGAGTTGTCCACTGTCTCTGGGGCCTCATCATCGCTGCTGTCCTCCTCATCATTCTGCTCCTGCTGCGCATCGACCGGGGCCTCAGGCTCCGCGACCTGCGGTACTTCAGGCTCTTCGCTGTCAAATCGGAAATGTTTCTTAGGTGCTGTCTCCTCTTTCTTGTCTTCTTTTCTATCCTCCTTCACTACTTCTTCGGTTGCTTTTATACTGCTCCTCTTTCTTCGCTTGTTGCCCTGGGTCTCTGGGCTTGTAGCAGACGACGCGTTTTCCAACTCCGACTTGCGCTTCCCCTTCAACTCTGGTGTTCCGTTGACTGTCGCATCCTCAACTGGCAGACGCGCCTGGAATTGTGCTGATCGGCGGGTGGTGACCATTTTCGAATTTAATGCGGGAACTGTCCTTTTCGATTCGGTGGTGGGGGTTTTTGAGTCGCTCTTCGAATTTTGTTCAGGAAATAGAATGCCCTTTGCCGCAGTGACAATCTGCGACAACATAGAGGGGACGACGAGCAAAAATGTTGTTGCGCTTGAAGTCGGCGTCGGCGTCGGACCAAAAAGATTTATGAAAATATGTCGGGGACTCGTTTTTCCGGTGGGCCAAGTCCGTACATACCTAATCTATAGAGCTGTGCTAGTCTCTACGTCATGAAGAATTTGTCATTTCTGGATAATTGATTAAATAAAACATTTGTTGAAGAGTCCTTCAAAATCGAGAGCTTGCCGGAGTCCTGCGCCGTGGTTGTGGTTGGATATCTTTTATACAGTGCAAAAACATATATATCGTCATGGTATCTCAAACATATCCCTAAGATCGAAATCATCCCATGCTCCATGAACGCCGGTTATCCTCGATACCCTTCAAGTCCCAAGGTACGCCAGGTGCAGATTCAAACAGCATTGATCATCCCATTCCGTTCCATCAGCTCTTCATGGGCAGCCGTGAAATCATCCTCGCCAATGTCACTGGTTTCATCCCAGAACTTCCTATGTTCATCGCTGTCATCCCCTCGGACAGTCCACATACTCTCTCGTAGTCTTTTATTGCGCTCACGATCCTCTTCGATTCGCTGTTCGATCTGTCTTTTGTCCACACGGATGCCATTGGCCCTTGGACCTCGCGGTGTCCCTGTCTTCGACTTCGAGCCCGCTTCTTCTTCCTCATCAGCTTCCAAGTCGAGATGTGCTGGGTGTGTTTCTCTATCCTTCAGGCCCGCGTGAATCTCGGCCACCGTTTCAGCGGAGAGCACATCTTTGGCTTGGAGACCACTCAGGACGCGGCGGACGTGCTTTACATTGGCGGCACCAGAGCCGTCTGCTGGCGCAACGCAGTCGACAACCCGGAGGATATCTCGCTGTATCATGCGGACGTAGGGGACGTGGTCTTCCTTAGCGGCCATTTCGCAGAATTGTTCGATGAAATATAAGATATTGGCTCGATTGTTCATGTTATTCTAGAGGTTCCCGAGTCAGTCTAGCTCGCGCACGTCTTTGGTTGAACGGCCTCTTACCCGCTCGAGCTGCTCTAGAATGCAGGAGTGGAGATCTTCATCCATATCGCGGTATTTGAGCGCATAATGCGCGGCTTTCTGGGATGACGTGATCGATGCATTGAGATGTTGTAGCTGCGATGTAAAGCGCATGCGCACCTCAAACGGATCCGCCATCATTTTGTGTCAAATTCCCGCCTCTGCGGTTCGAAGGTGATCTTGATCATTTACTTTTGAGGGAGTCCGGAGAAAACGGTCATTGGGCGGTGAGCTATGTGCCGGCAGAATATGTGGGGCTGGTGATTAATACGGCGGTATAGTTTCGAAGTATACTGTATCCATGGATGTGGATGTGTCAAAAGATGCAAACATTAGGAATATATGGACGAAAATGATATTGTGACGTGGATGAAAATATCTAGTTGAAAGCTAATCTACCTAACGAAGCGAACACCTAAATTTGTTCTATGTCCGAGATCCAAAACCGACGCCAACTGCTAACTTCCAGATATATAAGATTAATGGTAGTAAAGATCAGTCAGTGCACTAAAGTGAGGGTCGCCGATCCAAGGGAGTCAGCGGGGGAACAATGCTGGAAGCATCATCGCCTTGAAGTAGCCCAATCTCTTCAGCAGTGTCGGCCTCCCCTAGAGGGTCACTAGCCCACTCGTTTTTACGAGATGCAGGATCATTAATAACAAACCAAACATCCTTTTTCGTAAGTAGTCCCTGAAGAATACCCTTGTTCACAAATAGAACGTAGCGAAGCCCGAGTCTCTGAAACATTCGGAGCACAATAAGAAACGTTGTGCCGCTGTTTAGAGTGATAGGTGTTTGGTCCATCCAGGGTCGAAGGTCAAGGGTGTCCATCGGATCTGCGAATGGTTGATGCGCAAAGAAGGCCTGGGTCGCATTATGGAGCTCCTCTCCGGACGGAGATGTTGGGTTCTTCAAGGCGAAAGAAAGTTCGTTACGGGAAACGTAACCGAGGAGAACGGGATTTGAGGCTTCAGTAACGACAGGGAATCCTCGGTATGAGGTAGTCTGCAGAAGGTTGCGAAGAGACCCCACTGTATGGCCAACGGCGGTAAGAATAGTAATGTCGTCCGCCTTTGTCATGACTGTATGAGCAGGGACGTCGGGAGGAGTGGTATCATCACGGTGGTCAAGGAATGGGTACTCATTGAGCTGAATCCAAGATTCATAGATACCGCGCTTGCCAAAGATATCTCCGCACCATTTGGACAGCATGACTGCAATCATGATGGGGATGACGTAGGTAAGGGCGCCTGTGAGTTCAAACATGATGACAACAATTGAGACGGTCATTCTTGTAGCGCCGCCAAGGGCTGAAGCTGCTCCGACAATCGCATAGAGCCCCGGAGTCACACAAGGAATGTCGGGCTCACAATTACCAAAGAGAAAAAAGCCTGGGTAGGAGTCCTGCCATATTTTGAAAGCGGTACCGAGAGCGCGTCCATATAAAGCACCAATTGCAAACGACGGAAGGATAATACCGGCAGGAATGTCCAGTCCAAATGTCATCGTTGCGAGGAAAAAGCCCAGGACAGCAGCTACCAGTAGAAGAGCTACCGTACCGGCTGACGCTGCCCCAGTTTTGCACAGGCCGAAAGGATCAGGGTTTCCTGTACTGCACTCGGCGAATAAAGAGTGGACAAGTTCCGAGTTTTGGGCTCTCATGAAGATATTAGGGTAGTTTATCAGGGCGCTGAGAAGAGACACAATCACAACTTCGATGATTGGACGGGAAAAACTTCGCGTTCGCCGCCATTTCGCAACCCGCATATTCAGCCGGATGAGGAACGCCCCGTAAAGACCGCCCACAATACCAAGAATGATAAATGGTATCATTTCAAAACGGTGCCATCCTCTGGTGTACTTGACTTCATAGAGAGCGATGTTCCCAGTGCGAAAGGGATCCAGCGCTTGAAGAGTAACTGTTGCTACCATGGCGCAGACAAAGCTTTGCCACATTGCCTTGTCAGGGAAGTAATACGACAATTGCTAAAATACTGTATCAGACAGGTGTAAAGGAGGGTCCGCGAATGGGCGCTCATACCTCCAGACTGAACAGGACGCCACCAATTGGCGCCCCGAACGCAACAGATATGCCTGCGGCGGCCGCCGCGGAGAGTACCTCTCGTTTTCGCGCTATCAATGTCAACTGCTGTCTGAAGATTGGGCGATGAGTAAGGCATAGGCACCTTCATTGCTGTTCAGACTATCGAAAGTCTTCATTATGACGCTGGCACAGCAGCATGCGACGTGGACAAGCGGACCTTCTTTGCCCAGCCACATGCCGGATGCGACGGACAGACACTTGGAGAATGGTCAGCTCCGATATGCCTGATTATGTGAAGACAACATACCAAACCCAAGGACTTGATCGCAAGGGTCCAAGGTCCCATGAAATGCTTTATGATGAAGCCACCCAAGACTGTCTTGATCTCAGGTATCCCGCTATGTCTCGCATAAATCGCATAGTTTCTGACCAACATGCAAGCGCAAACGGCGAAAAGTACCTAGCCCCTGCGTTAGATATCGACAGCGAAGGATGAGCCGCGAAAGAGGTACAAACAGAGTAGAGTGTATAAAATATATACTCGACTGCGTAAGCCCCAGCCGATGATCTAGCCCCAGTAGCTTTCCCCCATGGAGTCCAGTCCATACAATTGGAAGGGTCTTAGCAGGTCAGTAGCGCAAGTCAAGAATTCTCGAGACATTGATAACTCACCTTCTTCGTGACCCCAGCAGCAAAAGCTACGGTTCAGGTAGAACTTTCCTCCTCCTGGACCATTCTTGCAATACCCAGCTTTGATGTCCCCCAGCCAGTCTCCAACGATGTCGATAGATGCAGCGATAATCCCAACTGATATTCCCGTTGCGATCAGGACTAACCAAACATTACTGGCATCGAAAAGCTTGCGAGCATAACCAAGCATTCCTTGCCCACTCGCTGACAGAAGTCGCTTTCTTTGTCGCTCCTTAGTGTACTCAAATATCCAATCGATAGCAGTAAAGTCATCGTAGCCAACCCGTCGCCCTGGACCTTCTACGTACCAATCCAACAGGCCCCCTTCCTTTTGTATATTGTAGTTCCCATTTCGCTGAGAACTCTCGCCGACCGGCTGCGAATCATCTTCCGTGGAGGGTACGTTTCTGGATGCCGCGCGGCTGAAACTTGAATGTCCGTTGGACTCGCTCGTAAAGATATTGGACAGACTTGACAGACTAAAACCAGACCGCTGCTTATGCTTGCGCTTGAATGAAATGCTAAAGATTTCCAAGTATCAGCCTGCAGCCAGAATATGTAGTGTCCTACTACTTACGGCTGACGAAGATCACCAGTCAGAGGATCACGCCCATACTGCGAAAGACTGCTGCCACGAAGCCGCGGGAGTGGATGACTGTTGCTACTTGAGCCGCTGGAAGGTTGGGAGGCCTCAAAGCCCGGCCCAGAATCCATTATCGGTATGGCAGATCATATGGATATTTCAGAATACATGCGATGATGACCATGGCGGGTGTCCTGGGAGACACTCAAGTTCCGGACATCTATCTACCTCGCACTGAATGATCGGAGTTGTTGCGGGTCTCCGCGCTTAAGTAAAGGCGGTGAGCTACATAGGTCCCGTTATTTCTAGGGCGCAAGCTTTAATGCCAGGAGTAATACGCGAGGCTAGAACAAAGTTTATCCTGCTTAAAATATTAAAAATACTACTATTAATAGCCTATTTAATATTTAATACTTTTATTAATAGCCTGTTTTAAATAGTAATACTTTTTTTAATAGCCATAATAATAATAAATTTAATAAAAATGTTTAAAAAATAATAAAAAAATAAATTATATAAATAATATATAACCTACTTATATAAACCTATAATTTATAAACCCTTAATTTTTTAAATTTTTTTTATTATAATAGCTAACACTAAAAATAATAATAATATTATTTTTTTTACTTACTTACCTATTTTTTTACTAACCTAGCTACTAGTAGCCTATATTACTAATATAATAAATTATTTAAGCTATAAATTAATAGTTTTAAAAAAACTTTATAAATAATTATATTATTTATAACGCGAGCTCGCGCTTTATAAGCTTATTAATAAAAAAAATATAATAAAAAAAATTATAACCTGCCTTATTAACTAAGAAGCTATTATTAGGTAATATATTAGTATATTTATTAAAGGTAATTTAATTTACAGGTATTACGCCCAAGGCTATAAGCTATTTATAAAATATATTATTATACTAGGCTACTTTAGTAATAGTTATATAAACTACTATTAAAATAGTTTAGGTATATAATATATTAATAAACATAAGTTATAGCCCTTATTTACCTATAAGTATATTAGCTAATATATTTAGCTTTTATACCGGGCGACAATAATAATAATAATAATAATAAGATAAAGGAAAAGAAGGAAGAAAAGGCCAAGAAAAATAAAAAAAAAAATAAAAAAAAAAAGGCTAAGGAGGTCGCGGAGGAAAAAAAAATAAAAAAATAAAAAAAAAAAGTGGATATTACTATTTTGCCCATGCATGTTATTTAATTTACCTACCGCCTATACTAGCTTATAATTATAATAATAATAAACTTTAATATTATTATAGCTAGGCTAGCTATTATAACCCGTGTTATAGCCCTTATAGTAAATAACCTTATTAATAAAACTAATTTTAAGGGTGTTAAATATAATAATAATAATAAGTAAATAGTTTTTTTTAATTTATTTTTTTTAGGGCTAGACCCTAGTAATAAAAAAGTTTAAATTTATTATAATTTATTAAGTATAATTAATTATAAATATTATTAAAAATAGCTTGTATAAACCATAGGCAAAGATTTAGTATTTAAAGGTAAGTATTTAATAAAGTATTAATATTATTTTAGTTTATTAACACCTTTTATTTAACTTTAAACTAATAAAATTAATTATTTAATAACTTTAAAAGCCTTACTTAAAGTATGTTATTATAGTTTATAGCCTGTTAATTAAATATTATAGCCTTATTTTATTATTATTTAAGTTATATTTTACTTTTAATAAATAATAAATAGCTATTACCTTATTTATCCCTATAATACTTAAAACTTAACTTTATAATATTAAGCTATATATTAACATGGTTATTTTCTGGGATTAAACCTAATTATATTATTTTTTTAATATATTATTATAAAAAATAATTTATAATTATGTTATTTATTATATTTTTATACTTTATTATAAAATTATTACCCGGCGCGCTAGCCGCGTAGTATATTATAAATTATATTAAAATTATAAGTAATTACTGCTAGCAAGCACTAGCTAAAATATTACTAGTATAAAAGCTAAAGTTATAAATTAAGCGCCCGGAAACTATTTTTATATTACCTAGTAATATAAAAATAATTATAATATAAATTATTAAAAAGTGCCTTTTTGTAAGACCAACAAGTCTCAAAGATCTCTACTAATAATAAAGATATTAACAAAGGAATCTAACTAATAAAAATGGAGTATTTTAAACCCTGTTAAATAATATTAAAAAAGTTACTTAAAAATTTTAAAAAAGGCTGGCCTTAAGGCTACCTTTATAAACCTTTAAGCTATGCTTAAGCTATTTTTAATTAAAAAATAAATATAAGTTTAAATATTTTACACACGGGTTTTTACTTTAGCTTATACTTAGGGCCTATCCTAGCCTTACTTAATTAATAGCTAAAACCTTAAATACTAATAACTTAGTTAAGTTATATAGCCTAATATAATAATAAGGTATATTAAGCCTTGGTAGCCTAAGGCTAAAGCTTAGGTTACTTAAGGTATTAACTTTAGATTAATAGTAAATTAGCTTTAGTAATATTAAATAAAAAAATATTAACTTTAATAATTTTTTTTTTTTTTAATTAAAGGGTTGTCCGCGACCCGCTGTTAAATTAAAAAAAAATAATAATAAAATATTATTATTATTATTAATATTAATACTAAACATAGCTTTATTATTACTATTTTTAACTTTATTAAAGTATTATTTAACATATTAAATTTAGTGTTTTATCCTTATTATTTATAGTGCTTTAAATAAAATATAATATTTATTTATAACTAAAAGGGAAAAGGTGGCGCTTTAATAATACTTGGTATAAAAGTGTAAATTATAACATAATTTATAGTTTTATAAATTTTTAAACTTATTAAACTTTTTACTAAATAAAAAGTTACCCTTTTTTTATTATAACTAAAAAAAAGCCCTTTTAAGCGCTGCCCTGGCTTTTTAGCAAGTAAAAAAAAAGCACCTAGCTATAATTATAGTAATTTAAAATATTTTTATTTTTACCCTTTATACTTTTATAGTGGTATAATTATAAAACCCCTTTAATATAGTATTTTTATTAACTTTAAAAGCCCTTAGTGTTTTTAATTTTTTTTTATCCCTGTTTTTTTTTAGGTTTAAAAACTTTAATTTTAATTAGTTCTTGGGCGGCAATAATAATAGTAACAAGTAATATAACTTATATTTAATAAGTATTTTTAAAATATATAATAAGGTTATAAGTAATAATTTAATAAGTTTTTTTTACTTTAATAGCTACTAACCAGCGGCGCTCCGCTGGTGTTTTACTAAAAATACTAACTTTTAACCTTATAATAACTATTTTATTATTTAACTATAGCCCCCGCGCCTTTTAGCTTGCCTTTTTTTACTTTATTTAGTGTTATACTAGCCTTTGCCCTTATTAATACCCTTACTATAAGTTTTATATTACTACCCCCTTAGGCTTTTTTTTTTTAGTCTTTAGCCTTTTTTTTTATAAGTACTTTTTATTTTTAACTAGTTTGCTGGTAAAATGGCTTTAGTATAAATATTAGCTAATAAAAAATAGGTTTACTTATAATATGCAAAGTATATTTAGGTATATAAAAATAATAAGTTAATTAATAGCCTTAATTATTATATTTATTTAGCTATTAGGCGTAACTACTTTTATTATATTTATATTAAGGGTACTTGCCTCCCCCTGCTATTTTATATAAAAAAAAATATTACCTTTTTATAATATATAAATTTTACTAACTATAATAAATACTTTTATTACTAAGATATGTTTAGTTATTAGGTTAAACTAGTAATAAAGGCTTATAATAAAAAAATAAGCCCCAAGGTCCATGTAATAAAAATATTAGCTTTAGCTATATAAAAGCTTGTTTAGTTTTTTTAGCTTGCTATTAAATAGCCCTTGGCTTATTTTAATAATAGCTAAAATAGCTACTAGTTTACTAATATTTTTTTTTTAAAAAACAGGCCTGTCACGCCTTTTTTTTTAAAAAATACTAAATAAAAAAAAAGGTGTTTATAAAGGCCCTTGCTCCTGCTCCTAATATTAAATAATAGTTTCTTATTATGGCCTTTACCACCTAGCTAGTTATTATTTTTTTTTTTTTAAAAAAAATAAGAGATTTTTTTAACACTTTAACTTTAATATAAACGTAGTTTTTTATTCTAAATTATAATTTAAAATAAGTTTTAATACCAAGCTGGCGGCGTTCTAGCTATAGTTTATTAAACCTTAAAATCCTATAAAAAAATAAAAAAGGTAATTACTTTACTTATAGCCTTAGGTATAATTTTAAAACCTTATAAAATAAAAAATCTTGCACCCCTTTTTAATATTATAAGTAACTAATAATAATTAAATAGTGGTTTAATAATTTTTTAATAATACTAGCGGTTTATTAAACCTTAAAACCTAATAAAAAAAAAAAATATTTAACTTAGTAAGGTTATTACCTTTTTTTTTTAAACTAGTAGTAAACTAGTATTATTATAGCTAGTTTTTTATAATTTACCAGGGCTTCCTGTGCGTGCTTAAAATTAAAAAATAGTTTTTATAAATTTTTATAGCTAGGCCAGCCCTTTTACTTAATAAAAAATTTATTATATTTATAAATTTATTATTTTTTAAGAATAGCCTTAACTTTTTATTTTTTTTTTTTATTAACTAACTTTATGGTTAGTAGTTACTTTTTTTCCCCCTTAGGCTTATCTTGCTATATAAATAGCTTTAAAAAAAAATATAAAATACTAAATAAATTTTTAACTAACTATACGTACTAGTAAGCTGGAGCTAATATACCTACTTTTTAATAATAAATTTAATTTTAAAGGGTTTATTATACTTTAGGTTAAGTTTTTTATTTAAATATATTAATTTAATATTTTTTAAAAATATTAAAATATTATTTTTAACCTTAAATTTTACTAGATAATATTTTTAATTATAGTAAAGTGCTTGCTTTTTCTAGGCCTTATTTATATAATCCTATAAATTTTTATAAAGCTATTTTAAATAATATAAGTGCTTTTTAATAAAAAGATAAAATATTAATTTCCCTAGGTTTTTAAGCCTAGGAATTACTAGTTCTTATTTATAGCTTGTTATAAGTAAAGTATAGCTAGTTA